ACCCATTGGGATGTACCGGTGCCAGACAATATGCAACTATCTTGAGAGAATTGCAACCTGGTGAAATTGGTGTGACTTCTATGTGTATTGGTACTGGTATGGGTGCAGCATCTGTGTTGGTCAAGGAATAAGTATATATATTTGTGTATACTAGCTGACTACTGAATACTATTTATTGATATTAAAGAGCCGTACGTTTAATATTGATGAGTGCATTAGGCTCTGTCGATTGTAGAATTGTTTTTCATTGTATCCATGACAACGGAACGTACAAATTGGACCTCAACCGCTATTACTGTATGAGAAACACCACTTGTGACATAATGCTACTGATACCTGTACGTACGTAGCCTAACTATTATAGTTGAACGTGTGGTAGAAACATATTACCATAAGATGAACCTAATGCAAGTGACATGTGGCTGTTTCAACGTATATAACGGGAAAAAGTTGTATGGGTTTGCTCATATGCCGGATGTCGTAACTCTAGTTCATAAGCTTGCGTAAAGCTCATCCAAATATAAATAGCACAACGGTTAATCACATTCATATTTGAAAGATCGCTCCTTTATTTTATTTATATTGTTCCTATCAGTTTATTTTTGGTGTAAATTTCAAAAGCTTATAGACGCATTAGATCTCCAGGCTTTAATTTCTATAAATAGTTTTTGGAGTGAAGTGCGTGCATAACGCACGCATGTACCTTCTTGTGCTTCCTGTGTACCTAACTCCAACAAACCTTTCCTGCAGTGCAATGTACCGAAACCTACTCTCTACAAAATACGGCGCATTGAATTGCTATTATGAGGATCATGTCAAAAATTACATATAAGTTTATCTTTCTTTTAACGATCCTCCTCCTCCTTGATCAGTAAGTCAGTCAGTCAGCCAGCACCAGCCAGTCTCATGCCTTCTCAACAATACTCGGGCAACACCAACTCCGCCTTCCACCAATCTCAATCTCAATCTCTGCAATACCCGGGAAGGACAGTCAATACTGTCTTCAACCAAGAATTCATTGTGGACAACAGGTTCACCGTGGTACGGGAATTGGGTCATGGAGCTTACGGTATAGTGTGTTCTGCTACATACAATGGAAGTGATAACACTTCATTTGTAGCTATCAAAAAGATTACTAATATGTTTTCCAGAACCATACTTTGTAAACGAGCCCTTCGAGAATTAAAATTGTTACAATTCTTTAGAGGACACAAGAACATCACATGTCTTTACGATTTGGATATCGTACCGAACCCTGTAACGGGGGACTTTAACGACGTGTACTTATATGAAGAGTTGATGGAATGTGATATGCACCAAATCATTAGATCAGATCAACCACTAACCGATCAACATTTTCAACTGTTTATTTATCAAATCTTATGCGGACTTAAGTACATCCATCTGGCCGATGTGCTTCATCGAGATCTAAAACCGGGTAACCTTTTGGTGAATGCCGACTGCGACTTGAAGATTTGTGATTTTGGTTTGGCAAGAGGCTTTTCAGAGAACCCAGAACAGAACCAAGGGTTCCTTACTGAGTATGTTGCTACCAGATGGTATAGGGCCCCTGAGATCATGTTAAGTTTCACCAATTATACTAAGGCCATTGATATGTGGTCTGTTGGATGTATCTTAGCAGAGATGTTGGGCCGTAGACCTTTATTCCGGGGTAAAGATTATGTGGACCAATTAAATCAGATCCTTTTGATACTGGGGACTCCTCCAGAAGAAACACTAACTAAAATTGGGTCCACCAGAGCTCAAAATTATGTTAGATCGTTACCATTCATGCCTAAGGTTAAATTTGCCGAGTTGTTTCCTAATGCTAATCCATTGGCCATTGATATGTTGGATAAAATGCTTGCATTGGATCCATATGAAAGAATTACGGTCCAAGAGGCCTTGGATCATCCTTATTTGAGCATTTGGCATGAACCTGTCGACGAATTAGAATGTGCTGTGAAGTTTGACTTCAAATCATTTGAAGAGGTCAATAACATCGAAGAAATGAAGAAATTGATAGTAGAGGAAGTCAGATCGTTCAGGGAGTTTGTACGGAAACCGTTGGAGGAACAGCAACTTCAATTACAGCAACAAGTTCAGCAACAACAGCAACAACAGCAACAACAGCAACAACAACAACAACAACAACAACAACAACAACAACAACAACAACAACAGAAAGCTCAAAGTTCTGTGCTGCTGCAAGGACAGCAGGCTGCACCACCAATGCCTCCTAGAGATCAACAATATGAGCAATTCCTGTCAAGTGCAGAGCATGTTAACACTTCACGATTGGCATCCGACGGAACCAACCAATTTTATCAGCAAATGCCCCGGCCTCAAGAGTTGGCAGACTTCACGTTTGCCAATAATCCAGCGGATAGTCCGAATGGGTTAAGCAACTCTGCCAACGAGGACTTATTCAAATTAGAAGAAGAGCTTGGGTTTGGCTTGGATGGACTGTATCATAATAATATGTTCTTGCAATGAGTAGGACAAAATAATGAAAAAATGACAGTATAAGTATGACAAAGTGTAGTAGTTAGTGGCCTAAAAGAGTCTGGCTTCTTCAGTAAGAGTAAAGTGAAAGATATCTCCGTTCTTACACATGCAGTAGATCTTCTCGTCATCAACGTAACAGTTATCGACTTTGGCATCTCCTATAAGCAAGCTTAAGTCAAGAGAACAGATGGCATTTGTGATAGACGGAACAAACTTATCAAAGACAATTGGATGAATAATGGAATGACTTGACTTCTTTAATGTGCCCTGATGATCATTGACTGTGGTTGATGCTGTTCCTGTTGAAGCCTTTCTGTTTCTCATTTCAAATAGACTTCTGTAGAAACCATTAATTATTTCGTGATTGGTGTTACTGCTGGTATTATTGTTAGTGTTGGTGGTGATTGTAGCAGTCGCTTCCAATTTACTGGAGTCTGTTCCCGAATTGGTGTTGTTCAAGCTGCTGGACGATGCCAATGAAAGCAAGTTCAAGTCTTCTCCATTCGAGAACCTTCTTTGGTGTGTCTTGACAAGCCGTTTCAATCTTGCATCAAAGCCAGAAGGAACTTGTAGATGGTTCTGTAAGAATTGGTTGTTCGTAGTAGATGTAGGTGCTTTTACGGGGTTGGACGAACCACGATTGGTGGAATTCTGTTGATGTTGGTGATGCTGATGTTGATGCTGATGTTGATGCTGATTTTGGTTGTGATGATAGTGATGTTTAGGAAGCCTTTCAAACTTCTTCTTCAACTTGTGGATGGACTTATAGTCAAAATCCCAAAACTGTACTCGACCATCTTGTCCACAACTGATAAGACGATACGTATGAGGGATCAGCTTCGTTAGTTCCCAATAAGTCTTACTCACCGTATTGGTGTGTCCTTTAAGTCTAGTGACTATCTCAATGTCTTTAACCACTGGAGGACAATCCTGGAAACGATCATCATCAACGCCATTACTGTTAACAATATCTGCTGATCCCATGCTTCCTAACGTCCCGCTTCTGGACCTGGTCTTGGAAGTGTTCATAGAAGTTGGTAGGATAAAAGATGATGAAGCATTAATAGGTGAGGCTGTCATATGATTACTTTGATGGCCCCCACCACCACTACCAACACCACCTTCCTTACCAAATTGCTTCCCCAATAACAGGGCAACATTATAGTACGTCAACTTGAATACCTCTATTAAGTCTCCCTTCCCAACAACAGATACAAACCGATTATCTGGAGAGAACTCCACATGCAAGATTCCATCGTTCAGATAGTTGGAGATAATATCCGTTAAGAACTTGTCTGAGACCAAGTCAAAGAATCTTACAAACCCATCAGAAGAACCAATGGCCACTATTAACGGTTGTTGATGTGTTTGAGTAAAATTTTGGTGCACCATAGAAGTAGACTCACTGTTTCCCCCTCCAGTTACCTTATGATCAACCACTTGAGTGCATGACATGGTAGTAACAGGCTTTTGAGATATCTTGAAATGACCAACAACAAATTCATTGTCTGCTTTGCCTTTTGGTGTTGATGTTGATGTTGTTGCAGGTCCTGAAGCCGATTGAAATGGCGATAAGTTGAAGGGTTTGATGTAAGTAACAAATTGATCAACAATTGGCTTAGTCGACACCAGCATCGGATCTCCAGAGTGATGATGTTGATGAATGGTTCCTATGGGATTAATAATCATAACGTGGCCACACGCAGAGCCTATCCAAATATGATTAAACATGGGTTTAATGCAAGTAATGGCCAGTGATAGTTTTGTATCGTAAGAAAGATACTCCAATTTAACAATGTCTATAATCATTATTTCACCTGTTCTAAACCCTAGAATGACCCAACTACCGTTGGAAGAAACACTGGTAATTAGTTTCTTAAATTGAACTCTAAGAACATCTTCACCACTTCCACCTTGTAAAGAGTTGAGAAACATGATGTTTAAGATGTTAACATGAGTTGCAACCAAAAGTTTCCCCTGGATGGAGGCGGGAGCATCATGTACTTTCAATATCTTGTCGATCATAGACGGCAAGGGAGCAGAAGGTGCATTTAAAGGGTGGAAGTTGGTATTTTTATTGACAACAGCCAATGAGGTCCAGTCCATTCTTAAGAACTTGGAGAAATTAGTGGTCAATCTTTTTATATTGCCATTAGTTAAACTAGAAGTACTATTATCTTGAAAATCTCCAAAAACTGTACCACTACCATCACCCCCACCATTATCCTCAATGGTCATTATCACCGAAAGACACCCGGGGTTGAGTTCAACAAATTTGAAGGGATCAGTCACAAATGGATTGACATTAGCCCCTATTTGTATGTTACCTTCATCGAACCGAGATTTTTGTTTCAAAAGGTCGGTCAACTTGTACATCACATGTAAAGGGAGCGACACATAAGTCGTAGACTCCTTGAGTGCATTGGTGGCCCTAAGGGGTGGTCGTGATATGTTGAGATATTTTTTGGAGAGTTGAACCCTGTACTGATTATAAAAAACATTGGAGTTGAGTCTGGAGTATAGTTCATCGGGGATTTCTAACCAAGAGTTCTCTTCCAACAGGGTAGCTATCGGACAGATGGAATTTAAATATGTCTGCAAGCTAACAGACATAATGAATATGATGTGTCAGATTGTGTTGTGGGTACTGTGGTCTTTTCGTACTGGTCAAAGTCGTATGAACGCAACAGTTGACCACTATCAACAGTATACACTTTCTCGTTCAAATGTATATATCCAGTCGATTATGGATACTTAGAGGAGGAACAGCTAGAGATTGACATGAGTTTGGGTAAAGTATAAACATCCGACTGGGTAACGGTAAATGATTTCCTACTACGGTAAATCGTGTCGCGACACTGGTTCTCAAATTTATTATGAGTGCGAGTGATGATGATAATTCAAACGCAATTATATATTCTCCTTCTTCTTCTTCTTCATCGTCTACTTCATCATCATCTTCCAACATGTTCCTTCACTTTGATATGTTTTTGGATTAACGGAAGTCTCTCCGGCTATATTATACACATCTAGATTCCGAAATAACTTTTTTTGAATTAGGACTTTACTTCAATGGGAGATGGGCGCCAATATAATCATTTTGATGGGTGGTATATTATTGAATCTTTACTTAATGAAATAATATATCTAACGACTTAACCTGGTTAGGCAAGCACCCGTTCATAAGTTATTGTCATCCATCCTTTAGAGAGACTTGCTTAAAGTCCGTTCAGTCTACTACTGCTGTATTTGTACAGAACTAAATATTTAAGATTGGTTTATAATTAATCATCCTTACTATATTTTACAGCCATTTGACTATCTAGTATATTCAACCTACTTACTATAACCAAAATAAACAAAATATCACGTGTTATGATCACGTGTAAAGCACGTGATTGGAGGGTGTGCATATGAGTCGCGCTTGTGGAAAAAGTTGCGACGACAAAAGACGACAACGTGAAAAAATGAGACACCAAATAGTGTCCAATCAGTGGCAAACTTCCCATCGGCGCATTCAACCCTACACAAGGAGCGTCGGACACAACTGTTATTACAAGAAAAACCCCGATACATAATAAGGGGGTGTGTTTCTACAAGATACAGTGGATTCTATTTCGATTAGAGACTCTGTTTATCCGAAAATTCCAATTAGTTTGTCGTTAACCCCGTTTTTCCCCTGACCTTGTTTACTGACGGGAAAATTTTTCGACATTCTAGTGTTCGGAATTGAACGCGCGCGTGACTTCCGGGGTTAAATATATTATATTAACACCCTCTAATTAGGTACATGGCAGTTACAGCTACAAAGAATATCACTCAGAACAAGGGTAATGGGACGTCGAAAGCCTCTAAAGCAGCTTCCACTTCTTCTGCTTCGAGCACCGCAGGTGGTGGTGCTGCCGCTGCTGCTGCTGCGAGTGCTGCTGGTGCCAGATTTCGTCAACGTAAAATATCTACCAAACAACCTTTAACCATATATCGACAGAAGGACCTTCCTAGTGTGGATATTAATAGTGAGTTAGAACAAAGTCATGTGCATCATTTGTATAATGGTGCCAGTGGCGGTGTATCACTGTCTGGAACAGCAGTACAAAAGAGAGACTTACATGCAATGGAAACTGGGGTAGATAAGAATGAAGAAGATGAAGTACACTTACAACAGGTCATCAATGCTGCTCAGCAAGCATTGACCAATGAATCCAAGAAACAAGGAGAATCTTCAGAAGCCCAAGTTTATATTCCAACGCCTGATGCTTCAAAAGTATGGCCTGACGCTTACAAATATTATGGAGATGTGAAGTACTTAGAACCTGATTCTTATGTTAAATTCAGTGCAACGGTAGAGGATACGGTTGGAGTTGAATATAATATAGATGAAGTTGATGAGGAATTTTTGACGAAATTGAATAACGGAGTTAAGAACCAATGTTCGGAATTAGAATTTGAACTTGTCTGTGACAAGTTTGAGAAATTAATCGAAGAGAAGCAACCATTTCTTTCTATGGATCCATCCAATATTCTTAGCTTCAAGGAATTATCTGGTTATATCCTAGATGAATACAATAGCTCAGGTAAATTTACCTCGACCACCAATTATATTCTGACGATATCATTAAAAGACAGATTGTCTAAGGAATTACAGTATAAACCATTTGTCACTCAGTTTGATAAGCCGAATCCAGAAGGCACCAAGGAACCACGAACTGTGGCAAAACTATTGATCTTATTTGGTGAAAAGATATATAATCATTGGAAGGTTAGAAAGATAGAAAGACGAGGGAAATCAATTGTTCCATCTTTGAAATTTGAAGATCCCAATGCAACGGAAAAGGATAACGACAATGATCCTTATATTTGTTTCCGTAGAAGAGAATTCAGGCAAGCTCGTAAGACTCGACGTGCAGATACAATTGGTGGAGAGAGAATTCGTTTACTTCAAAAATCATTACATAGAGCAAGTGATTTGGTTATGTCTGTATGTAAAAGAGAAATCTTGAAATTACAGAGTTTGGAGTCGGAGAATGAAATTTTTAAGTTACGTTGTGAAGGTAAGTCATTGAAACGAACTGTGGGTGTTAAGGGCGATGACTATTTATACTATCCTCATAAACGGAAGAAAGAAATCAAGCCGAAGCCAAAGGAGGAAGAAACTATTTCAAAGGGATCTTCAAGTCACAATCAGGGACTGCAACAATCAAGGAAAGATCACAGTCATTCTCATACCCCCAATCTTGCCGCTACAGGTGTTAATGCTGCTAATAACAAAAGCATTCCTAATATTCAAGACCAGACTTCATCTACGCAACCATATGTTAAATTACCACCTTCTAAAATTCCTGATATGGATCTTGTTACTGTCTCGTTAGTATTAAAAGAAAAGAATGAAACTATAAAGAGAGCAGTGTTGGAAAAGTTACGGAAAAGGAGAGAAATGGACAAAGGTTATATTAATGCAACGGATGATCCTTATGAACCATATTTCAATATATCAACTAAAGAGGTTCAAGAATTAAGTCATATTCCATATTCCTCTGTTGCTGCATCGAGTTTCCATGAATTTATTACTTCCAATTATATTGACAACTCCATGAAGAGTTATTTGGATGAAGGGGAGAAGCCTTTACCGCTGATGAAGACGTTCAAGGGCTCAACGGGAGAATTGGCACCTTCCAAGCCATTTCCTCATTTACAAACGTTTATGGAGAGCGAGATGAGTACAAATAGTGAAGGATATGTTGCTCAATTACTCCATAATATTGAAACTAATAATTTCAGTGCTTATTCCAATGGATATGGCCAAACGATTCAAAATAGTTCGTATGGTGGCCAAATACAAGGTGAACTTTCAGAACCAATATTCAAATTGCGAAAGAGAATAGGACGTGGAGGCATGTATATTGATAGGCGGGGACTTTTCAAAGGAGATGTTGAAAGGTTTATGGACATGGATGTTGATTCTGAAGATAATTCAGTGACACCAACAGCATTTCCAGAATCGTATAAATGTAAGGAAGATTCATTGAAACGATTAGAATCTCGATGGAGATTTGATAATGATTTATCGGAGAATGAAGCTGGATTAGAGAGACCATTTAGTCTTGATCCCTCCAAGTTGAATTGTATCAGTGATGATACGCAATCCATAAGGTTTGGGTCTATGTTATTAGCCAAATCGTATGATCTTCTTCGAGAAGCTGTTCAACAGAAACAGCAAGTGTTTATGCAGCAACGGATGAGAGCTCTTCAGCACCAATCTGGTAGCAGCAATAGCAGCAATAGCAACAGCAATAATGCTTTATATTCCCAACAAATGAAGATCATGAAGCAAGGTGGGGCCTCAAATTCCAAGAGTCCAACAGCAACAGCAACAGCCAATCTGGTGGAGCAGAAGAAGTCATCTACTACTTCTGCTTGATAATACACCGTGTATACTACTAAAGACTAAAGCTAAAAGCATGTTTCCAAAAAGAAGAATTTGTATTATTATATTAATATATGCTTTCCCAAATCTATAAAACATTATTACCCTTTAACATATGAATAACTAAAACAAACCCTCGATTTCTCCATCGTCATTGACTTCAACATTCATGAACCCGGCGTGTGTTGGTAACCCGGGGATGGTCATGATCTCTGCGGCCAAGGCATACAAGTAGCCGGCACCAGCAGAGCATCTGACTTCCCGAATAGGAACAGTGAACCCTGTAGGAACTCCCTTTAAGGATGGATCATGAGAAAGAGAGTATTGGGTCTTTGCAATACAAATAGGCAACTTATCAAAGCCTTGTTTTGTGTAAGTTTCCACTTGTTGTCTAGCCAACGGAGATAACTCGATGTTAGCTGCACCATACATTTCTCTGGCGATGGTTGTAAGTTTTTCTTCGACAGATTTGTTGACATCGTACAAGAACTTGGGGGTTCTATCTTGTTCCGAGACCTTGGCGGCTTCGACCACGGCTTTAGCCAAGTCCACAGCTCCCGCTCCACCTTTAGCCCAATGGTTAGAGGGAACTGCAAAGTCCGCACCGGCGTTGAGGGCCTCTTGTTGGATCAAGGCCAATTCCGAGGGTGTATCGGTCTCGAATTGGTTCACAGCCACGACCACAGGAACGTTATACTGTTTAATGTTTGCAATTTGTTTAGCTAAGTTAGCACAACCTTTCTTTAAGTAGTCCAAATTCTCCGTAACGTATTCTTCCGGTAATGGTTGACCGGGCTTAACATCGGGAGCACCGCCATGTAATTTCAAAGCTCTGGATGTGGCCACAAGAACCACGGCATTGGGCTTAAATCCCGACGCTCTACATTTGATGTTAAAGAACCGTTCGCCACCCATGGTGAAGTCGAACCCGGCCTCGGTGACCACGAACCCCTTTTGTTGGTTGTTGATGGGATTGGAGGGCGAAGTCAACTTCAAAGCTAACTTATCAGCAATAATAGACGAGGCCCCAATGGAGATGTTTGCAAAGGGTCCAGCGTGAACGAAAACAGGTGTTCCTTCCACAGTTTGCATCAAGTTTGGTTTGAAGGCATCCTTCAAAAGAGCAGTGATAGCTCCAGCACATCCAATATCTTCAGCAGTGATTGGTACACCGGTTTCTCTTTGGGTACCGACGACTATTCTTCCAACTCTTTGTCTCAAGTCCTTCAATGAGCTTGACAATGCCAAGATGGCCATTATCTCCGAGGCAACGGTGATATCCATACCTGACTTTCTGGGAGGGAACTTGGAGGCTTCGTTCTTACCTTCACCAATGGTCATTTCCCGTACAAATCTGTCGTTACAATCCACAACTCTCTTGATGGTGATGGTGTCTGGGTCTATATCCAATTTGGCAAAGCTTTCGATTTCTGAGTCGTTCAAATCGTTAGGGTTGGTCTTGGGGATGCCCAAGGCTTGCAATCTTTTGAGCATTGAAGGGGTGAAGGTTCTGACTCCCTTTTTGGCAGGCACAAGTCTGTTATAGAACCCCTTGATGCTCTTGGAAGTGTATTCATGGAACATTCTAGTATCCACAGCAGCACATAATAAGTTTTGAGCTGCAGATATGGCATGGATATCACCAGTTAAATGCATATTGAATTCATCCATTGGAATCACTTGAGCATATCCACCTCCAGCTGCACCACCCTTAACTCCGAAGGTTGGTCCCATACTTGGTTGTCTGACATTGGCAATAGAATTATAACCCAAATGGGCTCCTAAAGCTTGGGTTAATCCCATAGTAGTGGTGGACTTACCTTCACCTAATGGTGTTGGAGTAATACCAGCCACCAAGATATAATTACCAATTTCTTGGGTTGAACCTTCAATTTGTTCATCTAATCTTTCAATAACGGCCTTTGGGTTGACCTTTGCCTTGAAATGGCCATACTGCTCCAATTCAGCCTCCAAGATCCCAAGTTCTTTAGCAATTCTGGTGATCTTTTTGGGTTTTTGTGCTCTGGAAATATCAATGTCAGAAGGCACAGGGTCCTTCAATTCCAAGGGTAATGGTTTGAATGCATGTTCATGGGCTTTCTTAGCTTGTAAGACAGCACTATCATAGACATTGGAACATAACATGGCCACGGTCATTGGACCAACTCCACCAGGGACTGGAGTAATAAACCCAGCCTTCTTGGCCACTTCTTCATAGTCAACGTCACCTACTAACTTCCTACCGGATTTAGCAGTGGAATCTTGCTTATAGTTGATCCCAACATCAATGACAATGGCTCCTGGTTTGATCCAATCAGCCTTGACGTATTCAGCCATACCAACAGCAGCAACCACAATGTCTGCTTCCAGAACAATCACTGGCAAGTCTTGGGTATGACGATGACATACGGTAACAGTACAATCTTCATTTCTTAACATAGCAGCTACTGGAGTACCCACAATGTCGGATCTACCAATAACCACAGCTCTCTTACCTCTAAGTGAGATTCCTGATTGTTTTATGAGCTCCATACATCCATTAGGAGTACAAGGCTTGAACATTGGGTTCCCTCCTCTCTTGGATAGTTCTCCAACGTTGTATCTGTCAAAACCATCGACATCCTTTTCCGTTGCAACCGAATTAGTGACCAATGTTTCGTTGATATGTTTAGGTAAGGGCAATTGAATCAATAACCCGTTAACTTTAGGGTCTTTGTTCAAACGGTCAATCTCTTCCAATAACGTTTCTTCATTGATGTCGGCTTCAAACTTCAATAAGTTGGATACAATGTTGGAAGACTCAGCTGCCTTGAGTTTAGCTCGGACATAAGCAGATGAATCAGGTCTATTACCGACTTGGATGATAGTCAATGATGGCTTGAATCTCAACTGTTCGCTATTAAAGTGCTTCTTGTTATAGTCAACAACCTTCTCAGCAATATCGGTTCTTATAGCCTTAGCCAATTTGGTACCGGAAATAACAACGGCATCGGCCCTACGGATAGAGCTGTGCAATGCTCGGTAAGTAATGCTACTTCTGAACAAACGCCGCGATGCTAACATGCTTTCAACTGTTACAATTTGTAGTAGTAGTAGTGATGATAATAGTATTAGTATGAAAGAAACCCTTTCTTAAACTGTTAAGTTTATATTTGTATGAAAAATTTTTTGTGCATTCCTTTTTACCCGTATACAGGAGATCATCGGCTGATGGATAAACTTTTTCCCGTTCTTTTTATACATAGTTAACGATTTTTGTATGTGAAAGAGAAAAAGAAAAAAGAAAGCAAAAAAATCTGAATGAGTCATCGTGTTTTATGGCCACTTGTTAATGCTAAGTCTTAAGTTAACGTTGGTATGATAAGTTAATATCGCGGTTGAAGTCTGGGGTAATTGAAGTAGCCGTATCATTGGAACATATCGGTGATAAAAATATGCCGATGATAAGTCGAGGGCCGAGTCATAAAGATGTTAACTTCTTTGTATTGACCCGAGTCAGATTCCCGAGTCGATGAATGGTTATCAAACCTTCCTTGTTCATGCATTCGTAAATACTTACATACATACGTAAGTATGCACATGCATAATACACTCACGTCTTCAACCCACCAAGATTCTGTCGTAATTCATTAAGCATTACTTGAGCTCTAACCATAATATCATCCTTGCTATCAGCAACTTCGGCATACTCCCGAGGTTGACTCCGTCTACTAGTAAGACGTCGTTTAAGAGAATTGACAGTTTCGTATTCGTTAAATTGCACATCATTATTATCTTCATTCTCTTCCGATGGTGCGGCTGAATAAAATGATAATGCTTTTGATCTTCGTTGACTATTGATCTTATCTCTTGAGGACAGCGTCGACGACGACGTACTTGCTTTCAATTTCTCAAGTAGTAAATCTATAGCAGCATGGGAAGTGTCTCCTTCATTGCCCAGACTATCCAGATCCGAGTCATCTTCGTTGTCATTGTCATTCTCATCGGTTTCGTCTTCGTCTTCGACCTCAGCTTTCTGTGTTTCTGTAACTTTGATATGGGAATCTGATCCTGAGCTTGACATGGTGGCAGCGTTGGTGGCGGTTGTAGTAGTATCAGTAGTGTTGCTCTCTTGTGAAGTAGTTCTTTCATTCTGTTCATGGTTGATCGTTTTGGCTTCGACATCAAGTCGTTGAGATTCCTGTTTCTTCTTTATACTATTTCTCTTCTTTTTCTTCCTTTTATTGGCTTCTCTTTCCTCTAGCATTCGTTTCCGCTGCTCATACAATCGTTTTTCTTCTTCCTTTTGAACATTTTCAATATGAGCCTTCTTGAACTCGCCAATAAAAGTAATAAACTTACCAAAGAATGAATCACGACTTTGGTTATCTTTTGGATTCTCTCCAAAGTATTCCATTAGGTCTTCAAATTCACTCAGAATCCGTTTCCATCTCGAACTTAATAACGAGCATCGACTTTCAGCTTTATTTAAAGGCTCAATTATCGCTTCGAGGATCTTATCATCTGGGTGAAACTCTTTGGAGTTACTAAGATTACCTTTAGCAATGCTACTTTGGACATTGTTGATTTGGGTCTCAAACTCTCGAACGCTCTGTTCTAAATGTTCAATCAGAATATTCAGAATCATATGCAATGGTTGTAGTTCATCTACAAACATACCGTATTCTGGAAACTCATTTCTAACAAACTTTTCAATGTAGTTCAAAAAATGCATTGAATTGGTTCCATCCTTCATGAACTTAAGTCTTTGCAAAGTATCTAGTTTGAACCCCTTAGCTTGCTTTGAAGTATCATTCATGAAATTACCCACATTCCTAATGATCCCAAGAACATTTCGAAGACTTTGAGAACCTCGTAATGCCTTACATACTTCTTCAATTGCTTCTAGTCTGTTCATTAATTCTCTGTAATCCTTTTGGTATGTTTGAGATAATAAGAGTGCTCTAGAACGAGATTTCCAATAGTGTCTTAAATTAAAACATAAGCCAACAAATATTTCTTCTGCTCTCTCCAACTCATTAGGATCACGTTCGGGTTTCTTTCCCGATCTGAAATCAGTTGAATAGGGCTTGAAATTACGTATCATGCTGTCGTTAATATTTGACAATGAATCCTTATTGAAGAACTCTAATACCCCAATATTGGAAATCACCTCTTCATCACAACTAAGGACTTTGCTTATAAGTTCTTCGGCAGAAATGTATGCAAACATATGAAGATTAATACCAAATTGTTGAGCCATTTCTCGGGATAAAAAGCTGATCTTTGTAGGCTTATTAGCACTAATGTGGGCTTGTTTCTTCTTCTCTGTGGTTTGCTTCACAGCAAATTGCTTCTCTATTTCTCCTAGTACTCCCTTCTCTGCCAATTTATCTACTAAATTATAATCTGTGATCTCATCCCAGAATGTATTAGATGTATTTTCAAGTTTATCCCAGTGAATTTGTTTTAATTTGATCTTTGGTCGTAATCTTTCGTCAACAAACATTTCGTCTCTTTCCAAAGTTGTCGCCTGCGATAACTTCAACTCCTCATGGGACCTTGGTGGGTGGGTAATAGCAATATCTGTTGATGACTTGTTTAACTTAGGAACTGAGTGGATTGATGTCAAATCGGAAACACTGTTGCTCTTATTTAAGAATGCAGGTGGAGGTGGAGGAGGTGGAGGAGGAATAGAATTTAGTGAAACTGTTGACTGTGAAATCTCCTTCAATTGGTTTGGGAATGGAGGTGGAGGTGGAGGTGGAGGTGGAGGTGGGAAAGCTCCTTCTGTTATAAATGAAGGCATTGGGGGGGGTGGAGGTACCGAGACAGTAGGAGGTGCTGCTGATGTTGTTTTAGAAGACATAAACGAAGGCAAGGGTGGAGGAGGAGGTGCTGTTGGTGCTGGTGCTTCTGATACTGAAGAAGGCTGTAATATCAATGGTCCAGTAGCCATGAATGAAGGAAATGGGGGTGGAGGAGGTGGAGGAGGTGGAACTGCAGTTATTGCTTTTGAAACAGGTGCTTCTTTCCGGATGTTTCCCAATGTTTTAGATTCCAAAATATTATCTAAAACATCAAGGGCTTTGGATCTAGATGTAGTATTCACTGGGGACTCATTCTCAAAGTCAAATTCATCCAAAGTATCATCATTGGTATCTGATAACGAATTGATATTAGTATTAGCATGAGGAGAATTGGCAGTAAGGTCAATGACCACTTTACTAGTCCTTCCATGGGAAAGAACTGACTCTAATTCATTCACAAAAATAGTATTCAGCTTGATTGACTTGTCTGAAGACAAGGAAGATGGGATTAGGTGACTTCCAGAGTCGTTCATACTGCCAGAGTTTAATCTTTGTAGCAACTTCTTCTTTTCTCCCTCCAAGTGTTTCACTTGATATTGAAGTAGTCCAATATGTCTTTGTTGAGATTCAATTTTGAGAGTAAGAGCTTGAACTTCTTTACTTAAAGACTCGGTAGGTTTGTTAGTTTTATGTTGGTGTTGAATTTCATCTTCAAGATCAACTATTCTCCTTTCTAATTTGGAAGCTTCTTGAACTGCTCTATTTGCAGTTTCTTCGGTGGCTAGTCTATCAAGAAGTCGTTGAATAGAGCTATTGACCACAGTCGCTGGAGAAACATTCAACGTAGTTGAATGAGCCATTATATGCTGAACAATTGAATCTGTTAACCATAATAACTTTGATATTTGGTGGGTGTTTCTATTAGTATCCTTTAAAAGCACCAATTTTTGTAAAATACTCTTTAATAAATCTTGTTCTTCATCAAGCTTATATAATCGTTGCAAATCTTCAAAGAGATCCACCAATTGCAAATCATTTTCTTCATCTTCACCACCAAGTCCCAGAATTGTGGTTGTGTTGCAAATATCATTATAATCTTCTTCTGCAAACAGTTCGTATTTCTCGATTTCATTATTAATATTAACATCATCTAAGGATCTAAATTTTTGGAATATCTCTAGCAAGCCAGACTCACTAAATTGTCTTCGAATAGTAATCCTATCATCTATTGAAGGTAACCCCAATACAATGGAATTTATTAAAAAAAGTGAAGATAAAGTGTACCTTCTAAAGCTTTCAAACATCCCACCACTACCATGTAGTAAATGTTGGTCAAAGTTTTGTTCCAAAGCTTTAAACCACGGTTGAAATGGTACTGTATGGTTATACATGAATTGTATGGTTGTCATTGCTTCCAAGATATAATTAATGCAACTTCCATTCTTTAAATATGCAAAAAAAATTAAGATCTCTGTAACCACTGTACTTGTTGATAACCAAGGAGATGTTAAGGAGAAGCAAATGGCTTTAATAAAGTGACCAATATTCCCCAATTTTTGATCATCATCTGTTGAATTATTCAAGATTGATTTGATGCATTCAACTATAATAAATTCCTTTTCAAACTCTTCATTTGATTTAATGGTCTTCTTATTAATACGCAGAAGTATAACACATAAAGCTGAATCTCCTTGAGCTTTAGCAAACCTTTCTGTCCAAGAAGCGTTATACTTCTCCCCTAATCTTCTTTCCAACTTCTTATACCCCTTTAGATTTAACTTGTTGGAGATTATTCGAGCCACGTACCACTCTGGATCGCCTTCTTTGAATTTCTTAATGTTAGCAAAAGTATTGTTACTGGTGCTGCTGTTATTGTTAGGTTTTGGACTACCATCAGCTGAATTAACATTCTCTCTTGAACTTTTTCGGACGCTTACACTTCCGAAGATGGGGCCTTCCTTTCTAGTACCTTCCTTTCTTAGTTTCAGCACTTCCATTGAAGCTGTACTTAATGCTCCTTGTAAGTCAAACCCTGCATTGGTTTCATTTTCTCGTAGTAAAAGCTCCCATTTCCTCGTGGTGGATTGCTCTCGGAGATTACGTATGGCCGTGTCACTGAATACTCTTTTGGTAAGCATTTCCTCAAATAAGCTGTCGACTATTTCTGGACTGGGCATTATAACGTGGCTTGCTTGTAGAGCAAACGTGCTGAACGATTGAAGCGGACTGTTATTTGAAACGGAACTTAAAGTCCGTGGTGGTGGTGGTTTCAAGTCAGTTAACAGACTATTTCTCAGAGTATCACCAAGTGGTAAGGAACTCACACTGTGAGACCTTGGATCATCCAGGAGGTGCACCCCAACACCAACACCGCCCCCTACAAATTGAAGAGAATCTGTTGATAATCCAAACCCTGCTAGTTTCAAGCCCTTCTGTACTTCCTTTGTTCTTGGATCCAAGGAGCTGTATTGGTTGTTATCAGCCGTGCCACCACCACCTTTCGCAGCGATTGTATTATACCCAATGGAATGAAAGGAGGAGGCCAATAAAGACGAGGACGCAGATGTCAGCAGCTGAATGACTTCGGAAGATGGCTCGGGATGGCTCTTGCCTTGTTTTTTACTGGGTATGATCCTCATGCTTAGCATGTGTTTTTTGAAGGTATCTCGCGTCTTGCTGTGTTGGGGAGGAATCGGAGCCGAATCCGGAGCCGATGGTTGTGGATGTACAGAGTCATAGTCATCCATGTTGAATGTGATACGTCACCCTGATGATAGTAATGACCACGATGATTAAGAACAACAAGGATCAGCTCAAGCCATAGTAACGTCATTACTGGGTTTTGAAAACAATGTAAAGGTTTATTGATGGTTGATCTGGTTTTCTGTATGCAGGAACTTGGCATCGCGAAAAACATAAATTTATATGCAGTCGCGTATGATTAAAAAAGCGTATACCATTAGTTAACTTTCGTACATAGTAATGGTGTTTAACCTTATAGTTTAGTATAGTATAGTATAGTTATACTGTATGATAGCAAGTGTATAGATATATTGTATATCATACGTATATAATTAGCGTTGCACTACCACGACTTCTCCTACTACTACTGCTACTACTTACAAAATTGGGTGTATCTCATGTCCAAGTTAAATGGTAGGAGACCAAAAGGTTCCGTACGTAACAATACTAATCAGCCCCTGATAAGAAGTTTCTTTGTCGCAGCCAAAAGAACGATAGAAGCATCGTCTCTGCCATCTTCGGAAGTTTATCTGTCCCCCCCACGTTCGGTAGAAGAGAAGTGTTTCTTGACGCGTCAATCGTCGTTACTTGTGAATGGTGATGATGAAGGAGCCTTTGATGAAGTATCGGATACTTCGTTTGATACCTCGGTCGAGGTGGTTAATGTTGGTAATCCCATGGTTTTAAAGTCGTTAACAAGTTATGGAACAGGCGATGGAACAGCTGCCAAAGCTAACGTTACTACTGCTAATGGTACTGCGTCCAACAAGAAACGACCACCTACACTTTCATTATTGCAACTGTTAAACTCTCAACCTCGGAAGGTTCCAAGATTGCGTCGTGCCAGATCGGAGTTGGATTCTGGTGAGGCCTTGACGGCTGCAACCGCAGCCACCGCATTTGATACTTCTTCCACCCGAAACTTGAGTGAAGAACAAAAGAAAGTCATTCTAACTGTTCTACAAGGTAATAATGTGTTTTATACTGGGAGTGCTGGTACAGGTAAATCGGTTGTCTTGCATGAATTGGTGACTAGATTGCGTCATCGACATTCCAATGATGCTATTGGTGTCACAGCATCCACTGGACTTGCAGCCATGTCTGTTGGAGGTATGACTCTCCACAAATACTTAGGTATTGGGTTGGGGCATGGAAGTGCACAAGATCTTTTCACTAGAATCAAGCGGGATGGAATCCTCTTGAGTCGTTGGAGAAGAACAAAAGTGTTGATCATTGATGAAATATCAATGATAGACGGTAGACTTTTTACCAAATTGGAGCAAGTTGCCCGGTTAGTATTGGCAAATAATAAACCCTTTGGGGGAATCCAAATTGTATGTTGTGGGGATTTCTTCCAGTTACCTCCAGTAAGTAAGGGCAATGATGTGCATCAATATTGTTTCCAAAGTGAAGTATGGAACACAGTTATTAAAGTGGTCATTGATTTGAAATGTGTATTCCGTCAAAAGGGTGATGATGAGTTGATTACTATGTTGAATGCCGTTAGAACTGGCCATATTACCAAAGAGATTGAATTGAAATTTAAAGCTTTACAAAGAGATGTGCCTTATGATGACGGCATTGAACCAGTACAGTTGTTCCCTACTAGAAACGAAGTGAAACGAGCCAATGAAATGAGATTGGCCCAATTAAGCAATGGCATGAGGTCATTCATAGCTGATGATGAATGTAATAATCAACAGGATAGTTTACTTTTGGAAAGTCTTATGTGTGAAAAGGAGTTACTCCTTAAGGAAGGTGCTCAAGTGATGTTTATCCAGAATCAAACCCTGACTATTGTTAATGGTACTCAAGGCACGGTGCTTTGCTTTATGAGTGAAGAAGTTTATACCAAATGCGTACAAGTTTATTTTATGCACGATAAAGACCAGCAAGTGGAGAACGAATGGCTACTTATAGCTTCAAGAATGGGTACTTCCAAAGACTGGACAGAACAGGAAAGGAAAGTAGTGGATAGCATTCCATCAGATAGAAAACGGGAATTTGAAAACTTAATTTACCATGCTGTTCTTTCGGTTGCTAAACCAATTCCCATTATAAAATATAAACATGATGGATATTGGAATTATGTTTCTGCTCCTAAGTCCGAGTTTACGGTTATGACCAATGGGAAGAAGATCGCCACAAGACATCAAATCCCATTAATATTACTGTGGGCCATGTCTATTCATAAGGCTCAAGGTCAAACTTTAGAAAGAGTTCGCATTGATCTTAGAAGAGCCTTTGAAGTTGGCCAGGTATACGTTGCATTGTCAAGAGCTACCAATCAGAAGCATCTACAGGTGATTAATTTTGAGTCTAGAAAGATAACAGTATCACCAGCTGTTAAAGAGTTTTATCAACGATTATAGGGTATGCATATTTAAAACATCACGTGACTGAAATAATTTGCAGCTATTTTCAGTCACGTGATATATATTCTCATATACATCACGTGACTTTTAAAATCTATAAACTGTAAAACTTTTACGTACTAAACTTATAAGCCTCTCTTTATCATTTTCAGTAAGCCCTTACTATGTCTGATCTTGGGTACAATGGTTTCCCTGTGTTTCTCAACTACTTCAGTGGGATCCCAGACACAAGTCTCATAACCAATGACTCGTTGTCGATTCAGTTCAAGGCTCTACTTAAGAAGGACCCCACCACAAAAGAGAAGGCCCTTGGAGAATTGATTAAACTTCAACAAGTTAATGATGATAATGCAGATGCGTTGATCACATGTTGGATCCAGATGTATCCGAAGTTGGCTATAGACAATTCCAAGAATGTTCGGGTGTTGAGTCATCAAGTGACGAGTCATATTGTATCAGTATTGGGTGGTGGCAAATCTTTGGCCAAGTACTTTAAAAGTTTTATACCCATTTGGTTGATGGGTACCTATGAAAGCGATAAGGTGGTTTCTACCACGTCGTACAAGGAGTTATTGGTATGTTTTGCCAATGATAAGGAGAAGTTAGACACCAAGGTGTGGATGATCTTTGAGGAGCCCATCCTTCAATTCATAGAGTCAGTTATTATGATTGATACTTGGTCCACGTTATCGGACGATAGGTATGTGACAAAGGACGATTCCATAATGAAATATGAACGGGTTTTAGGCAGTGTAGTGCTTATGCTTAACAAGATGATCTTACTCAATCAGATATCTAATATGGACAAGGTTGACCATATTTTAAAGTCAAATCAGTTATGGCAGTGGTTAGCGTGTTATCTGAACAACGGGTATTTGTTCAAGACCATTCTTATATTGATAAAGTCGGTTTTCAACGGAGGGATGCTCGTCAATAAAGATATCCATAAGGTTGTCAGCAAAAGTTTCTTCAAAGAAGTGAAGTTGAAGTCTTCAAAATCAAATAATCCAGTGGTTTATAAATCCTTTATCCTCCAGTTCTGGTCAACCCTTGATACGTTGACAAAATTTAAAGATCCCAGATGTAAAAAGAGTTTTTGGCAATTGGGAGGTTCAAAAAGTTTCAATAGACTCGTGGATTATTTGAAACTTGGTCCATGTTCTCTGGATCCAGTGTATTACATTATCTTGAGTAACTTCTTTGAGTCTTTATACGATCAAACTCCAACTAATGAAGATAATGAAGATGTTGTGCTTAATTTCAGTAGTAAGGAAGATGGAGAATCGATTCTATTGAAGATTTTGGTTAAACAATTTACAAATCTGCCTTTGATAACGTATAAAATCAAATGTCTTGAATGCATCTTAAGAGTTTGGACCTTATTTGCTAATGAATTGGACCCAATGGATTCCAATGACCTTCTAAAAAGAATATTCTCCATTGTACTCGAAGACAAAGTCAATGCCAATATTCTTGAGGTCTTGGTTAGCAGTATGAAGCAAGCAGATAACGTGGATGATATATTGAAGAATTATACCGAACCCATTTGCCGTGCCATTAGTGAAAATGATTTTCAAATGGAACGGTTGACTATTAACTTCATTCAACTATTAGCTCTCCTCGATACACCTGAGGTTCTTCAACAATTGTTGGATCTGATATCCACCAGCGTTGAAGAAAACGAATCATTAGTGGAACCTACACTTCTATTCCAAGTTATGATGTTCATCTTGGACCATAATAAGTTTGATATTACGACTTTGATTGCATTGGCCCCTATGTATATCGAACAGTCTTTCATTGACATTCCATTGAAGTTCTTGAAAAAATTGGTCAGTTCAAGCTATCATTATGAAGACATTGAACAACTTGTTGATGATTATTTTATTAAAATCCAAGCAGTCGATCCCAATCAGCTTGTATCCCTTTTGGAGATTAAAGACTTGCCCGTGTCAATAGACTCTGAAGTTGGGAAATGGCTTTTAGGAATCTCCACAAATCCAAAATACTCACAAGTCCTATTAAAATACCTTCATCTACCAGGTATAGTCAATAACATCTTGAGCAATTCCAAAGATGACGATATCTATTTGCTGCTTATAGGAAAGTCGGATGTGGCTGTATCCAATGAGATCCTTCAAGTGTGTTGGAGAAATGGTGATAACCTTGGCGTTCAAGATTATATTCGATCATTGGATCCAGAGCTATACACAGTATCCTTTAGAGACTTCATATTAAATACCAAATCAACAACAGACCAAGACCATTTGAAATCACTACTGAAGCTCTGTAATGATTCCTTGTTAGGTTTGCTTCAAGATTATGTTAAAGATAATATTGAACACTTGGACGTGGATTCATTATTGATTTCCAATCCTCTTCAACACAATGTTGCCTTAGTTCGGGCCAGTGATGGTGATAAGTCCAAACCAATAATCAATGGGAATATCTTGAAACTTGGACATTTCATCAACAATGTGGACCATCTTAAAACTTCCCAGTTCACTATCTTGTGTGGTATAATTAGTGAGTACATTCTGGATTATAACCTGTTGAACAATTTGGTTGAAGTCAATGAAGATCTGATACTGTTAAGAACAAATTTACAGAGCAAGTTCCAATCTGGAACAAGCCTTGATCTTGGTGTTGTATTTGGTGAAGACGGAAGCAACTCTAATTCCAATCCATGTGCTATGCTTGTTGAATATGTCAATTACAAAGACATTTCCATGTTCAATTTTTACTGTGCTCGATTATTGAAGCAATTGCTTGATAATTCCACTGCATTTGAAGTGACAACGAACTTGACAAAATTATCACCACTTTTAATCGCTGCTTTTCTCAAAAGTGATATGATGGAGCACTTCAATAAGTCCCAACAGAACTACGACCGGTTGAAGAACTATGTCTTTGCTGAGATCTTGGGTGTTAAATCAAATGATATCATGAATTCAGGCATTAAGTGGTTGACATTAAGTTTGAACTTCCTCGATGAAATTGAAACTATACCCTCTCAACGGTTGAACATGGTTTTAAGTCAACTTGGAAAGTGGTTGGAGAGTGAAAAAGCATATGATCCAGAATTCTTGACTGTCAGAGTATTGCTTTCCATATTCTTTGGAGGAATAATGAATCACCAGCCAGAAAACGAAAAAGTTTATGAATTGGCTAATACTTTAGTTGTGGATAACTTGGAAACAATCACAACTACTCCTCAAAGTGTTTCGTTGCGCTATTTCACCTTCAAGTTGATGAAGGTCATCATTAAAAATCAAGGTGGTGATTATAATGAATTATTATTGGACATTTTGATAAACAAAGATATCCAATTGTATGATGAGAATATCAATAATCAAGTAGTGGTCAATTGTTATGGGGCATTACAACGAGTGATCGAAGCTCAAAAGCCTTCGTTCAAAATCATTGGCGCTAACTTAGACAGCTTCTATTCTCTTGTTACCCAAAGACATATCGCTTCCTTACAAAGAATTGGGGTGTATTTATTACATGATTTCATCATCAATGAACAACAGGAATTTGTTATTGAGTATCAATTGCAAAAATCCACTTTGAATAATAATGACGATACTCCCATTGAAGCCAAATTACCCCAGCAATTGCTTGATTGCATCACCACCACCAACTATGATACCATCACTTATGGAAAGTATTTGTGGAGTTGGTTGTTGATCTTGGATCACTTCAAAGACATCACTTATTCCATTAGAAATTCATACATTCTTCAAGTGGAGAAGGAGCTCCATAACTTATTGGACTTCATAGTGTACCATGTTGATTTGACCAAACCTGGCTTATTGGAACTTGAACACTATGATATACTCAACGATGATTTAGAACTGGATCCTCAAGTTCTTTTATTCCATTTGTTTTATCTTTGTCTCAAGTACTTGGGGTCTCTGACTCAATCGTGGTTGAATGGCATTCGAGACCGTCAATTAAAGAATCGGATTGAAAGATTTACCATGAAGAATATATCACCAATCTTGATCAATGAAATCTTTGAAGACATCACCAAATCAAAGAACAAGCTATCCAATGATTTGATGACATTGAAGATTAACCAAGTGACCAATGAAATCAAATCCACTTATGTTATAGATGAACAAACCATGGAAATGATCATCAAGATTCCTGAATTATATCCTTTAGCCAATGTGACGGTAGATGGTCCCTTACGGTTGGGAGTGAACGAAAACCAATGGAAGGCATGGCTTCTTGCTTCGCAAAGAATCATTTCTTTGACCAATGGTTCTGTTTTGGAAGCAATTGAAACCTTCAACAAGAACGTTAGTTATCATTTCTCCGGATTTGAAGAATGTGCAATTTGCTATTCTATTTTACATCAAGACCATTCATTACCTTCCAAAACATGTTCTACTTGTGGGAACAAGTTCCATGCTGCTTGTCTTTATAAATGGTTCAAATCTTCTGGAGGATCAACATGTCCCTTGTGTCGTACGGCATTCAACTTCAGAACAAGAACATGATTCAATCATTCAATTCATTTCTTTCTTCCGAATTCTTCAGGTAGTCTTGTACCGTGAACTCCTCCTCCTCCCATGGCCCAAGGTGCAGCAGTCATTGAGATGTTTGACTTGGTGGTATACACACCGGAGCCGTTGTTTCTGATCTGAGGCAATCGTCCACCACCATCATCAGTCTGTACTTGCTTGTCTTCAGTTGGTTCATTGACAGGTAAAGGCTGTAAAGTGTCGAAGTTGACCCAAGAATAGATCTGGCCAAACCAAAAGTGCTGAACCACAGGGAACTTGTTAAACACTTCAACCTCATACATCTTTAGCAACCCCTTAAGAACCTTAGACCATTGGTACACGGACGTATGGATGTCATATAGGATTGGCGAATGCTCTTTGAATGGACCCAGTTTGATCTTGAACACAAAGGCTATACCATTCACATACAAATTGGTAAGCTTATAAGTGTGTATGACTTGAGCAGTCAAGACATTCTGCACCAGAGGAACAACTGACAGCGAGTCGGATGTCTTTTGAAACTGGGCTGCTCCGATAATATAAATCAAGTGGAAATGATCATCCAATCCCCACACTCCATGAGAACCAGCAGGTTCCAAGTTATATTCCACTATTAGTTTTCGAGCTACATCATAGTACTTCCCAAAGATATATAGAAGCTCCTCACCATCCAATTGGTCCATGAGTGGACCCATGAACGCAAGAAACGAAAGCTCATGGCCAGTACCAAAGTCAAGCCTAATGGACGACCCAAAGGAGTTATTCAAATAGTAAATCATTTCATCGACATTATTGCTGCTGCTGATAATTGATTCATTATCTCGGAAATACATGTCCTTGCCGATCTTGAGATGCCATTCTTTGCATGCCAAATTCCCAAATCGACGGGGTCCTTCGATTGGTGGGGTCTCGTCAATGTACTGGTTGTATCTGTTAAGTACTGTCACCACTAAATGAAACGTCTGATTGGTTGAAACGGTGTACAAGTCAGGCTCGAACCCGAATCCTTCTTCTTTAAGATCATTGTCCGTTCCATTGGCCCGGCCTCTCTGTGCCTGGCTCTGTCCTTGAACTTTCTTGGATCGTGTAACTATAGAAAGATCAAGTCCCCTATAAGGAACACTCTTACCTTCTACTTTGGTAAGAAGGGTGTCGATAGCTTGATGTAGTTTCTGGTACGCTACAGATTTCCGGAACGAACCCAAATCTTGTCCGTCAAAGATCTTCTTAACGGGAATCATGATTAACGAAGAAGAAGAAGAAGAAGAAGAACATTCTGTGTATTCATAGCTACTTACAACACACGACGTTATAGTTTTTCTTGATAGTATATGGTAGCGCTTGTTTACGTAATATAATTGCTGTTATTATGTAAGTATTCTCTAACATGCTGTATTGCGTCATGATTATTACGTAATCCGTCACTGAATCAGATCTTCTTCATCACTCCAAGATAATAAGCTTTCGGTTAGAGAAACTGTTTTCCCGGCTTTTATCGGAAATGGCTGTTCCTGTTCCGTAGACCCAATTGTATCTGCTTCCGATGAGATGAGGTTTATCACAGAAGTGGAAGTAGTAGTAGCTGAGGTATTAGCAGTGGTACTAGTAGTACCAGTAGTAGAAGTAGAAGTAGTAGTACCAGTAGAAGTAGTAGAAGTAGTAGTACCAGTAGAAGTAGTAGAAGTAGTAGTACCAGTAGAAGTAGTAGAAGTAGTACCAGTGGATTTGGGACTGGACACGAAAAATGGGTTATCTTCTTCTTCATTTGAATAACCCACTGTTGCGGGTTTGGTTGGAAAATAATTAAGCTTACTAAAAAAAGTATCAACCGATTTCTGGCCGGGAAGAAAGGCATTCTTCTTCTGCTTCTTTCGAGGTGATCGAGTAGGAGATACATAATTCGTGAACACTGGTTGTAGTTGTTTTTTCTTATTTGGAGAATATTGTAGTTCACTTTTTGAATGAGTTAGCTTTGGGATCGTTGATAATGGTTGAATGTGATCAAAATGATCCTTCTTTGTAGGTGAAAATTGCTTGAAATGATCAAGAGTTGTAGATTGTTTATTTGGAGACTTTTGTCGATCATATTTCATCACTATTTCCTTATTGAATCGTTGTACAATCACTCTTGGAAGCCAAACGTAGTCACCTCTTTTAGGAGACTTCAGTGGAGACTTCAACGGAGATTTTGGCGACTTCTTTAATGGTGAAGAAGGAGGTAATGATGGAGACCTGTTTCTTTTTCTTATATCAAAATGATCTCTTAGTCTATCTTCTTCATATTTCACCATTAGATTTGGTATTAACCCAATCAATTTATCTCTGGTTATGGAGATATACTGAATTGCTGAAGATAATTGAATTAACTTAATAATCAAATATTTGATGGGGAAGTCACCTAATTTGGAGCCAAATTGGAACTGTCTTTCGTCTTCAATCTTAGCATTACTAAGACAATTTGTAGCAAACTCCATTGGGGTTTCAAGAACCAATGGTTTCAAATAAAATAGTGGAAAATTAGACGATAATTGAATGGATTTGGGAATAAATCGCATCCCAAATATCTTTTTAGCATTATTTTCAACGTAATTCAATAGATTTTGGGAGAACTCAAGAATCAAAGATTCTCGTACTTCACTATCTTTAATACTTTCATGTTCAATGAAACATTCAATAAACTTGTGTGTCCACTCCAGATTAGAACTGACAAGAGCAGCAGATCGCTTTGAGCCTAAAGACCGAACCCCTTCAGAATAATCACCTCCTCTTAAAGATGCTAAGAATATAAAGGAGTTTCTGGTCCATACCTTATTATCATTAATATCAAATACAGTGACATTATATTGATCACTATTATCTTCCCTGGTCATGTTACGGAGTACTTTCGTGGCACCAAAGGCAAAGCAATCACTATCATTGGTGATAACATAGTCAACTACTCCATGCATTTGGTAATAAGCACATTGAGCTTCGGCTTCGGCAGGACAAAACAAATATTGAATACCCAAGTTCTTCAATTGTGCAATAGTCTTGTCTATAAGGGGGTACCCCGTCTCCCCTAAGGAAGCTTCATCACCTTCATGGCTCATATACATACTCCTCAACTGATCATAGTTACTATTATTGCCATGATCATGACGTAGTTTATACGGTTTATATATGCCATCAAACACAACAACGTATGTAATCCCTAAGGCCGACAATGCCAATAGTTTGGCGGTGAAGTTGCCAATGGTGATCTTATCTTGAAGTTCAGACGACGTTCCAGAGCCTTTGGTTGATCCCAAAAGAAGAATGTTGCCATCCACTGCTACGGTTGGAGGTGAAGGATGGTTACGATAATGGTCAACCACAAACTGGGAGAGGCTGACTCGACCTAATTGGGCGTCGGAGTCAATGACTATGTCCCAGAGGTCAATGATCCCCATAACTCATTGCGGGTGAAGGGATGACTGAAGATGAGCTCAAAGGATGATGATAGTGATGATGTTTACCTTTGATAAGATCAACCAACCCCAGATTATGGTTGGTGCACGACAAACAAATATGAAAAAACATGCATGTTGATCTTGCACGACCGTATTGATGATTTGTATGTGAAAAGCGTACATTTAGGTGAAATTCAGAACTTATAGAAATGATTATGGTTAATGAGTGCTTTCAGTCTTCAAAGGTGTGCTACTGTAATTTACTGTGGTGCTGGAATATACTAAGACAATATCTGTAACTGCATTGTAAGATTATAACTACTCAATTACATATTGTACTGTGTAGTAATACTTTTAATTAATATTGTCTATTAATATTACTCTAATGCTACGTTAATTGTCTTCTGATAGAAACCTCCGGGGTAATGGAAGTTTCCTATTCCGGCAACACCCTCTGTCACGTGAATTTTTAAGCTTGCTCCTTTCCCCCGGCGATACTAACTCCCCGGGGAGGCCTAATTGCCTACAAAGCGGACCACACCGGGTCGTGCTTTCCGTAGTGTTCCGTGATTTTCCAGTCACATGAGGGTTTTGTACTCGTTTACCCCAGATTTTTCCCCATTACCACGGAGTAATGGAGGTATTTTGTGTCATATCCCACCAATTAGCATAACCCATAGGGCAATTTTGTAGACAATCAGCCTTAGTAAAGTAGCAAAGTTCCGGGGAGGGGCCCTTAATACTAGTAAGTATCACAGGGGTATATAAACCATAAGATATCCCCAAAGGAAGAGGATGTTTTTCTTATTCTCACATCATTAAAACCATACACTACTACTTATAATAGTAACATCATTATGGCTCCTCCAATTGAATCCTCCATTAATTTTGGTGCTCATCCAACCATTACATCTAATCAAGATCCATTAGTTGAACAATTGAGTTTGAAAGAGGATGTGTTGATCAGACACAATTCTTCCCCTGCTCAATTATACGAAGATGGTTTGCTTGAAAAGGGTACTACCATCTCCGCCACCGGTGCTTTGATGGCCTATTCCGGTAAGAAAACCGGTAGATCTCCAAAGGATAAGAGAATTGTTGAAGAAGAAACTTCTAAAGACGATGTTTGGTGGGGTCCTGTCAACAAGCAAGTTGATGAATTAACCTGGAAGATTTCCAGAGCTAGAGCTTTGGACTACTTGAGAACAAGAGATAAGTTGTTTGTTGTTGATGCTTTTGCTGGTTGGGATCCAAGATACAGACTTAAAGTTAGAGTCATTTGTGCCAGGGCTTACCATGCATTATTCATGACCAACATGTTAATCAGACCCACTGAAGAAGAATTGGCTAATTATGGTGAACCTGATTTCACCATCTACAATGCAGGACAGTTCCCTGCTAACCCCCACACTAAAGGTATGACCTCCCCCACTACTGTTGAAATCAATTTCAAGGATATGGAAATGGTGATTTTGGGTACCGAATACGCTGGTGAAATGAAGAAGGGTATCTTCACCGTCATGTTTTACATTCAACCAATCAAATACAAGGTTTTGACATTACATTCATCATGTAATGTTGGGACCGAGAAGGGAGATGTCACCTTATTCTTTGGTTTATCCGGTACCGGTAAGACCACGTTATCAGCAGACCCCCACAGAAAGTTAATTGGTGATGATGAGCATTGTTGGTCAGACAATGGTGTGTTTAACATTGAAGGTGGTTGTTATGCTAAATGTCTTGACTTATCCGGAGAAAAGGAACCAGAAATTTTCAACTCGATTAAATTTGGTGCCATTTTGGAAAATGTCGTTTACAACCAAGACACGAAAGTCGTGGACTATAACGATTCTTCAATCACCGAAAATACCAGATGTGCTTACCCCATTGAGTTCATTCCATCAGCTAAGATTCCTTGTTTAATTGATTCTCATCCTTCTAATATCATCTTGTTGACATGTGATGCCTCCGGTGTGCTTCCTCCAGTTTCCAAGTTGAACTATGACCAAGTGATGTACCATTTCATCTCCGGGTACACTTCTAAGATGGCCGGTACCGAGGAAGGTGTCACCGAGCCCGAAGCCGTTTTTTCTGCATGTTTTGGACAACCTTTCTTGGTGTTGCATCCAATGAGATACGCTCAACAATTGGCCGACAAGATTGCCCACCACAAGGCTAATGCATGGTTATTGAATACCGGTTGGGTTGGTGCTTCTGCTGCTAAAGGTGGTAAGAGATGTCCATTGAAATACACTAGAGCCATTTTGGATGCTATCCATGGTGGTCAATTGAGCTCTGCTGAATACGAACAATTCCCAGTGTTCAACTTGAACATTCCAAAGGCGGTTCCTAACGTTCCTGCTGAGATCTTAAATCCTGCCTCTGCTTGGACTGAAGGTGGTGATTCCTTCAAGTCTGAAGTCAGCAAATTGGCTGGTAAGTTCCAAGAAAACTTTAAGACTTATGCTGACCAATGCACTGACAACGTTAAGGCTGCTGGCCCAGTTTTGTAAGCTTATTTATTATCATTATACTCAATATATCAACTATTCAGATAAAGAAACGTAGCGACATTATTATAAAGAAGCACTAAATGTCGCGTTTTATTATTACGTATGGGGCTTCTTTGGATCTGGTGATGATGAAGATGATCTTCGTTTGAAAGAAGATCCAAAAGCCGTACCTTCGTTAGAGTCCTCATCAGCAGGCGCAGCAGCAGGAGTAGTATCAGCGGCTGTGCTTGTCTTTGTATTTGCTGCTTCGATTCTTTCTAACTTCTTATTCAACATCTTCATCTTCATATCATAAAGCTTCTCGGTTTGTTTCCTTGTTTCCTCTTTGGCTTGAGTGATCTTAATTCCGACTTCATCTTGCAATTGCTTCAATTGAACCTCGTTTTCCTTTCCATGTTCATCTTTAGCCTGCAACTCCGATTTCAATTGCTGCACTTCGGTCAAGTGACTTTCTGCTTTTGTCTCTAGTTCCGATTTCAATTGATCCACTTCGGTCACGTGACTCTCTATTTTAGCCTCTAATTCCGACTTTAATTGCTGAATCTCTGACACGTGACTATTCTGGAGCTCCTCTTTAGCTTCCAACTCCTCCTTCAATTTAGTTATAGATTCACTCAATGATTTGATCCGTTCATTCTGTGCTTGAAGCTTAGCATTGGCCTTGTCTCGGATATTGTTATACTTTTGCTTCAAAAGCTCATATTCCTGTTCGTTATTGGGCGGTGGTGAACCCTCGGTTTCACCCACATGTTGAACGGGAGTTTGCGCTTGAACCACTTCAGCTTGAACTTGAGCCTGTGATTGTGCTGCATCGTTCAATCTTCCTTTCAACCGTTCATTTTCTTCGGTAAGTAACGACACTTGTTGATCTTTGACGGATATATCCATCCTCAACTTGCGTATTTCCTCTTGTAGTGGTCGTAACTCTTGTTCCAACCGTTTGGCTTGCGCTTCCCACGTCTCGATCTTATGTAAGCTTGCGACATTCTCGTTTCTTAAAGTCATGTTACTCTCTCTCAAGATGTTCAATTGCTCTATTTGCTCTTTAAGCTTATCATGTTGCTGAGCAAGATCATCACCGTTATTGATCTGGGAATGTTGAAGTCTGGTCAACTCACTTTGAGCTACTTCCAAATCCGACAGTAATTGGTGAACTCGTTGAGTCAACTTAACCTTTTCTTCATTGGCAGTAATGGCCTTGGCTTCAGAGCTTTGACATTCAGACCTTAAATATGCAATCACTTGTCTCAAATCTTTGTCGTTGTCGTCGTTGTCGATATAGTTGTCACCAACATGGTCACGCTTCCCGACATCTAATTGGTTCATTAAGATGACGTTCTGTTGCTTGAAATCATTCAATTGCTGATGAACAGTATCCAATTCCTTCTTGATCATCTCATTCTCTTGTACTAATTCCTCTTCCTTAGACACTAACATCATCTTCTGTTGACCAAGTTCATCTGTCAACTTTGCAATGGTGGCTTGGCTCTCACTTATGGTGTCATGCAATTCTCCTACCTTCTCGTTCAAATCTTGCTTAACTTCTAACTCCTTTTGGTACTTGGATTGAGCCTCTTGAACAATTCGGGCTTGTAGTTCCAACTCTCTATTCAAAGATACAAATCTGGCTTCCGTCTCTTTCTTCAACAGGTCATAGGCCAAAGCTTTCTGATTGGCTGAATCCAAATCGACCCGGAGTTTGGCCATTTCTTCCGTAAACTTGGCGTTTGCCAGTTGCAATTCCTCTGTCTTTGCTTGCTTGTCTTGCTTGAGCTCATTTATTTCGTCTTCAAGCAGCACCTTTTCTCGAAGCAACGCCTGGTACTTGGAGTCGTTCTCTAATCGATATGCTTCAAAGGTTTTGGTGGCATTTGAAAGTGCACTTTCAGCTGATTTGGCTATAGTTGTCATTTCATTGGCTTGGGTTTCCGCCACAGTCAATTCTTCCTTCAATTGTTCCAACTCAACCAATAATCGAGTCTTATCACTATCATTTGAAGATGAAGATGACGTAATAAACCTATTTTTAGATGCGTGGATTTGAGCATATAAATCATTGATTTGTTCATTCAACAGAACAATTTCTTCGTCCTTCTTCTTCAAATTGACCTTGGTATCCAATAAAATCTGACTCAACTCATTCACTTGCTCTAACTTGGTGTTCTGAGCCTTCCATGCCATCTCAGATTGATTAGAGATTAATAGGAGTTTCTCTTCTCTGTCTGCCAATTTCTGTTGCAAGTTTTGGTAATTTTCAATTGAATGGTTTAATCTTTCACTCAATTCTTTGGTAGATGATTCACTTTGCTTGAAAAGTCCTTGTAAATTCAATACAAACTCATTCAATTGGTTCTTTTCCTTTCGTAATTGATCAATATCGTTCAGATATGACTCAATAAGTGATGTCTTCATGTTAACTTCATTCTTCAAGCTATTCACAGCAATTTGATTGATGGAATTGGCTTGTTCAGCATCTCGTAACTCATTCAGCTTACTCAAAAAGAGCTTCTCTTGTTTCGATGCTTGGGTTCTCCAGAATGAAGACTCCTTTTTTAACTGTTCAATCTCAATCATGGAATTGTCTAATAATTTCTGTATCCCGCCAAGTTTTGTCTCTGCCAACTCAACTGAATGTTTCATATTAGATAATTGAAGGTTCAAATCATTTTTCGATTGAAGAGTACTTCTTAGTTTATCATTAAGTGAAGTAATTGTCTTTTTCGAATGGGTTTCAATCTCTTTAACTGACTTTTCTGTATCATTCAAACGTCTCTTCAAATCATCATTAATTTGGCTGAGATGTTTGACTTCATAACTGTAATTAGTCGTACTGTTGCTACTATTATTGTTGGTGGTTGATTGCATCTCTTTGATAGCATCCCTTTCGTTGGTTACAGCTTCTAATCTCAATTGAACACTCTGAAGTTCTCCTTCAAGAGTCATTATGGCCTCTTTGGCCTCTTCAATCGCTTCAGATTCAATGCTGTCTCTTTCAGATTCCTTCAGCTCAAGTTTCTGTCCCAATTGACGTGATACCAACAATAATTGTTGGTTCTTTTGCTCGAGCTCAATGATATTGGAAAATTCAACCAACCTGTTGGATATAAGCTCATCGGTATCTGATTGTATTAATGTCGTCGCCTTCTTGTCATTTAAAATTGAATCAGCCTCTTTGTTAATCCCACTCTTACTCAAAATGGTATCAATAGCTTTCCTTTCGACCGAAGTTAGCGGATTATCATCGCCATTCTCTCTAATCTTGGAATGAATTAAGTAATAGCATAATTGTCGTCCTAAATCTTTACACAATTTCCTTAAGGAATTGGCTTCAGATTGAACATCATTCAACGTGAACTTCAACTTCCCACACTCCTTTTCTCGTTCGAGTTTCTCTAAATTAATAATCTCTACTTTGCTCAAAGTATCATTGTAGCAAGACTTATAAAAGGCAATCTGCTTTTGGTAACTGGCAATGGTTGGTTTTTTAGCTTCTAATTCTTCAACAAATTGACTCAATTGCTGTTGAAGACTATTCTTTTGTGACTTTTCAAGGATCAATTGCTTCTTCAATTGACTATAATCAGTGTAAAGTGAAGCCAAATTTATCCCCAGTTCATTAACTAATAAATCTGAAGTGGAATCTAAATGAGGTAATTGGGTTTCCTTATGTAATTCTGATTCCAATGCATCTTGAGTATACCGTAACTTCTCTTTTAACTGTGTAATATCATTAGATTTATCCTTTAATTCAGTTTGTAAGTTGTTAATGGTATCAGATAATTTCTTCTTGAGTTCTTCTACATATGTTTCCAATTGGACAATTCTTTCTTGTCTCTGGGAGATTTGAATCTTGGATAACTCAACCAATTCGTCACTAGTTGCTAAAGCCGTTTCAAATTTGGACGTTTCCACGCTAAAGGATCCTTGAAGTTTTGTTAAACTATTGGTTTTATCTTCTAAAGACTTCTTTAAAGTTATAACTTGTTCCGATTCATTTTTTAGTCTCTTACTTAAAGTCTCATTGGAGTTCTTTAATGAAACGATTTCATTGGTTGAATTCAAATAATCAGATTCACTCTTCTTTAATATTTCAGTTAATTTGGTTTGGTTCTTGTTCAATTCCGTTTCAAACCAAAGATTTTGTTGTTGTAGAAAGTTTCTTTCATTGGTTACTTTTGTCAAGGCTAATTTGTTATCAAAATTGACATTTCTGATATCGTTTAATTCCTTAACAAGTTGATTAATTTTGGTATTTTGGTCAATATTTGTCTTAGATAATTTGTTAACTGCTTCATTCAATTGCAATACTTCCTTTTGATTGCTACTCATAATTTGGGAATACTCAGTGCTACTTTGAATATCTTTCCGTTCTAAATCATTTAATTGGTTTTGTAGTTGGTATTGTTGATCTTTGGATCGAGATAATTCCTTTAGGGCTTCGTTCTTCTCCTGTAGAAGAGTCTCGTTCTCTTCAAGTAGTGTCTGGACTTTATCACTATTAGCATTCAACGAGTCTTGGAGTTCCTTGAATTTCTTGTGTTGAACATTGGTGATCTTCTCCATGTTTAATTGAACAAATTGAAGATCTGAACGTAACAGATCTGCTTCTATTGATTTGTTGTAAATGACATCAATGAGTTGTCTTGGAATTTCGGCAATTGATGTAGTGTTCATATTTAAATATGCTGCAACTCTTTCAATCTTCGAGGAGTCACCCAATGGTTGATGACCCTCAACCTTGTGCATTTGTGGGTGTACTTCAACTTGTTCAACTTGATGTTCAGCCTTCTGCATCTCAACATGAGGTTGTTCTTGATGTTCATCTTGATGTTCATCTTGATGCTCATCTTGATGCTCATCTTGATGCTCATCTTGATGCTCATCTTGATGCTCATCTTGATGCTCATCTTGATGCTCATCTTGATGCTCATCTTGATGTTCATCTTGACGTTCATATTGACGTTCATATTGACGTTCATCTTGATGCTCATTGTGCTCCGCATTCTGTTCAACTTGAAGCTGTTGATCACCTTGGAGTTGTTGCTCAATCTGTTGTTCAACATGATGTTCGCCTATTATTTGTTGCTGTTCTAGCGGTTCTGGCTGTTCTTGTTGATGGTCTCCATTAAGTTCCATTTTCACATCCTCTGGAACATCATTGGATAAAGCTACCATAAGTTGGTCTTCATTACCATTTTCAGTCTCATTATTCAGTACTTCTTCCATCCGTTGGTCTATTTTATTATCAATGCCTTCGCCATCAACTTCGTCTCGGATCAATGGAGCAGTTCCTCCATTCGATTCAGCTTCGTTCTCCATTGAACTTCCTCGGTTATTAGTTGATTCACTCTGTTTGTAAGGAGTAGCCTCATGATAGTTTATAAGTTGTTGATGGGTTTGTGTTTAGGAATTTCCATTTGGGGTTTTGTGTCATAATATAGTAATTATCTATGGTGATAACTGTGGGACGGTAATAGTGTGTCAGTTATGCCTATTTGACGGTAATAATAGGTGATAAACATATTGAATTGTGGCTCTTGTCTGTCTGTCTGTCCGTTTGTCTGTCTGTCTGTTTTGAGTCTATGTCTACAACTATATATGTGACTGTTTGTCTGTGTTGGCTATATGTCGGTGATAATCGGTATCCGTGCTCTTCCGCAATAGTATCACTTATGATGATAGCTATATTTAATGACTATATTTCACGATAATTACAGTTGCTTGTTCCATCTAGCATGGCTGCAAATATGTATGAATATATACTCATTTTGTGTCTATTATAGGGTTTAGACCCTATAACATCACGTGTGTATTTTTAAGTGACGCACTATTTTTCAAGTGTCTCACGTGACACTGTTTTTTTTGTTTCTACTATATACAGTCACTCCATTTTAAAGTTACCCTGCACTTCTTCCCAAACTGTATCCCACCGTGGCGGATGGAAAATTTTGACAAAATTGAAAAGTTAACTATAATTTGAAACTTGTACGCTCCTTTCCCCTTCTCTTAAGCATCCAACAAGCAGACATAGAAAATGATTGATCCATCCTTGAAGGTCTTGGCTTCCAAGTACAAGTGTGACAAGGCTATCTGCCGTAAATGTTATGCTAGATTGCCACCAAGAGCCACTAACTGCAGAAAGAGAAAGTGTGGTCACTCCAACCAATTGAGACCAAAGAAGAAGTCTAAGAACTAAGTTTGTTTTATTATTGAAATGTTTGGTCCCATTACATTCGAACTTTGATAATTATAATGTATTTATTATTTGGAATCATTTCCTAGCTGATAAAGGTTTTGAATGGAAAGGTATCTTACGGGACTTTAAGGCAACTATTTAGATGTAATAAATGACTTAATAAAGGAGAATATGATTGTAGTCGGTAAGGTATTGTTGGTATGCGGCTGTGTCAGTGTGTTGTGCTGAATTATTCGTTTGCACCAGTGAGATCCACTACATGTAATGTATTTGGTGCTGTATGATACTGTATCCGTGATACTGAGCACTGATTAGTAATTTTAGGAGTATGTTGACGCTATTGTAATAGTGTACTTGATGACTATTTCTACAAATGATTTCACCGAACCATCCTTACGCAGTTGTTAATGGTTGTTTGATCCAATACTGCATGACAAGTTGAACATACGATACCAACACTCTGTAGACACTGTATATACATACGATACAATATACATACACTGTACATACACTGTACATGCTCCGTACATACTCCGTACATACTCCATACTCCGCATATAAATATATGTATCATGCGGTATACATACACTGTAGCTGTCTCTGTCGTGCTGATCATGTCTTAGTGCGATAGCTCCCCACTCTATACTATTTCCGCACTATCCACTGATGTCCGAGCATCCACCATAGAAATCTTCCAACACACATTTTTAGGACTGGACACACTCACAAGCTATTCTCCTTATTCTTAGACGAGATAGAGCGGTAGATCTTTCGTATAGTAGGGCGGCTCCGTAATAGATTTAAAACATATTACCTATCATATTGTTACGTATCATATTATTACGTATCATCTATCACCATCGTCATATAAATATTACCTATCTGCTACTTTATTGTTACAGGTTATAACAAGGTGGTCATTTGTTTATATCCGATTGATTCATTGATTCATTTGGTGATAGTGAATGGTTGATTGATTGGCTGATTGATTGACTGATTGATTGATTGATTGACTGACTGACTGATTGATTGATTGACTGACTGACTGACTGATTGATTGATTGGTCTGTTTTTGTTGATTGTGTTTTGATCTGATCTGACCTGTCATATTCCTTAATGATAAATACCACTATTAATAATACTAATACTACTCCTAATAACAATAGTAATCCAGATATATCCTCCTCAAACAACAACACCACTTCCGGTCATCCATACGCTGTCACTGTGGAACCAGCTATCAACTCGTCCGTTCAACCGGCAACTCAACAAAAACGTCAAAATAGTAACTCGGGGTGTATGCTTTCTAATTCCAATAAACGAACTCCTCCAAATCCTTTACAGTTTCCTATGGCCATGCAGTCCTCGATACCTCAATCGCCTTCGTCTCATAACAAGCAACAGGAACAGCAACCGCAACCGCAACCACAACAACAACAAATGCAACCTAGAATGCTCCGTAGAAACGTCAACCAATCGTATCAACAGCAGAATGCATCGATGAAGACCCCAACACCGTCATCGTTTGAGTTGCCTTCGAGCCCGAATATGAATCAAAACAACATGGCTTCAATTCAAAATAATTCTGACCTGTCAGAGTCCAATGCATTGATGGAGAATGACCAGACCCAACAGCAACAGAGACTGTCATCTAAGGAGGCCAATGAGTATGGCTATGGACTGCAGCAGCACCAAGTGCAGCACCAGCAAGTGCAACAACTGCAACAACAGCCGAGAACGATGACAGATCAAGAACAACAGTTGGCAGCAAAACTAAAGGTTACATATAAGAACATTGTCAACTACGAAGAAATTGTTCAAAAAAATTGCATTGAAATAACATTAAAACTAAACCAATTTGCTATTTACAGTACAAACAGTGTTAGTGGTGGTTCTCCTCCCAGTCAACAGCAACAGCAACAGCAGCAGATGGTTAAGACGTCAGAATTACTGTCAGATTTGTGGACCATCTATCACCACAATATTACGTTGTTGGATAATTATTATGACTTCCTTGTCAACGCATTGAAACCTTCATCTAATCAAATCCAATTCAAGACAGGCAAGAATATAGTGGATCTATATAAAATTCCCAGAAGGATGTGGGTTTATGGAATTGTTGGATTTCTTGAAGTGCTAAAAAATATTATGAATGTCTTTCAAGATCATGAGATTTGTTCATGTTTTATTTCGTATTGTTTTACCATAATATCAAATTTAACAGATCCAATGTTGGAGATGGAAGGTTGGTGGTCTGAGAAGTTGGGTGACTTGTCAAGAATGGCCATTGCTTTATATGCTTCTAAATTCATTGATTGGAAAATTAGTGCAGAGCACTGGTACTCTGTGGCCATGAAATCCTTGTATGGTCATGGGAAGATCTACTATCATATGTGCACCGTGCAACAAGATAATTTGGAAGCTTTGGTCAACATTGGGAAATCAGTCATTTGCAGAGACCCCTTTGTTCCAACTCAACATTACCTTAGATTAGTTGTTGAGAACATATGCACTCAGAGGAACATTCTTCTGTTACTAGAGTTACCTATAATTGACTTTATCAAAATTCATAAAGTCTTGTTGACTATTTATCATCATACTATTGATCAAAGTTCGAATTCGTCTTCGATCACTGCCACTGGGTCTGCTACATCTCAATCCAGCGGGATTTCAAATAATAATAATAATAATAATAATAATAATATTGGTGATGGGACCGCTAGTGAAGGAGGTATTCGTGATTCACAAGTACAATACGGAATTGCATTAGTTACAAGGTATGGGATCACGTTTGGGTCTGATTCCAATGGATATAATTTCTTCACAAGAGAATTGTATACTCCTACCGGGATAACACAAATCCATGAGTCTCATAATCCATATTATTTTCAACAAGGTGGTAATGCAGCCCCTTATGTTGCGGCAGCCAATGTAAATTTGAACTCGGTAGAAAAGATGAACTTTTGGTTCAATAAGGGTCCTTTATTTGCGATTGCTAACATCAACCATTTGATTGGTTTTGGAGATGCCAAAAATCCATTTGCAAAGGTATTTGAATTACCTGAGGCACTCCGTGAACGCAAGGATAAAAAGGAAAAGAAAAGGAAATCACGAGCGGAGTCTCAAGGTATGGATGATATCCCCACTGGCGGAACAACCACTTCTTCTAATAATCCAGAAGTAGGAAACAATGGTAATATATCCCAATTCCTCTCGTCAAATGAAGGATCAATGGTTTTTGCTGATGTTTTGTCTCCAAGAGATTGGTTTTTCTGCCTTCAATATATCAACAAGTCAGTTTTGGAATTATCTATTCGAATCTTGAACCATTATTTGGTTGGACCCAAACAAGCATCTACACCGCATGTGATTGTGTGGTTATATTTCATGATAGCTGTGGGACAAGCCACCAACAAATTCCCTAATTCCAAAAGCATGTTTTTGTGGTTATTCAGAAAGTTATTTCCGTGGCAATCACTTATCAATTACTTAAACTCTGTTTTAGAGGTGGTAAAGAAGAGTAAGAAATTGAATGGCTTAATTGCGTCTTATTTAAGACAAGGGAATTATATGAGTAAATTTTCCAATGCAGAGTTTCTACCAGAAGTTTGGCAATGTTGGGGTACATTATGGTTTGATGCGATTGCACCCAAGGGTGATTTTACAGATTTGGAAGTGGCAGGTGTCAAAAACTCAGATATATTTGATCTTCCAACTTGTGGTACATCACCAGTTTTCAATACTTCCACCAGTTCTGTTTCGGGGATGAATAATGACCTGATGCTCGGTGCTGGTAGTCGTGTTCGTAGTATGAACATTGAAAAGGACAATGATGAAAGAATTGTTCGTATTCTTTTGTTGGCGATCGTTTTAGCAGACGAATATAATTTGGGGTTAATTAGAACTGAACAAGGATTCAGGTTTGAGAAGCAAACGTTTAAGAATACCGATACTATGGTTGGTCAAATTCCCGATGTTATTCCTCAGATTGAAGAGTTCTTATTGGCAGACGGAAGATTTGTACAAAACAATTTCTTACAGCCTATTAGTGCTGAGAATTTGTCCAGCGAAAGCATGATTTCGGCCAATAAGCTTAACGAGATTTGGTTTTCTTCTCTGGAAAGAGAAGCTGCTGTTGGTCAACCACTGAACAATGACGACAATGGCTATGAATTTTCTGCAACTGAGGATTTCCAAGGTTACATTGACGATGAAGGCACATATGCTGACTCAGAATTTGAGAATGAAGATAATAGTCAACAACTGCACAATGCACCAAGACAACAGTGTAATGCGCAATCTTCGCAACCATTGCATTTTCAACAGCAGCAACTGCAGCAGTCTGGACCGCCGGAACAACAGCAGCATTTTTACACTTCATACGAGGTTCCCTCCGATGATTGGTCTGTTGGCAACATTTATTTCGAAGGAGATTTAGGAGATCGAATGGATTCTCATCTCACGTACATTACATTGGATGCTAACTTATGGTTAAAGCATTGTGGACGAATATTTAAATGTGTTCGCAATGGAGTGATCAAAGTTCTGATTCCGTTGATTGTGTTTCAAGAGTTGAGAACATTACGGAAGTCTACTGAGGCCACCATTGCAGATGCCGCTACTCGGTCGATAATTATTATTCGAGAATTATTCTTGAGCAACGAAATCGTACCCCTTCGATTTGATGGTACGGTTGCAATGGATATTAATGAGACTACGGAATTAGAAAATAACTCGAACTGGCGATCCAATATTGATGAAACGATTTTAAATGCTGTCAGTGAACATGATGAGATTGGTAAGAAACTTTTAAAGGGATGGAATGTTAAAATTCACAATAGTAACGGTACAAAGTCGATGATATTGAATGCTCAAAACGCCAAGGCCCTTCGGTATTGTATATTAGTTACTGATGATCGGAATATGAGGTTAAGAGCTAAAACTGTTGGACTCACAAGTTTCCAAAGTAAATGGCTATTCACTCAATTGGAAACAGCGTTTCCTTACAACTGTATTGACTGATTGAACGATAACTGTTTCAGATTGGAGCTAACTCAAACAAAGAAAAAGAAAGAAAAAACCGATAAACAATTATAGAATTATTTTGTTGCATTTATTATTAAGAATTGTAATCAAAGATTGTAGACCATATTTGAAACGTATATGAATTGGTTGGCATAGTATATTATTTCCTGATAACAAGGTGGTGGGTGGGAAAGTCTGGGTCTGCACTGTCAGGACCTTCCTTATTGAGATCGAGTACCAGCGTATTTACGTGTTCCCCCCTTCTGCTGCGCTTTCTTCCTGCACGACGCATGCGCGTGGTTTGCAACCCCTTTTAGGAAGGGGGATTCATTTCGCAGTCAACTGCCATTACTTATTGGGGCAAATGCACCAGACACCAAATATGTGTTGCCAAATAGCGTAACGTATTGGACAAATAGAAGACATTATATGTAAGGGGGTGTATGTTATATGCACGCACCCCATGTTAAAAAGTATATAAAGAAAATGAAAACTTCATTCTAAAAAGTTTTAACCAAATCAAGTAACTAACTTAATCCGCTATCAAGTATCGAGTAAACTGTTGAACTATTTGTTCTAGTCATTCCTTTAAGCTCTAACTGATACTTTCATTCAATAATACACTTCACTTTCCTTTACTATTTAGTCTTTCTTTTTATCAAATATGAAGTTTTACTCGTTACTTGCATTGGCCTGCGGGTTATGCCACGTTGGTGCTGCTCCCATTAGAACAGTTTTGGTCACTCATACCATCTGGGTGACTCAAAAGGCGGCAGTTGATTCTACAGAAGCTACTTCAGTTATCTCCGCCACAACACCAGCTGTTGAAACTGCCACAACCACTGGTGGTTTCTTAGACAATATATTAAATGCCGCTTCTGACGGATCTAACATCTTTCAAGTGTCTGCTTTGGACGTTCAATTGGGTGTGGCTAAGAGCTCAGCCACAGTTGTTACATCGGCCACTACGACTGTTTCTACGTCCGCCGCCACTGCTACTACTACTTCCGCCATTGAATCAACCACGGTTGGTACTTCCACCGCCGCCGCTGCTGCCTCCTCCACATCACCCACTGGGTCCATCTACTCCGGTCAAGGTACCTTTTACGATACCGGTTTAGGAGCCTGTGGTTGGACTAGCACAGACTCTGACTACATTGTGGCCATTGATATCAAGACATACAATGCCCACAATGTCGACAGCAACCCCAACCACAATAGTTTGTGTGGGAAGATGATTAGAGCCTTTTACCAAGGCAAATCTGTTGATGTGAAGGTTGTGGACGCTTGTGAAGGTTGTAAGGTCAATGACTTGGACTTTTCACCCAGTGCTTTCCAGCAATTGGCTAATGAGTCTCTTGGAAGAATTGATATCACTTGGGAATGGTTGTAGATTTTTATATAATAATATGATTGAATTTGTGCTTAACTTTATTCTGTAGTCACTTTTATAAACTATGCTATTTTGTCACGTGACTTGTATCTTATTGCCCAAGATTGGTCACGGGAAAATGGTAGTCTCCTGACTCTGGGTCTTCTGCCTACGCCTGACTTACTTCACCTTTAGTCAATGAATCAAGCAATGTAAATAATTGTACCAATTTCTTAAGGTCTTTAATGGATTGACTTTGAGGCTTATAAATCTTTTTGGTGTCCACTGGTGCAGTTTCAAGAATATAATCTCTTTTCATGATCCCCACAATCAATTTCTGACATTTGGAAAGGAATTCATTGGCCAATACAACTCCTGGCTTATAAGCTGGACCCATGGATAAAAGAACAGCCACTATTAATTGGAAGATTGGAATCAAAAACTCATAAAACGAAATGGTATCATTAGTAGTGCCATGCAAATCATTTAAACTGGTGGGAGTATCTAATACCATCAGGATATTGATGTTTTTAAGGGAAGAAGAAACATCAATTTGAATCTCTAATCCGATATCCGGATCAATGGAAAGGAAACTTGAATCCTTTAAATAGGTAAATAATTCTCCTTGAATCAATTGCAAGGCTCCCATTTTGGTTTGAGATATACGAATGAAAAGATAAAGTGTGGCTTTCAAAGCTGTCAATTCATATACCAATGTGGACAAACTTATACCGGAATTTTCCTTCTTGCAAGCCTGGAGTAGTTCGTCTGTTCTCTTTATGGATCCAAGAAGAAATAAAAGGGCATTATTTCTGATCATATGGTCTAGAACAAAGCTGCTGCTTTTGTTGCGTGCTAAACTGACCAAAGAATCCAATAATAAAATCGATGTGATTCGGGCAGAGTCTTCGGAGTAAATGGAATCATTACACACAACTTCAAGGAATCTCTTGTCTAAGGACTTGATGAACACGTAAATCAACTCATTCACAGTCTTGTCTTTTGCAATTCTGAGGAGAAATCTATTGGCCAAAACATAAAGGTCACTTCTTAAGCTTGGTGTCAGATTGGAGTTTAAAATCCCACTGACACACGTTTTAAACAACGGGATTAATCTTTGATTGGCAACAGAAACATCATCATCGGATTTGGGGGTCAATACTTCATGATCATATAGATCATAGAGCATTACAGCTAATGATATCAATTCTTGGGAGAATGGAATATCTGTCTCTAAGAAATCATGGATCCGAGGTAAGATAGCTTCAAACACTTCGGCAACAAAATCTCTCTTGTTAACTCCGAAGCCTATGGTATCAAATTCGTCTCTCGAAATGAGAACTTCAATCAATTGACACCATGATTTTAAACAGCGTAATTGTGCATCCTTCAGTTCCTTCGAACCAATGTATTTCCCCATAAAGTCAGCAACTTTAAACCCTTCATAGATCACTTCATTGGAAAAGGCTTGTCTTTGTTCGTCATCAACAAATCTCTCACCTTGACAGCGGACTCGGTAGAGCTTCTCCAAGAACTCAAAGTTTATGCCACATTTCTTGGATAACTTGACTTGCTCCAAAATGTATGAAAGGTTGAACTTGGAGTCAAGACTCTCGTACTTGTAGATCTCAAAGTTCTTGAACCTAAAGTTCAATATGTCCAAGAACTTCAACACCTTGTTGGACCCATTAAACAATTCTGTGGATTGAAGTAATAACCGTTTATAGTACTCTCTTCTTGAAATCGATGTAGTATTCTGCAACTCAAGTGAAAAGTATTGAAGTATCATGTCTCTTTGGTTGATAAATGATAAGAACGTCTCACAGTCAAGTTCACTATCAATGAACTCATTGTTAACATCTTCCTGTAGGTCACCATTGAAACAATGACTATGCCAAACAGTATAGCTATCGATTTGAGGTTGAAACTTGATCAACTTCTCAAAGAATAAATCATCAGCAACTCTAATCACAGATAACGTGAGACTTCCACACACTGAACTCTTGCAAAGCTTGACAATAACCTCTGCAGTCAACGAGGCCATTTGAGATACTCCAGCATCAATAATGTTGGCATTTTCATTCTTGTAATCAACAATCAGCATCATTTCCAAGCTTTGACAGAGTGCATCAACAATACAATGTAATAAGGTGCTTTCTCCGGTTAGACAAGCATCTTCTGCAAACCGTAAGTGACCACCTTTGCTTTGATACCCAAGAAGGAAATGGCCAATACCCATTTCATTGTCTGGGATATTATTCAAGACAAAATTTAAAATATCAAACTTAATAGGTCCTTCTGATTCCACAAACTGATTAATAAAACCGTATTGAATCCGTCTAGCTTCATCCACCGTCTGAAATGCGGTGAGCAATCTGTTTGAGACAGACAAAGGATCATTCGTGTGCTTGTTGGCAAAGTAAGGTGATGAGCTCAAGCTATTCAAAACAGACAACGAAGTCTTGGAGATCATGTCATTGCTAGAGCCAATGTAAAGTGCAATGTGAATAACAGACTGTAAGTTAAACACAAACAACTCATAGAAGTTGGCTACTCCATTAGTACCAAGTGATAAAGGGTAAGCAATATTTTCAAAGGGAGAATTTGATCTTGAAGCCAATACAATACTTAAACTTGTATTGAACCCAGAACCCGGTGTGATTTCTCCTAATGAATCTTTATCCTTCAATATAGGTGCCAATTCCTTGATAAAAGTGTCTTGCAAATACAATATAGACTTAACAATTGACAAGGACTTCTCCACAACAGTGGAGCTTTGGTGGTTGACACTCACTTCGTCCAAACCAATATCTAAGATGGAAAACAACGTCTTGTAGGTATTTTCATTGAAGAAATAGTTTAAAATGGCCAACGAATGATGTAATTTTGTAAACAATTTGAACGTTAATGGAGGACTTTCAGGATTAACATTCTCCACAATATTGTTCAAATTAAGTTGCGGTCTAATTGCATTAATCATCACATCGTCAATGAATTTCCAGTCGATTTCTTTCAACGCCTTATCAGCTATGTTAGTTATTAACGATTGAAGGTTGAGTCTGTCATTTTTGCTAGATAATTTGGATGAACTTCCAAACACTTTTATCATCAAAAACTCCATATATGGCCATATTCCAATCTGACTTCTGTAGCCATAGCCTAGTTCAGGTGGGTATAACAATTCATATGGTGCAAAGGCATAATCACCAATGTCTCGAGGTTCAAGTAACACGCCCACCAACTCTGTGAATGCTACTACTGTGTTGAAGGTTGTCATGTTCATTTCGAACAGTTGGTTGATCCTAACATTGAACTTACTTCTTGAAGAAGGCCCTGAAGATAATGATGGTTGCTGTTGTTGGTAATTGAGTCTGGGAATTCCTCTATCTTCAAGGTATCTGTTGCTGCCAGGGTTCAGTTGTGAGTTACTACCAGATTCATTATCTTCTGATAAACTGTGATACAACCACCGGTCTAAAATATCCCACACTTTATATCGTATGGTCAAGTCGTTCTTATCTGCAACAAAATCACCAAGGAACTTCATCATTAAATTAAGGATCACAACCCTGTTGGTTTCATCAACTTTAAGTTCCTTTCTTCCGTTTTCATTGGTACCAGACAAAGTAAATCTGTCGTTCCAATGATTTGTCTGTATCACCATATTGTCAAACTTCAAAAACCCTTTAATTACAGGTAAAAACCGATTGAAGATTGTGTTCTTCACTTGCTTGGAAACTTCCAGAGAAGATCTTATATTTTTCACCAAGAATGAAAGTAAAAGAACAAATCCAGAAATAAAAACTATCCCATCTTCAGCCAATTCAACTAATATAACATCAGTAGTTGAATCATCTTGATCATTGCTGCTGGTATTATTACTTTTCTCATTTCTATCAAATGATGTTAACATCATCTCTTGCTTCTTGTAATCTTGCTTATAATTGTCATTCAATGCATCAATATAATACATTAATGAGTCAAAGATGGAATTGACTGAAATCTTGGAAAAATCACTCTTCTTTGTCATACCTAACCCACTTGGAATATTATTGTTCATCAAAATTTCCCATATCTTAAGCGTTGTTTGTTCGTTACCTACTAAAGAACCCAATAACAAGCAAAACGTTGCGGTAATTAAAGGAGAGGTATTATTATTCAATCCCCAAGTAATAAACCCAAATTTATCATTAATGTTGTCTGTATCCTTCCAGAACAACTCACAAAGTAGTGGTCTATTTTGATAGGTGTAGACAATCAGCATATAGATTCTCTCCAATTCTGCTTTACTTGCAATTTCATCCAAATCAACAGAAGAATAATTGACCTTTGAAGCTGAGAATCTGGTTACTATTTCTTTCTTTTTGCTTCCTAACTTGGGGCTGGCAGAACCAGAATCACCAGAATCGCTCTTGTTGACCGAAGACAAGAGGAAATCTTCTTCGTTGTCCCGTAAACTTGTGAGAACGTTGGCAGAATTCACTATGAAACAGTCAAAAAAACTGTGGAAATGAGAACTTAGAATGTTTTCATTGAAATATTCAGAGATAACAAATCTGCTAGTGTCAAGTAGTTCGTTCACCAAAGTATTTGACTCTTGAATGTTCAATGACGAACTTATAAATTCGGCATTGCATTTGAACTTGTTTGGCAGTAAAATGGGTATATTCTTTTGTAACAAAGATTTGAAATCGTAAGCCGCGTTCCATTCTAATTCCTTTTCAGTTTCGGGATTGCAAGTTGTTGAAGTGTAATTTAGGATCCATTCAGCGATTCCATGATTAATGCAAGTTTGGATATGATTACTAATGTCTTTAGTAAAGTTATATTTCTGTTGTCTTGCTTCATTCTTCTTACACCATGCAATGAAATTGACCAATAGAACAAGCCAGATGAATACCTCCAAGTTCAGTAAATCCGAGATATTGCTGTTCAACTTTTCCACTGCGTATTTGTAGTACAGTTCAATGGTATTGTCTTCAAGATTAGATACTTGGTACATTAAAGAAGGCAAAAAATGAATCACAAACAAGTCAGTATCCTCTAAATTGGACGTTATCATAGTTATCAACTTTTTAAAGCTTGTTAAGCTAAGTGGATGGTGAACCACGAACGAATACAAGAATGTAGCCAATAATTCATGGCACTGGAACAACTGAGTTCTTAAAAAGGTGATGGCATCAACAAACTCGGTATCAAACAGTCCAACGGTAGCCTTTAGTTTGTCTATCAAATCATTGGCGTTCTGAAGTAGCTTATAGATAACTTGGAAGCTCTCAAGAGCATTGTCGTACAACTTGTCTTTCTCTGATGCATCATTGGCAATCAACGACACCTTGTTGTTCTCCGAGAGCCAGATAAGAATGTTCAAGATGTATTGAAACCTGTTGAAGAACGCTAATCTCCCGCTTCCTATATAGTTAGTTCCCTTATTAGCAGCTGAACTCCCACTGTTAGCCGAATAGAGCACCTCTACAGCGACGGTCTCATCGACTAGCAAATCGGTCGACAACTCGTATGCCAAATCAATGAACTGCTGGTTGACCTTGATGGACTCGCCGTTGGAAAATACTATCTCCTGGTCGGGTTTGAACTGGGTACTCTTTTTGGGGGGCACTCGTAAACACTCAATCAAGTCTGGCTTGATGGTGGCAATGTATTCATGTTGGATAGAGGAAGCCGAGGTCGGAAGATCCTCATAAACCTTCAACACGTTGTAGCAATCCTCAAAGACACGTGCCGACCAATTGCGTGTCGTCATTGTGGTGAATGATCTGTATGGTTATATTGTTTGTTAGTAGTAGTTGATGTCTGTTTTGATGTTTAAAATTTTTGCCCATCAAAAAGGTATTTCCGAGGTATCGGGGATAAAACCGAGGATGATGCCGATTGCAGTATAACTTACACTATAATGTACATTATAAGCTTCTGTAGCTTGTGTGGCAAAGTAATCACGCACCCACCATGATGTATTTAGTTTTGTTTATCTTATTTTCATTACGTTGTATTTACTAGTGTCATATTTATGTTAGCTTATGCTTGTGGAAACTACTATTAGTCTTCTACCCTCGTAATTCCGGAACTCATGAAAAACTTTAAGTATTGAGATGTGAAGACAAACACTTAGTACTGTTCCTTAGCTCTTCATTAACTACCATGGGTGTGCCAGCATTGTTCCGGTGGTTATCCCGGAAGTACCCGAAGATCATCTCGCCAGTCATTGAAGAAGATGTTGGTGATGCTGAGTTCGGCCATGCGGATGGAGCTAAGTACCAAGACCCTAACCCCAACGGTGAATTAGACAATTTATATTTGGATATGAACGGGATTGTTCATCCATGTTCCCATCCCGAACATAAGCCTGCCCCAGAGACTGAGGATGAGATGTTTCTCGACATCTTTACCTATACAGATCGGGTGTTGATGATGGCTAGACCGAGAAAGGTGTTGATGATCGCTGTTGATGGAGTAGCCCCTCGAGCCAAAATGAACCAACAGAGAGCTAGAAGATTCAGATCGGCCCAAGATGCTAAGCTTGCACATGAGGAGAAACAACGTCAAATCAAAGAGAAGGAACTCCGAGGTGAAATGATCGATAATGCCATTAAGGGGAAGAAACTGTGGGATTCTAATGCTATCACTCCTGGTACTCCATTCATGGATAATCTTGCACTTGCTTTGAGATACTGGGTTGCTTATAAATTGGTTTCTGATCCTGGTTGGAGTGATTTGCAAGTGATTATTAGTGATGCCACAGTTCCAGGGGAAGGTGAACACAAATTAATGAGTTTTATACGGTCTCAAAGACTGGATCCTTCCTATAATCCTAATACTCGACACGCTATCTATGGGTTGGATGCTGATTTGATTTTTTTGGGTCTTGCTACTCATGAACCTCATTTCAGAGTGTTAAGAGAAGATGTTTTCGCTAACCAATCAAGACAATTACGAGTTAGTGACCATTTACTGATGAGTGAAGACCAGAAACAGTTGCTACGGGCTCAAGATGCTAAGAAACCTTTCCTCTGGTTGCATGTGAATGTTTTAAGAGAATACTTACAAGTTGAACTCTTTAATCCTCAATTACCATTCAAATTTGATTTGGAAAGAGCCATAGATGACTGGGTTTTCATGTGTTTCTTTGTAGGGAACGATTTCTTACCTCATTTGCCAAGTTTGGACGTCAGAGACAATGGGATTGATATTCTTGTGAACTGCTGGAAGAGAGTTTTACCTCGGTTGAAGGACTACATTACTTGTGACGGGAATCTTAACATAGAAAGTGTGGAAAAGCTTTTAGGTGCCTTGGCTTACAAGGAAGACGAGATCTTCAAGAGAAGGCATGACAATGAAAAAAGAAAGGAAGAGAACGATAAGAGAAGGAAAGTCATGCAAGAAGAAGATAAGGCGTTAAAAGCCCAATATATGTCCACTGTTTCAAAAGGTAAAGAGAAAGCACCCTTAGCACCAGTGGCTACTATGCCTTTAATGGATACTAGTGGGAAAGTTGTTGATGGTTATGCCAATCTTACCAATAAGGACATTGTTAACAACTTAGGAACCATCACTAAAGCCCATATGTCTAATGCCGAGGCAGCTGCTGCGTTGAAGAAGCTTATTGATTCCAAGAAGAATATCAGTGCCGTTGCTGCTGTTAAGGAAGCATCCGAATCTGTTACGGAGTCAACTGAAGTTAGTGAGTCTGATAATAATACTCTGACCAATGACACTTCCCTGACCAATGACAAGAAAAGACCAATAGGTGAAGTTCAAGAAGGTGAAGAGACAGAACCCAACGGCGATGTGGTGAAAATGTGGGAACCTGGTTACCACAAGAGATACTATGAATCCAAGTTCCATGTTTCCGGAGATGAAGCCGTCAACGAAGTGAAGAAAGGTCTAGTAAGATCATATTTAGAAGGTATTTCTTGGGTATTGTTATATTATTATCAAGGATGTCCTTCATGGCAATGGTATTACCCATACCATTATGCACCCTTTGCAGCCGATTTTGTTGATCTTCACGAGATTGTTGGAGACGAAGGGATCCAGTTCAAATTGGGACAGCCCTTTAGACCATACGAACAATTGATGTCAGTTTTACCTGCTGCTTCTGGTCACACGTTACCTGAAGTATTCCGAGAATTAATGTCCCATCCAGAAAGTGAAATCATTGATTTTTATCCTGAAGACTTTGAGATTGATATGAATGGGAAAAAGATGAGTTGGCAGGGGATTGCATTATTACCATTCATTGATGAGAAGCGATTATTAGAAGCCGTACAGAAAAAGTATGAGCTTTTAACAGAGGAAGAAATGGATAGAAATACCAATAAAGAAGCGGAATTGATTGTTTCAAAAGCCAATAAGAATTATAAAAAGTTCCTAGAGCTTTATACCGAAGCTGAAGAGGATTCTGCTACTCCTACGGTTGTCAAATTCAAGTTTTTAAGGAGTGGATTGGCTGGAAGTGCCATGAAGATTGCAAAGTTCCATATTGCTGGTTTATTATCATCTCCTTTGGACATGGGCAATCTTCCAACGTTAAGAAACGATCAATATATGAGAGTCACTTATTTGCAACCTGCTAAGACCAGAGGGAAGTCTATGCTTCTTAATGGCTATATCCCACATGTCAAGGCATTAACTCAACAAGATATTGATACTATTACTTACTCTAATAATGGTCGAGGGAACAATTACAATAGATTCAGAACCCCCAATGATAATAGAGATTATGTTAATAATGGTCCTTCGGGTACAGAGTCTTATCTCCAATACCAAATGAGAAGAGGAGGCTATAGAGCGTTTGTGGAAGGAATGTTAAGTGGAAATAGCAATAATTATAATAACAATTATAATAACAATTACAATAATAATTATAATAACAATAATTATGGTCAAAGACAGGGAAGAGGTTATAATAATAGGAACCAAAACTATGGTCAAAACAATCAGAACTACAACCAGAGTCACAACAACCAAAACCAGAATTATGGTCAGAATTATGGTCAGAATTATAACCAGAATTATGGTCAGAATTATAACCAGAATTATGGTCAGAATTATAACCAAAGTTATAACCAGAATTATGGTCAAAATTATAACCACAATCAAAATTACAACCAAAACTATAATCAGAATCAGAACTACAACCAGAACTACAATCAGAATCAGAACTATAATCAGAACCAGAACTACAATCAGAACCAGAACTACAATCAGAACCAGAACTACGGTCAAAACTACGGTCAGAATCAAAACTACGGTCAGAATCAAAACTACGGCCAAAATTATAACCAATCGGGTCATAATTCCGGTTATTATAGAAGATAGATGCTACTTTATACACTATAATATATTTCCGGCTCGACACCCTAACACCAGTATTTGGCCTGACACCCGAACACCAACTGAAAAATAAAGTAAAGTAATTACAAAACAACCCCCTCTCTTTCGCCACTCTTTTTAATTCTCTTCTTACACAACAGCACTCACTATGGGAGGAACTACATCTGCTCCATTGGTGGAAGTGTTTAGCTACAAAGGCAAGCGGTACCAAGTAGACGCCACAGGAACTCAATTGGAAGTAATTGATATTGAAGGAGATGATGGCGAATGTGATAGGTTACCTCCACACTTTAAACACTGTAAAGTTATGGTTATTGACTCAATTAAGTCAGGAACCGGGAGATCGAAAGTCAATGATATATACGGAAAGATTCTCGGACCAATATTCAAAGACATAGAATTGGAGCACGAATACATTAAGACCAAAACCTCTACAAGTATTGAGGAGTTGGCTATGAGGTTTCCCAGGGACCCAGCGCTCTTGATCTTCCTCAGTGGAGACACTTCTATAAACGAATTTGTAAATGGCTTGAATATTGAAGGGAATGAAAAAGGGGGAGGACAGGATGCTACTCAGTTGGTGATCTTTCCTATTCCGGTAGGAACGGGGAACAGTCTTCTGTTGTCGTTTGAGTTTGATGAAGTTGTTGTAGCCCTTAAGAAGCTTTTCAGTCACGATACATCCATCAAGCCACTTTACACTTATGAAGTCAAATTTCCCCCTGGTTCTTACCTCACTTTGGAGAACACTAAAGTCAGAGACTTGACAACACCGTTACGGTTTCTTGTAGTATTATCGTGGGCATTCCATGCAGCCATTGTGGCTGATAGTGATACGCCAATGCTTCGGAAGTTTGGAGTTGCCCGGTTTAAGATGGCTGCTATGAAGAACTTAGCTAGCAAAGAAGTGTACGAGGCTACGACATCTGTCAATGACACTGCTATAGACATTACTCAATATGGATATTGGTTAGTGACACCAGCTAGGAAGTTTGAAAAGACCTTTGTCATTCTGCCTGATGGTGATATTATGAAGGATGAGTTGTATCTTGTGGCTTTCAATAAGAATCAAGACATTCTTTCGATAATGAATCAGGTCTATGATAACGGCAAACACACGACCAATGAAAATGTCATCTACAGGAAGCTTACAAGGGAGGATAAGCTTGACTTACAATTGGATGGTGGTGTTAGCAATTCTAGATTCTGTGTGGATGGGAGTATTGTAAATGTACCCGGTTCTGATTCTGGTAGTCATGTTTCTGTACTGTTTTCTGGAAACCATATTAATGGTTGGGACTTGTTTGTGGTGAGTTAAGTGGGTTAGGACATTTTTATGAAATTGCTGGTTTTTATGAACAATAAAGTAACGAGACCCTAGCACCAACTTTTCAGAATTTGCAACAATTAATTTCAAAAGAAAGTGCATATTAATTATTAACTCCTATATCCATTTGTCCGACTTATATATGATATACACAATGGTTAAGCTGCAGAAACCCACAAGCCCAGCCATGAAAGTATAGCATCCTCCTATTGTCATGGTGGTTGACATGGAAGAAAGAACAGCCACAAACACAGCTGCAGTTAAGCATCTGGTCAAGTTGACGCAGGAAGACGAAGCAGATGAGTTCCCTGGATGAAGATCTACCAACACAGTAGTGGAAATAGTTAAGAAGTTCATGGCTCCAAAGGATATAATGAATGTGGAAAACATTATTAAAGCAACTGGAAGCTTATATTCAATCGACCAACCTAAAATCAAGGAGCCAATAACGCAAAGTGAAACAGGTACCATAGCCAAATAAAGTCTAGCCTTGAAGATATTGAATTTGACGCATTGGTTTCTGACGTTAACTGTTGATCTGTCTTTGAAGGATTGCACATCGTTCAAGTACTTCTTGTATCTTAATTTGTATTGCCAATTAAGAAGTCTTCCTATGGTGATGGAACCGGTTAAACCCCCAATCCCACTTGGAATATATGCCAAGGCAACATGAATAAGAGTATAATTGTACTTTTTAGTTAAGGAGGTGGACATTGTGGTTAGCATCATAAGCCATAATGCATAACATATAGACGAAGGTATAAGAATAAGAATCACTGGCAAAGAAGCCATGATTTTGAATGGTGCTAGGAAATCTATTTTTGGATGATCAACCTTTACATTCTCTGTTATTTCTCTTCTTCTCTTAATATTGGGAAGATGCATAATAGGAGCCACTGAAATGAATGTTCTTTTCTCCGGTAAGGTTGCACCGTTTCCTACGATATTTCTTGCTGTTTCTGGTAAGCAAATTAACACGATGATTAGCGTTACACCTGCACCGATAGTTAAGAACCAAAAGATGGCTCTCCAATTGAAAGCAGAAGAAATAAGTCCTCCCAATAATGCACCAAATGCTTGTCCAAGTAACGATAACCCTGATGCTAGTCCTATGAATCCCGCTCTATTACTTTTGGTAGTCATATCACTGGCAATCCCGCTTGAAATAGAAAATGTCAGTGATATACCAAAAGCTTGAAGACATCTCAAAAATACCAACCCTCCAAAGGAAGAATTAAGTGCTAGACCGACATTGGCACATATGTAAATCATCATACATATTAGGATAATGATTCTTCTTCCAAAGATATCTGAAAAGTTGGAAAACACAACTGGTGATAACCCCTGAAAGATTGAATATACCACCACAGTGATGTTCATCTGTTCTTCGGAAACTCCAAACTTCTTTTCCATTATAGGCAACACAGGCAAATAAATTGGCGAGGAAATGCTTGAGAAGCAACCGCACATACCACTTATTACCACGATGAAGTACTTCTCTCTGTTGGTGAACAACGAATGAGGAGCTTCAGGGTATTCGGTTGTTCTTTCAACTTCTTTTGGCTCACCTTTAAGCTTTTTGGGTTGTTCTTCCACGACAGTGGAATCAGATTCTGCTGATATGAAAGAATTTGTGGAAGGTAACTTGCCTCTGTTCTTGTTGAAATTAATATAAATGTTGTCCTCATCATCCAGTGTTGGTAGTGACAGTGGATTCAGTTCTGTTGTTGTACTAACTGGCGTCGCCAGTGGACTGTAATAGGGCCGTCCCTTTCTCATGTTCATATTCATTGATACCGACGACCCAGATCCCGAAGCAAGCATATACTGCAAGGGAATTGGATGCACAGTGTGTGCGTTTATGAATCTTGAATCACTCCCAGACATTACTATGGCTGCAAAGTGAAAATTTTATTTAAACTCTATTAATGCGTAAAGGCGTATCTATTTTCGATATTGTTTTCCACAGAAACCTTTGTGTTATGTGATGTTCAGCATCTTAAAGGTGGGATACAAATGTATATATAAGATTGTAAGAGTGTCATGTTGAGTCATGAAAAGTGCAATAGGCGAAAGATCACGGACTGCACATAGCAAAAGTCTGCAGATTATGCATTTAATAGTTACAAACATGTGTTATCCGCTCAGGTGGTGTATTTTTCCGCAACAGTAACACTATAATATTCTGTAACTGCATGAACCATACAAATGCCATTAGTTGTTCATTAATAGCAATCAGTCTAGATTGTTCTTGAGTGACATTTTTAAGAACTTCCCCCCTTTTTAACAGATGTATAAGGTTGTGAAGTCGTTTTGTTAAAGAAAACTTAGCTGAAGGTACTCTTGTACGATGCGCATCTGCCGACATTAAGGAGCATAATGCACTCTTTAAAAAATCATCTATTGTACTCAACTTTTGGTTGCAATTGTAGCTTTACAAACGTATCGTTGTACTCAAGCTAAATCTATTTGTAGTAGTGTAAGTTGATCCGAGGAGGTGCACCTCATCGTAAAATGCATTCCACAATTGGTAAGTGGTTCAGGGCATCCTTATCAGTGTCTTACGAGTATTCATTATTTGATAAGCGTCGAGATGAATTAATGTGCGATGATCATCGTTACTGCATAATTTATCCGATACTAAACGACGTACATAATAGCAATTGTTCCGGTCGCACCCATCAAAGCAGCTAATTATAAGTAGTATAGCTATCGATACCTGGCATCTTGCAATGTTGAATCACCTGTGATAAAAAAAGATATCAACATAGAGAGTGATTCCCAAATTTTACCTGCCTTCCACCTTTCTTCTGTATTTTCAACTAGTGTAATGCCATTGGTAGCGAAGGCTGAAGGCCATACCAAGCCCACCCGGGAATCAACGGGCACCCTTCACCCCACAAGAGGGGGGGAAGTGGGGCCAATATGAACCAATTAGTATTTTTATGGTATAGGGAGACAATATGGTGAAAAGAAAGGCTCAATTTATCATTTAATGTATCGCTTCAAGTCAATCCTAATCGGATCCGAAGATTGTCAGCAAAAGCCCATACAAATTAATCAAAGATGCATTCTGTTGGGTTGTGGGGAACACCCACCTAAGGTGGAGGGTACTGCTACTCTTCCTGGTTGAAGGACCCTACGAAGACAAAGGAGACAACGGAATTGGAATGGAGAACTGTCATACTTTCCCTATCGACCACAATAGGAAAAAAATAACAGGGATTGTCTAGTAAAGGATTAGGTGGGGATCTTATGTAAGGGTGTTAGTAACTAAAATTTTTTGTGCGTTTTTTAGTGCACATACTGGCGGGGGAGTTCAGGACAGTCAATTGTATCCTACAGAATGGGAACATACATTGGCGGGGCAGGGGGTACAGACACAGTTACAACCATGTAATATAGTAATAAAGTGGGGTACATTTCAGTACTAGTAGACAACATCCTTTATTGTACCACCAAAGCCTGATCTTTTCCAGCGCTTATTGAACACACTTCTATGCAAAGAACATTCGTACTGAATTACATACGGCTGCGGATCTACTTCTAAGCAATATGTATTTTAATCATAATTAGTATTTATTCTTAGTACTTGGCGATAGAAACACTAAACTACTTAATGTACTACAGAGAAGTGTCCCAGGTATTGACATCTATTCTGACGCGTTATGGGTGTTCTTTTGGTTAAATTTTATTAATTAGTTACGTATTTGGTCTTGGCTTCCGGGTTGAGGCGACCCCTCCTTGGTCTAAGAACAGGAGGTTACAACGGCTAGCAAAACGGTGCTCAATCAAATGGTTTGGACCTACGTTCAGCTGTTGCACAAAAACGACCTTTGCAGTGCAAATGTTGCAGCCTAAAATGCATGGCATAGCGCTGTGTACAGGAATCTGCGACCAATATGTTGCCAAACTTTTAATACGAAGACAAATATCTATAGCTTTAGGACTTACAGATCCTTGTACTAGTTATAATTGTGGGACTAAAAAGTAATCAGTTCAAAATCTGGGGAAATCCCTTTAGACTTCCCCGCTCTTTTTGTACTCCGGGATCTATTTACCAATAGTATATATATCTCCTTTAACAGACGTTATAATTTGCTAAGTTAAGCTTTTAAACCATCATTATAATACTTTCAAACTAATTATGGTAGTGAAAATCTCTAAACCAAAGACTAAATTCAAATGGAGAGTGGTTGACAACCACTCACCTAAAGAGATTTATAACAGAGCGTTATATCTTTCTGTTTTTGTCTTTGGGATCCTTGGAGCCGCAAGAGGTATGGATGAAGGTGCCGTTGCCGGAGCTGTTTATCACCAGTCGTTCAAGGACAGGTTCGGTCTTTCTGACACAACCAAATCTGCTAGTTGGTTGGCCAATAGAAAGTCTAACATTACCGCCATGGTTCAACTTGGATCCGTTGGTGGGTCACTTCTTGCCAGTTATCTTTGTGATAGAATCGGCAGACAAAGATCTCTACAATTTTTATGTGTTATCTGGATTGTGGGTGCTGTTATTCAAATAACCGCCAAAACTTTTGGTCATTTGGTTGTGGGGAGACTCATCGAGGGGTTTGCAATTGGACAAACGACTACAGTTGGACCTGCTTATCTTTCTGAAGTGTCTCCACCAGCATACAGAGGTTTGTTTGGGTGTATTTTCTCTGGTGCCGTTTATTTCGGGATCTTTTTGGGGTACTTTGTTAATTGGGGTACAGCGCTTCACTTGCCCTATGGTGACAGACAATGGATCATTCCAACATCAATGAAACTTATTCTTTCTGGAGGGATCATGATCCTCTCGTTCCTCTGGACAATTGAGTCTCCTAGATGGTTGATGAAGGTTGGAAGAGACGAAAAGGCTCTCAAGAACTTGTGTAGGTTGCGGAACTTGGAGGCCGATCATCCTTATATCATTTCAGAGATGTCTGACATTCAAGCAGTTGTTGCTCAAGAGAACGCTGCGGTTGCACACTATTCCTTTCTCGCCAAATTCAGAGATTTGTTGACTGTGAGTTCCATTAGATACCGGTTCTTTTTTATTGGATGTTTGTCTCAACTTTTAGGTCAATGGTCCGGAGCCAATGCCGTTACAATCTATGCTCCTACATTATTTGAGATCATTGGTGTCGAGGGTGTGGATGTCATGAAGATGACTGCTATTTTGGGAGTGGTTAAGTTATGTGGCGCTTATTTTGCAGCCTTCTTCCTTATTGACTTCTTGGGAAGAAGAAGATCTCTTTATATTGGGATCGTCTTACAAGGTGTTTGTCTTTTATACTATGCCATCTTCTTGAACGTTGTTCCCGTGGCACAGATTGAATCAGGTAATTTATCTACATCCCAGTTCCATGCTTCCAAAGCGGCTATTGCTGCCCTTTATCTTTCCGGTGTAGGGTGGACTATGGGGTTCAATTCGGTACAGTACTTATTGGGTGCTGAAATTATGCCTTTAAGAATTAGATCCTTCGCCCAATCAATTATTATGGTGTTACATTTCGCTAACCAATACGGTAACTCCAAGGCCTTACCTTCAATGATGATTGCCATGAAATCTTACGGTGCCTTCTATTTCTTCGTCGGGGTCTTGGCTACATCTTTGTTCTGGTGTTGGTTCTTTATTCCTGAAGTCAGTGGTAGATCTTTGGAGTCAATGGAAGAAGTGTTTAACTTACCATGGTATCTTGTGGGTAGAAAGGGCCCTATTTTATGTCCTGATTTGTCTCAAGTAAATCACATTGCTCCCCAAAGTACCCACAACACTATCGAGAAACCAGAAGAGATCTTCATTGACGAAGTCATGCCAGCTGAGAACACTTCGTCAGATGAAGGTGAGGACAAAGACAACAAGGACAACGAGGAAAAGAAAACGAAAAAGGAAACGAAAAAGGAACCTAAACAGGAACCTGGTAAAATGGTTTAAATGCTGTCCATGTCTCCTCTGTAACTCCGCTTTTATGATCTACTTTAGGTAACTACCTTTTATTTTTGGTAACTTGTATCTTCTCTTTCTATAATATTGTGTTCGATATACAAAAAATATAGGTTTAATTCATGCCTTCACTCAGATTCGAACTGAGGATCTCCTCATTACTAGTGAGGTGCCTTACCAACTTGGCCATAAAGGCTTGAAAATGAATTTGGAAGAAAAGCGACCTCGGTGAGGATCGAACTCACGATCTTAAGATTAACAGTCTTACGCCTTAGCCAGCTTGGCCACGAAGTCCCAATTCGAGAGAGATAATCAAATATACTATCATAGAGTGCATACGCAAAGCCAGATACACTAATAAATTGTATCGTAGAATATATGTATACAGCAAATATCTATTTCTATTCATGAACATAAAGTCTATTATTCAAATAAGGTATCAAAAAGATCTTCTATTTCTAATTCAAACAAGTCATCATTATAATAAGCCCGGAATAAGTACTGGGAAAGACCAATAGCTCCTTCTTCCTTCAACCAACACAAAAAGTCATTAAATTGACCATTGCTTAAGGCATCATCTACATTAAACTCTATGTGGTGATTACCATCAGTGAACCAAAGGATGATCGAGTCTCCAAGACTGATTGTTTCCGATTCCAAAGGCATGCATTCAAGGCTTGTATCCAAATAATAAGCTTTTAGTAGGGTAAAGGTCTTCATCATTCTCTCGGCTTCTTTATACATGCTCTTGAATGATGACTTGGTCCTTTTGTTATAGATTGTACCAGACATTGATCTGATATATTTACAGCAATGAATTAAACTGGAGAATATCAACTCGTTACCTGGAAGCAAGGAATCATAGACCATTGTCTTAGCATCTGGTTTAAAGAATAACCATGTTTGAGCCACAGCTAGTAAATGTGTTAGACTCAGCTTGTATATAGATTCCAACTGTGACACTGAAGAGTGTTTAACTTTGCACCCGGAGATGATCTCCTTAACCAATAGGGCTAGGATTTCTGTACTATGATGGTGTTGAGGACATCGTTCCAACCAAAGTAGAATGCAAGACAGATGGTTCAAATCAACACGATGATTCAAGGTCAAATGGTCAATAAAAAGGTTATAATGAGCAGTTGAAGGTATATCTAGTCGTTGAAAAAGGGTATCCCAGTATCCAATGTCAACTAAGCTCCAATACGTTGCATGATGATCCCATTGACTAGAGTAGTCCTTGTAGTTGAACATCCAGTACTTCCGAAACAAATGCTGACCCATTAGGTGATAGTGAATGGACTTAGGATCATCGATCTGTATCTGAATCAGATAATATTGTTCCATTAGCCATTCCACTATGACGGGGATCAACATATAAAGTACATTAGTATTGAACACAAGTAAATGAACAAGATACCCCATCAACAACGGGAACCGATACTTTCCAAATATATAAGACGGTTCCATTGAAAACCAATCTTCAATGTCATCAGTAACCTCGTCACCAGGACCGTCATCACCATTTTGAAGATGATCATTATCATTCTCAAAGAGTATGGCTTGATTGAGCTTGAAGTACGATGACTTGGAACCTACAGCAATGTGTTTGCCCACAGATAAACAACAAAGAGTAGACAAAGAACCGTGATAATCAGTGCTGTGACCAGTAGTACTAGTACTGTCATATACCTTGCTTAGGATCATCACTACGGATTGGAAGATGGAGAAGAGTCCATGATACTCGTCATATAAGTCGTCATCAATGAACAGCTTCAATGCCAGTAGACGTTCTTTGGAGTTATTTGATGGATCTAAAGTCCCTTTTGTATGTAATAGGTTTGGGTTTCTTAAGTATAGTTCAGTGATTCGGTGGATCTTGGACACCAATGGACGTATTAGTCTTTTGATCTTAGACAACTCATGATCCATGACACGCGTACACTGCAGTACACTGTAGCAGTATATACACTGTAGTAGTATATACACTGTAGTACTATACACAGTAGTATACTCTATATATGTTCTGTAGACTTTGTATACATTGTGCACTTGTGACACGACTGGTTGTCTCTCACTGTTACCTCTTCTTTATCATCATGAAGTATACTCTAGTAGTGTTAGCTGCTATCACTGGTGTATGTGCCAATGTCATTGGTGCTCCTCCTGCTGACCAACACTTGTATGTTCCGTTGGAAGACGGCAAGTGGAGATGTTTAGGTAACCCTGACGTGGTGATTGACTATGGTCAGATCAATGACGACCAATGCGATTGTCCTGATGGATCAGATGAACCAGGAACCAATGCCTGCAGCCGCAGTGGTAACGGCGGCACCAGTGCCGACTTGTTCTATTGTCATAATGAAGGCCATTTCCCCGGGTTCATTGAACGGTTCAAATTGAATGATGGTGTTTGTGATTACGACAAGTGTTGCGATGGAAGTGACGAGTATAAAAGCGGAGCATGCCCCAATAAATGTAAGGAAATACACCAACAATTTGTTTCTTTCTCCAAGCGTCTCAGGAGGGATTCTGCTGTGGCGTTGGTTCAACGAGATCGTCTTATCAAGGAGGCTCGTGCTATTAGGGAAAAGCTTGAACACAAGATTGACAAGTTGAAGCACCACCAGAAGGTTAATGGTGATGGTGATAATGGTGAAGCTAAAGACACTAATGATGATAATGGTGATGGTGTCCGTGACGACGTAATGAACAAGATTGTGAGATCTGTTGATGCTGTTGAAGCCAAGATAGCCCTCTTAGAATCAATCATGACCAAAATGATGGACAATTACAACCCCAATTTCAATGACGGAGCCGTCAAAGAAGCCATAAAGGACTTTCAAAACTACATGTCAGAACAATATAATGATGATGATGATGATGATGACGAATCTTCATCACAGCTTAGTAAATTGTTACAATCATTAAAATTATCACCATCTTCATCATCTTCAAAGGTAAATGAGGCCAATGAGGTCAATAAACAGATTAAACAGTATCAAACGGATATTGATATCTTCACTCAAGAACTAAACAGATACTATGGAAAAGATGACATCTACAGAGCCTTAAATGATATTAAAATCTCTACTGATTACGGTGATTATAAGTATAAAATTGCTCTATTAGATTCTATTCACCAAGATAAAGTCTTGGTAGGTAAGTTTGCCAACTTTGATGAACATGACGAGTCCATCTTATACTACACCAATGGTTCAAAGTGCTGGAATGGCCCACACAGATCTGCTAGAATCATTCTTGTCTGTGGGAAGACTCATGAGATCATTTCCATTAGTGAACCGGAGAAATGTGAATACACAATTGAAATGACTAGTCCAATTGCTTGTCATGAACTCACAGAAGAAGATATCATCAACAGATTTAAAGTAGACTTCAGTCAGCTTTAATAAGTTTGTCGTACCTTCTTCTATTAATCATCAAATTTGATCTTCTTCCCTTCAAACTTGATGTTCTTTTGTTTCTCTTCGGCTAGCTTTTTGGCTTCCCATGATGGGTGAACTGAAGGAGGAGCAGATGGAGCTACACTACTACCAGAAGCAGCAGCAGCAGCACGACGTTCCTTTCTAGTGCCTACATCAACGGTATTGGCTCCTGTAGCACTTTCCTTGGACAATTGTGCTTTTAATTCTCTCTTTCGACAACGTTCTTCATATTCCAATTGCCTCTGAGCTCTTTCACTTTCATATTGTTTCTTCTGTTCCTTGACATGGATGGCATTCTTACCATATTTTTGGGCCCATATCTTTTGTCTAGCTCGTTGTCCTCTTCTATTCTTTCTTTGTGTGGTCAACTCCTTTACAACGTTATCGTTATCAACGTTGTCTTCTTCATCATCAGAACCTCCGGAATAATACCCATTGGTTAACGCCGGTAAAGCATGTTTCGGCCTTTTGGGCTCATTCTCCTCAAAGAATTCATCTGAACTTTCGTCTTCATCACCGCTGCTGTCGTTGCTGCTGACATTGGATTGCTCATCGTCTGTGACTTCGGCATAGTTGATACTTGGATCCAAGACCGCGTCTTCGTCTTCGTCATCTGTTCCTGCCAACATATCATTGAGCTCAGAATATTCGGATCCCTTGTCATCGTCGTCACTGTCGTCATCACTGTCGACTTCGCCAGTGAGCTTCCTCCTTTCTAATCTGTCCTTCTTAGAAACATTCCCTTTGATCTGTTTGAACAGCCATTCTATGTCTTGCATCATGGTCTTCACATTCTTGGAGTTGAACACGCCGGAAACAAACTTATTCATCGCCTTGTCATTCTGCAAATGGTCCTTGAAGAACCTCAGTGGGTTGGATTCCAGTTCCTTATCATGCACAATGTCTCTCAACTCTTTGGACACATAAGAAACAACTCCAGTTTCTGTCCAATCAAACACCTTATCCATGATCTTGATGATTCGACTACAAACCAACTTCTCGACTAAAGTGCCGTCCAGCATCTTCTTAACCACCTCGGGGTTCTGACACTCCTTCAACTGCTTTCGCAACTCAGCTGTCAACTTTTTATGGGCCCCATAGTACTTTTTCTCGAACTCTTGGGTCTTCAACTCGGTGATGATTGGGGCTGCTTGTTCCTTGGTTTCAGGTATCTTCTTCAACTTTTTGGACCGCAACAACTTCCGTGTATGCTTGAACCGAGGCGTGTACCCGAAGTACTTTGTCTCAAGAAGATCCACCTTCCACATAGTGTACGTTATAGTATGGGTTGTATGGGTTTATCTGTGTGTTCTGTGCGATGACTTGATATTTTTCGCCGTGAACGGAAGGTCATCGCGACCCAAACTCAAACTCTCTACCTCCAGTACAAACACACACATTTATTACGACATTACGACGACATATGACCGACAGTTCAGTTGAAGCGGAGTCCGCTATCAAAAGAAGAAAGATAGAAGACGACAACAACAACAATGACGACAAGGTCGTTCAGCATCACCAATGTCAGTTGTTCATCAAGCGGAAGAATAGATACTGTTCCATGCAGCGAAAGGCTACAGAGAAGTACTGTTCGGAACACATGATTCATGACAATGACCAAGAAGGCAAGAAAAAGCGAGTGCCATGTCCCTTAGACCCCACCCATACTGTCTGGGAGTACAACTTGAAGAAGCATGTCAAGAAGTGCAACACCCGACCCTCCGAAGTACATGATGAATGGTACGAATTGGATGTGAATTCACAGAAAAAGACCTCAGACAAAGAGTCTGGCGGGGGGACTGCTCTTGACGACAAGGAGCTCTACGCCAAATACATTCCTATTTTACGGAACTACGAGATCCAAGACTTGGAGTACCGCATTGAAGATCACAGTGGATGTTGGGGCAGAATTGGGGAATTGAAGAACCAAAAACATGCGTTGCAACAGCTGTCGTTGATTGGGAACCTCCGTGACCAAGGACTTCTTTCCAGTTCCAAGTTCTATGTTGAATTTGGATGTGGGAAGGCAGAGCTTTCTCGGTATGTGAATTTGTGCATCGAACAAGATGAGAAGAAGCAAGAACATCAAGAACAATATGGTTATGGTTTAATTGACAGGGGAGTCAACAGAATGAAGATGGACAAGAAGATCTTGAGTGAATCATCCAAGAAACCCACTGTATTGAGATCTTTAATGGACATTAAAGACTTTTCACTTGCCAAGTTTCAAAATGTGTGCAAGTCCCAACACATCGTTGGTATTTCCAAGCACTTGTGCGGTGCAGCCACGGACTTGACATTGAATGCCGTTCTTCAGACCCAAATGAGAGGAATAGACGGCATTCTTATAGCCATGTGTTGCAGACATGTGTGCTTGTGGGACCAACTCTTGCCCAGATCACGTGACTACTTGACAGAGCATGGGTTCCCCGATGAACAAGCCTTTTACATACTTAAAAAGATGGTTTCATGGGCTATCAGTGGGGTAGGCCAAGCTGGTGACAACACGCACGTGAGTGGGTTAACGGTTAGTGAAAGAGAAGAGTTGGGGTTAAAAGCCAGAAGACTCGTGGATCAAAGTAGGGTGGAAGCCGTTATTGACACCCTAACACCACTCCAAAACCAGTATAGGACAGAGATGTTTTGGTACACCACTAGAGACATAACCTTAGAAAACGTGGCCCTATTGATCAAAAGAATTGAAGATTAATATTATTATACTATATGAAACTAACTATAGGTGAATCTAGACCTTGTCTGCAGAAACACCGTGCTTCCAGATAGCAACAAAAGGAGTGGTACCATCTTCTCTGTAGTTCAACAAGACAATCATTCCATCGGGGTCCATGGATTCACCGGTGTAAAAGTCCCAGTCCTTGAAGGAACCAATGATCTTCTTGACATAGGCTTGAGCACCCTTTTCAAAAACTTCAACTTCTTCAGGCTTGGTTTCTGCTAACTTGGCCTTGATGGCCTTCATGTAACCCTTGATGTAAGTAAGGAAAGACTTCTTGTCAAATTGGGTTTGTTGCAATCTGAAGGAGTACACAACGTTGTTGACAACTTCAGCTCCGTCTTCCAAATCTTCACCAGCTTCTTCAGCTGATGCATTGGCTCCAATATCAACATCAACACCACCGACTTTGATCATGGAACAGTCAGCTTCATATACGACATCGTCAACCAACTTGACGTCGTAAGCATCGGACAACAATTCGTCTCCGCTGAGAATATCGGTGTAAATAATCATTATGTGTGTGAGTGATGAGTTGAAGAAGAAGAAGAATTGTAGCTGCGTTATCAACGTTTTTATTATTGAAAATTTTTTTTGGGGGTAATAGTTTTTTGGTTTTGTGTGCGATGAGCCTAGACTTCCGCATCGGGAAGCGTGTGCATCCATTTTTATGCAATGTATCACCTTGTGGTAACACAAGAACGCATGGAATACAAAAATACCATTTCGTAAGAATAATTATACATAAGTAAACTAAATAATGTGTATGTTCTATCCTCGTATATTACGATGAAAGAAATCTAAAATACGATCGTAAACAACCTTGTTCCCATTATGGAAACTTATAGAATGGTCCGAATCAGGAAACACATTAAATTCATAATTCTCAACTTCATGTAAGTCAAATTGGTCAATTAACTTCATACTGTTCTGGAAATGAACATTATCATCACCTGTTCCGTGGCCAATCATAAACTTGACCACGTTGTTCTTGAAGTTATCGATTTCATGGACACTCGATTTAACATACCCTTCTTCATTAGATGTTGGGGTGTTCATGTATCTTTCAGTGTACATTGAATCATAGTATCTCCAACTAGTCACTGGAGCAATAGATACACCATAAGAGAAGACTCCTAGGTTTTTAGGGTTAGATAACGTCTTCAAAGTTAAATATCCACCATAAGACCATCCCCAAATGGCTATATGGTCAGATGAAACATATGGTAAAGACAGATAATATTGAGCAGCACTAATTTGATCAAGACTTTCATAGTGACCCAAGTTGTTTTTGACTTTGAATTTGAAATCCTGCTGACTCCCATTCTCATTATTGAATCCAGTTCCCCTTCCATCAACAGTGACAACTATAGCATTCAAATACGACAGTAATACTTGAGAAAAGCCTACTGAAAACTGTCTAGTGACTATTTGAGATCCAGGACCTCCATAAGCATAAAATATAACGGGATATTTCTTCTTTGTAGTGAATCCAGGGGGTAAAGTTTCAGAATAGTGAATATTAACTTTAGAGGTTAAAGGACCAGCCAAATCATCAATTTCTAATACTCCAAAGTTGGTTTGAGGAACTTTATATTTGTGCAAATTCTTCCGAATGTCTTGACACTCTGTTAACACTTTAATGGACATTAAATTATCCACAAGAATGATCTCTTGCTTAGGGATTGAGGGTCCCTCGTTATATAAGATCAAATACTTGAAATTAGACGAAAACTTCCCATCGTAAAACCCTTCACCAGCAGGCGTTAGTTCTTTTAATTCACCCAGTACAATATTAGCAGTAAGTAATTGTCTGCTCATTCCAGAACCTCTTGTGCTTTGGAAGTAAACAGAACCATCTTGAATACCGTAAATTTTGGTGACTTCGAAATTACCTGAGGTTAACCATTTTGTTGGACTGGATGCCTTGGTTTTGAAATAGGCCAAATGTAAAAACCCTTGGGAATCATAAACTCCATCAACATATCCAGAACCATCATCCAATGAGAATGGAGTGAATGGTTCGTACCAAGAATCTTTCAATTGTTCACTTCTAACCACAGATGCACTGAAAATGGAAACAGCGTTGTCATTGGTTGAAACAACAGAAACATCCAACTTGGTAGACACTCTGTTTGTAGTTTTATATAAAAGGTCATAATCCCCAATCCACGCCAAGTTTGTAACTAAATGCAAATCGTCAGCTTCAAAAATAGGATGGTCTTTATTGGTAACAACATCATAGATGTGAACTTGGACTTCGGGGTTAGCATTCCCAGCCTTAGCATATTTGAACTTCTTTACTGAAGGGTAAGTGTCCACTTTTATACCGTGATCTTCAATGTAATACGATAAATCAAACTCTGGAACTTGAGTAATGTTGAATCGAAGGTATGCCAACCTATCACCTTTAGGAGACCACCAAATGGCATTATCTGTAGCTAAGATCTCTTCTTCGTAGCCCCAGTCTGGCTTACCATTGATGATAGCGTTTTCCTCTCCATCAAATGTCACTTGCGTCAGTTTTTTGGTTTGAGTGTCAAACGTATACAAGTTATTCTTGTACACATAGGCGATCCTTAAGGAGTTGGAAGAGAACTTGGTCACTGAAATCTGAGCCCCATTTTTAATGGGCGTGACTTCCTTGGGGTTCTGTAAATCAACAAACCAATACAATGCCGTGGATGAGTGTCTCCAGTTCTTATTGGTGTTCGTTTGAAGTATCACCTTTGAGAAGTCAGGTGAAAGCACCACTTCATCCACAGTATACTCTATTCCATCATACACAAAGGATGTAGCATTGTACACCTGTTCCTTGTACTTACCGTCAACAACAGAGTTCACAACATAGTTGTTATCGTTGTCTCTGGTAACATACAACTGATCATCTACCTGACTCCAAATCACATCCTTGAACGTGGGTCGAAACAACCCGTCTCTTATATGAGTTATGTTGAGTCTCAAGGGGTCGTAACTTGCAGCAGCAGCAGCAGAAGCAGCAGTGGCGACATCGCTCTTTATATGGAGATGGACCCGTTCAACAGAGACCAAGAGTAAGTTAACTCCGTAGACAAGTAGAACCAATATGAAGGCAAGACCATAGACATGACGAACCCTTCTCATATGACTTATATCCGATATCCCCACTTCTCCTTTCATATTATTTGTAGAGCAATTTGAATGGGGAACGTTGGTGTAAGGGTGCCGTTAAGTTAAAAAGAAGAACCTAAAGTTAAATATATAATTTAAGTTTTGACGTACGACTATTTATTATCACCAGCCCTTTCAAGGTATCAGACTATATACAGGAAACAATGCGAAAATATATACAGCACCGAAAAACAAAAAAAAGAGTTAGCTAAACTTATTGCTACTGCACTAACCGTGTTAATATTACTGTGTCAACTGTATTAATATGCCCTATATTAGTCATGTGGTTTTAGTTCCGTAATCCCTTAGTAACGAGGGACTAAACTCAATAATAATCTTTCGAATGTTTGTCCGTTTAATAGGCTTTGATAAGAACCCATCCATCCCACTACTCAAGCATTCTTTAACGTTTGATTCATCTGCAAAAGCAGTCAAAGCAATAATGGGACCTTTGAATTGTAAGTTGCTTCTAATCATCTTGGTAGCAGTCAACCCATCAACCTTGGGCATCTGAACATCCATGAACACAATGTCGTAATGAGTTCCTTGTTCTCCGCTTAATTTAATGAGTTCAATGGCCTCGGCTCCATTACAAGCCATAGTTAAGTCGGTAAACCCTTCAAGCTTCAACATTCTCTTGATAACTTCTTGGTTGACCAAGTTATCTTCGGCCACAAGGATCCGTATATGACTCAAGTTCTCCAACAATGCATCGTTATTATTGCTACTGTTGCTATTGTTGTTGACTGATGCTGTACCTGTTGAAGATCGTTCAAATAATGGAGGCTTCAAGGCATTGGAATCACTGCTTTCATTTCCCGAAAGTACAAGTGCTGATTCGGACGTTGGTGTAGAAATAAGTGGACTATTCAAAGCGTTCGTTGCAACTGTACTATCACTTGTACGATTATGATTATTATGATTCTTATTATTATTTGTTTGATCTGTTGATGATGCCATTTGTCCTGCCAAATCTGCAAAGGTAACTCTTCTGTTCATTTTGGAACCAGGATTAAATTCATCTTCACAAAACTCATCAAGATCTGCTTCAGGTACAATAATCTCTCCTGATTGTGGAATTGGAATTCTTAAAGTAAATGTGGATCCCACTCCAAGAGAAGACTTCAAAGTTAGTGATCCTCTCATCATCTTTGCCAATTGTCGACAAATTGAAAGTCCCAACCCTGTACCTCCATAGCTTCGACTAAGGGTTTGATCACCTTGAACAAATGGTTCAAAGACCTTCTCTTGTAACGCAGGCTCAATACCACTTCCTGTATCACGGACTTCTATTTGAAGAACCCAGACTTTGGGTTTGTAGAAGTTACGCATTTTGAAAGTCTTTTTATTCTTGATGAGTTCGTTATGCCCAATGTATGAAGATTCAGTGTTTGCCCGAGTATTATTAGGACGAGTTATTGAAGGAGATGATCCAGAACCAGTACCTCTAGGAGATTTGGCATAAACATGCACTTCATCGCTATTAGAAGTATTATTATGTCCTCCAAGTGGTGAAGAGTGTGGATCATCAGGATGCAAAAGTCCTCCCTTGGGAGGTGAAATATCTTCTACTGTAGAAGTAGAGTCCACGGGTGTAGGAGGTAAGGCTTTATGACGAGTAAATTGACTTTCAAATATATTATTCTCGTAAGCTTGGGTTGATAATGTCACCACACTAACCGTATCACTTGCATCATAATCCATAGATTCGTTAATTTCTTCAATTTTTCCAACTTTAATTCCTGTCGTCGTATGGTGATTCGTAGATGCACCAGTTGTATGAGATTTATCAGGTGCTCCTTGTTGCTCACGGATATTCGTAGTGCCCGTATGTTTAAATTGAAAGTAATCCGAAGCTGATGATTGCAGAGTGGATTCATTGGTGGTATTATCAACTTCTCCCTTCATAGTGTTAAGTTTGGTTTCATCAAATGGGTTTCGTAAAACATAAACTTGTTCATAATCACAAGCTTTTGATTTCTGATGATCATATTCTCCTAGTAGTTTAAAAGAAACATCAACACTTCCGTTCACAGGAGTAAATTTCAATGAATTAGAAACTAAATTCATAACAATTTGAATAAGTCGATTCGAATCTCCGTAAAGAATCATTTTCCTTAGAATTCTAGGCTCTAAAAGAATCTTAAAATTAACCTTTTGATCCACGGCTAATTTGGAAAAAATCGACTTGACTTGATAAGCAACTTCCAAGATTTGAAAGTTTGATGTTTCCAATTTAGACCGATTCAAAGTATTCTTTGAATACGTTAATAATTCAGTTAAAATATGCAAGAGTAATTCTCCTGATCTATGAATCAACTTAAGAGAGTCTTGAATCTTGGATTGATCTTCTTCATCCATAGCAATAGATGTCATCCCTAAAATACCATTTAAAGGTGTTCTTAATTCATGTGATATGTTGGCAATGAATACTGTTTTAGCTTCATTTGCAGCTTCGGCTTCTATCTTTGATGCTTCCAACTCTTTAGTACGAAGTTTCACTCGGTCTTCAAGATGGGTATACTGTTTATCCAATTCTTCAATCATAATATTGAAAGCATCAGTTAATTCAGTCAATTCATCTTTAAAAAATTTCTTAGAATTGACTATTCTCTGCGGAAGTCTGATAGCTGTAGAATATCCTGAAGTCAGCTCTGAATGAATAGAATCTCTTTTCATTGAAAAGTTATTCAGTCCTATTTGTTCCTCTTCATCTCCAATATTATTATTATCTTCAATTGCGGTTTTTTCCACTATTGGTGGATAAGCTGTACCTTTGGATTGTCGTTTAACTTTGGATATCATGGGTAACTGTCGTTTACTTGGGGCTGCAACAGTCATATCTCTTGCAGTCAGTGGTTGTCCTATATCAACATTTCCATTACTTGCACCAGCGCCTGCGCCCGTGTCCTTTCTTGCAGAAAATGACAACCCATTTGAAGCCGTTGTATTATCAGGCATTCGCTGTAATAACGTTTGCAGTGACCCATCCTCATCTTCTGAAACCTTTTGTTTCCGATAGAACCAAGGATACAGAGTTCTAGAATATGGAGGTGACGGTATTTGCTTTTCTTTCTTCTTGGATCTGGTAATAGACTCTGTAGCTTCCTTTAATTTGGTAATTGGACGAATGAAATAATAAGCCAAGGGAAATGTTAAAAGACATATGAAAGCTCCAATGCCCACGGAAACACCAATGATAATTGATCTTAACTTTCTGAATGGTCCAAGGAAACTAGAACGTGACTGCATGACTATAATGGTCCAATTTTTGACTGAATCCACAGCTAATGATTGAAACCCAATAGCAATACCTCTACCGCTATACAGTTGTACATCAGCTGCAGAACCACTTGGTCTAGAAAGCGCCTCCTTGACAGCACTAGAAGTGTTGATACTGTAAACTGTATTTGGTTCCAATACGTTCTCAATATCGGGTATAACGGTTCTAAATCCATAAAGTCCGGAGTTAACATCTGAGTTTTGATTATATACGGCTTGAACAGCAATCACCGAGAAATCATTCAAGTTTGATGATGGCAGGGATAAGGAAGATGTGGAAGAAGATGATGAAGCGGTATCTGTCGAAAAATTGATTGATCCATTGACAGCATATTGAATACTGTAAATATTGCATATTATAGTCAAGTAACCCAGGATCGAAGGCTTACTTATAATGATTGAGGAATTGGAAAAAACGGGTAAAGTTAACCCGAGGAAATATGCAGAATCAATGACTGATGAATTGGCTACTGGACCGGTGACAAAATAATCATCATCTGGAAGAATGTTACTGATGGAGATGTTCTTTCTGATTGGATAAAGATAGTCCTTTGTAGGATCGGACAACAGGGTTGTATTACTTGTTGCGTTCACCACCAAATTCAATCCCAAGTCATATAGCCTTGCCCCGGCCACGAAATCCAGGGAATCAACGTATTGAAATAGAGTTCGCTGGGCACCTTCAAAAACCTCAACCGAGGTGTTGCCTGCCTTATAGCTGGTAAGGGCCAGGGTGATTTCGTATCTATTCAGAAGGAAATACCCCAAATTATAATATGCTTGCAAAGCTTGCTGTAACTGGATTGTTTTCAATTGAGCAATCACTTGTAGTCGTTCTGTACGCATTTCAGATAAGTTATTAGAATAGTACACCCCCGTGACGATTGCCAAGATGGCCAAAGAAAGCAATGAGGCAAAACACACGAGGGTAATAAGCTGTGGCCTAATCCCAATTTTGAGTCTTCTCATCTGACATTGACACGGAACAGGTTATGGGACGGATGCTATGCAATGGTATTCCTTGTGGTACGACTTATGATAATGTGACTTGTAACGGCAAGACTTGTGTACAGCTTGCTATATATGTGACGTGTACAACTAGTGAGACTCGAGTTCGAAATAATTAGGGCTACAAAGAAGGAGTAGTGGTGTTGATGAGTGAATCTGCTAAGGAAGGTGTGTTTTTCCACTTGAATTTTTTAGTGGTTTTGTGGTCTCTCGCTGCAACAGAAGAGTGCGACTGTAATACGAAGCCAAAGTGATAATAAGAAGCGACTGTGATACGAAGCTTAACAGTGTGACGTGGTGGTGATAATAAGAAGCGACGGTGTTAGTATTAAGCATGGCAGTGACTCTGTTACTATACCATTAAGTATGCCTGGCCCTGTTAGTATGACTGAAGTAGTATTATAATTATGTGTCACTACAAGCTTAAATCGCTTCTACGACGCAACATTACACATACTATTGCCTATTAGTATGCATTCTACAGATTTAAGGTAAAGGTTTTGAAATGCAGGGAGTACTTCTATTATGGCACAATCTTTAGCCACAGATATTGTGTGACATGGTTTTTGTCCTGCGATGAGCTAGGCGTCATTATCGTGTAGACACCAACAACCCTCAACGACAAACGTCAACGACGTCATGTTTGTTTTGTATGGCTCTGGTGAAGGGAAACCAACCAACCCTGTACATACACTCCCTTTCATGCACAGATGAAATTTAGTTGTTTGGCCAAAAGTAATGTTTCATTGTAATGTGAAGATCAATACAAAAATGTATAATAATATTAACAATAAAGTTGTCTTACATGTACACCTCAACCTCGAATCCATTGGTTGGTGGGTGACGGTGGCTTTACGTCATTTTTATGTTGTTATTGCTATTATTACTACTGCCGAGATGCCTGGCATGTATCTATTCTTTTCTGGGTCTGTCCACAGTAGTATTTACCCGGAATGCGTACTATACATGTAGTTTAGTATCCGGCGTAGGGGAAGGAGTTTTTTTTTGACAGATGTTTCATATACCTGTTGATATCTCCACATAAAACCATAGACACTATTTTAATACACTCATTCTTTCAGTAGCAAGCAATGAAAGTGCTTACGGTGTCCTCATTCGCAACAGTGGCCCTAGCCTTACAAAGACGAGCCGACTCACAGTCAACGTCAACGTCAATGTCATTAACGTCATCATTATCGTCGTCATTCTTAGCATCAACAACAGCAGCACCGTCGTCGTCAACAATTACACCATCATCAGTTTCCTCAGTAAAAACAACAACAGCATCACCATCACCATCTCCAAGAAGCTCATCTTTATTTCCATATCTTAAGTTTATGTTTTCCAGAACATCTCTAAGTCCCTACTACAATATTAACATGGACTTAAATGGTCAACAGATCCCGTTTCGACTCGATCTACTTCAACCAGACTTGTGGTTTTTGAATGGTAATAGTGTTTTACCTTGTAGTCAAATTGCATCCTTTGAAGCCCAGCACAGCACAGAGCTGAATTGGGAATCAATATACCTGACTTATACAGAGGTTGAAGCCACAGATTGTGGAAGGTATCTGATGTATTCCGTACCCCTGAACGGACCACTGGATAGCTCTTCCTCTGATGGCACCCCATGGTCATTGGCATATGTGGATGCCATCAATGCCACTGGAGTGTTGAGAAACATACAGAACGTTTCCATAAACATGGAAAATGGAACACCTGTCAAGATGAATAATATCGTTATGGGCGAAGTTGATAGTACTAATGTTGAAGTAGGAGGATTCGGTCTTGCCTCTCATCCTGACGGAACAGGGTTTCTTGGTGCTCTAGCGACATATGGTTACATCAATAGATCATCATATTCATTGTATTTCAGTGGATATCAAGCTGGTCTTCTTCCAGGAGTAGTGGACTCTTCTTTTATCAAAGGTGATTTTGTTAGTTACGACATGCTTCCTCATGTGGGAGGGACAGACTCAGAATCAACATTGAACAAAAGGTTGGCAGCAATCAAGTTCCCAACAGTTCTTCTTGAAGGTGTAGCCGTTCGTAACACAGCAACGAATCAAGTCCAATCATTAATGGGGTCTTCTGGTTCCTCGGCCTCTGTCCCTGTTCTTTTGCATAGCAGATCCAACTATTTATATTTACCATTGGATATCATTGTGAATTTGGCCATTCAAACCAATGCAGTCTATGTAAGTGACCTATCCAACTGGATTGTGGGTTGTGATATTGTCAATGGATCCAATGCCAATCTTGAGTTTTCGTTCCCTAATTTGACTATCAAGATTCCAATTAGTGCCATCTTATCCAACGCTTATGACATGAACATGAATCAGATCTCATTAAGTGATGGGTCCAAGGCTTGCTATTTGAACGTGGTTGACAACTCGTCAATGGGAGTGTCTTCTTTGGGATTGCCATTCTTATCCCACATATACATGGCTGTTGATAATCTTAGTGGGAAAGTTGCCATGGCACAGAGCAACGCCAATAATACGTCATCATCATCATCATCATCATCATCGTCGTCGTTGTCGTCGTCGTTGTCATCATCATCAACATCACCGACATCACAACCATCTACAAGCACGGCACAGGAAACCACAAGCCTGGCAACAAAAACATTTGCCAGAATGGTGAACTCCAGTATCCCCTATGCAACTTACTATCTGACCAACAGCCTACCAACATTAACCTACTATCAGCTTAACACTCTGGCCACACTAGAGATCCCTGCCATGTTCACGTCGGTGGTGTTTTCTCTGGGTTCAATTTACTTATCGCAGCTTCCCAATACCACCAGTTCAGTTGCCGTTGCAGCAGCCACTTCCACTTCTGTCGATAAGACTAGTAACGGGGCTATGGGCAGCACTGGAGCATTAACATCATCATGGGTTGTTTCGTTTATAAGCTTTTGTTTTTCATTGGTTTTATTATGAACAATTGTATACTAAAAAAAGTTAGACGTGTCATATTATTATACTAAACTGTACCATATTAAACTGTACCATATTAAACTGTATAATATACACTGTATATATTGCATAACTATAACTCATTCAATTCATACGATTTTGTTTTGGCCTGTTGCTGACGGTCTAGTCTTTCCAAATGTCTATAATAGTTGTACCAGCCAATGTCGGCCAAGGTGATGAATAAACCCACAACATTAATTGATGATAAGTGATCCCCAAACACAAGGAACCCAATGACAATGGTGACCAACTCTTTAAAGATTCCTGCAATGGAAAGAGTAATCAAGGGGGCCACTTGTAAGAGCATAAACTCACACCAAGTCATCATAAAGGCCATTATACCAGGGAAAATCATCAATATGGTGGTTAGAGCATACCCCTTTTCTTGCCATATAGCATGGGAGAAGAACTTTCCAATGCCTTCAAAAGTGAACCCCGTAATGAAGAGTAACGTGGCCATAAGCGGACTGAGATAGAACATGGCTTGGATGGGGTTGGACGTATTAGGATTCACTTTAAGAAGCAACTGTGTGAACGACCATCTAAGTCCGCTGGACATTGAAGCTATGAGTATAAGGATGATTCCAAAGGTAACATCCGCCTGACTCTTAGCATCATCAACTTCATCAGCACCATTTTTTAGAGGGTCTGGTTTGATAACCATGAGTGAGACTGAAAAGGTCATGATAGCGATGATTATCACCAATTTCCAATTGAACCGTTCCAACTTGAAGAGTAACCCAAATAGAAGAACAAAGATCAACAGACTTGTCTTCAACATGGTGTATAATGATAATGTTATATACTTAAAGGATACGTTCAGAAACCCAATATCACAGGCACTTGCTATTGCACACGGCATGGTAGTCCAAAAGACACTCCACACTATGGTATTATTATTTTTAGTAGTAGTGGTACTAACATCATGATCATTATCTTCAGAATGTATTGGAGAACTGGAGCTACTGGAATGGACATTATTACTGCTTCTTCTTCTTATTGGTCTCAAGATTGGAGTTGACGGACTCAGAGATCTCCCTTCGTCACTACTTTTAATTTGCTGCTGTTTCAGATACCCTTGTTGTCTTATGATAGATGAAAAAATCAATAGCACCACTTGATGGAACGCAGTCACGATTATGGGGAACTCAAAGACTCCAAACATCCATTTATTGTAGACACTAATGCCTACCAGAAAGATATACCATCCTAATATATATTTCAACAGTCCCATAGTTCATAAGAATAAAGTTGTATGTGGCTAATGGCACAAGCTAATGGTACAAGTTAATGGTACAAGTTAATGGTACAAGTAGCTAATGGTACAAGTAGTTAATTGTATCTGTAGCTAATTGTATCTGTAGCTAACTGCAGTTGTAGCTGAATAGCTGTCTATAGTACACTGTATTGTCACGTCTCACACGTCTTGTATACTTTGCCGTTTAGTATACCCGTACTTTCTATTGTATGTGATGGTTGTTGATTCTGCATCGGTAAGTAAAATTCGGCTAAGGACACGATTGATTTGAGCCGAATTAGGTACAGCGTCGTACAAGAGTTCACAGTGTTGATCAGTCACTAGCATGGTAGCACACCAGTCAGTTGTATAGTTGCATAGTATAAGTCATTAGTACATTCACTACTCGTACAGTCGCCTCTATATTGTAGCAGTTACTAGCATAGCGTAGCAGCCATTAGCAGTACTTATAGTAGTATGGCGGAAGTGCAGTTCGTATTGAATGTAGTGTTCTCTCCAAAGCAATTGTGCAGTACATTATTTTCCAACATAGCAAAGAACGTAGGTGCGTACCTGAAGAAGATATATTGAGACAGACACTACAATCAAACACTACACTCTATATAAGGACTGTATTTATAGTGTAGGATGTACTGTTGGTTATTATATGTTATGGTCTGTGTCTTACACCAATTCCATTGGGTCTATGAATCCATTGGGCTTATCTTAACCTTAAACCTTGTATATACCATTGCCGTTTATAGTAATTGGCATTCTCAACCGGCGCTACCATAACAATTGACAACTTTACCACCGCCGCATACAAAGAAATGCTAATGTTAACTAATACTTTCTTCTTCTTCTTTATCATCATTATGGTGAAGAATATAGACCCCTTATCGTTGATCAATATCCAGCGGGAATATCTCTTTGAAAGAATCCGACAGGTTCAAGAACAAGGCAAACTTTATGTGTTGGTTGTAGATAGGAAGATTAAGACACTAATAGATGCTATAATTAGTAAGGATCAATTACTTCGATTAGTAGTGGCCGTTGAACTCATAGATGAACGACGCAAACCCCAGTCGTATCTAGAAGCCATCTATATGTGTCACATGTCAGTGTACAACTTACAATGTATTTTATCTGATGTTCACACTAATAGATATCGATTAGGTCATGGACTTTTAATACCTAAACTTGGTTCAGATATGGAATTGAATCATTTTTATAATCAAAATTTCCTTACAGAACCAAAAATAGTTCAATACTTTCAAAACCAAAAACTAATTGAATATATAAATGCGTCCATGTTCCCTCTTGAATCCCGATGCTTTGTTGTTGATTCTTCAAGGGCCAATGCCATGCCTATATATTATAATGAGAACTTGGCTGAATTGGTTCCTCATCAAATTAAACGAGTAGCCGAGGCTCTCGTGAATGTCGTGGTAGTCACCGGGGAATATCCTTATGTTAGATATCAAAGTTCTTCTAAAGTTGCCCATTTGATAGCCCAAGAATTCCAATCTCAACTAGATAATTATGCCAGACTTAACATAGATTACCCCCCTCCTCAAACCAATCGTGTTCGTTCGGTGTTGCTTATCACCGATAGATCCTTGGATTTGTTTGCTCCTTTACTTCATGAATTCACCTACCAAGCCATGGCTATGGACATAGTTGAATCATTGGAAAAAGAAGGGGTCTATAAGTTTAACTCCGAGAACGAATTGGGAGAAATCTCAGAAGTCAATACTGAAATCGATAATGAAGACGATGAAGAATGGGTAATGCTTAGACATTGTCATATTGTTGAAGCCTCTGAATTGATCATTAGCAAAATCAATGATCTAATTAAAAATAATCCAATGCTTGTGGACCGTACTAAGGCTAAAACTTCAAGTGATTTATTATTTATAGTGGCTCATTTGAAAGGGTTCGATGAAGAAAGGAAGCATGTTAGTTTGCATAAACTGTTAATTGATGAATGTGTTCAAAGAAATGATGAACGTAAACTCGCTGAATTTGCTGCTGATTTTGAACAAACATGTTGTGCTGATGGAATTACTTTTGAAAATGAACGGAATAAACATTTACATGATGATTTGATTGAGTTATTAGCAAGACAAGATTTACTGATCAATGATAAGATAAGGTTAGTGTTGATTTATGGGTTATATCGTGGAGGTTTAATTGAAGACGATTTTACAAAATTAGCAATGTTTATTGGTGTTGATAACAAACAAGTGGAACTGTTGGTTTCAAGATGCTTTGTTAACTTCGCCAAACTTGGGTTCCCCTTAATCAAATCTTCTCCAAAGGATAAAAATTCAGATAAGAAGTTATATCATTCCATTAACAACGAAGGGACTTTCAATACCTCAAGATTCATTGGTGGATTGAAGAATGTTCTTCAACAGGTTACCACTGGTACTTTAAGTGAGGAAGAATTTCCTTATATAAGAGAAAGACCTTTAGAAGATGAACTTCCTAAAACCGAAGCTCAGACTTCCACCTCTACTACTAGTGGACCACAAGCGTTTAGAACTTCAAGAGTTAGAGCAACTTGGGCCGATCTGTCAAACACGAAATCATCTACAAGAAAAACAACGTCTAGACAAAGAATCTATTCTTATGTGGCAGGAGGTATGACTTATTCCGAGCTCAGAGCAGCCTATGAACTTTCCAAGGAATTAGATAAAGAGGTTTATATTGGCTCAGAAACTTTATTAAGACCCCGGGATTTCTGCATTGGGTTACAAGATGTTGATATCAATAAATCAGTTGATCGGATCAACTTACCTCTTTTACAAGAGCTTAGAGGTCCAAGAGATGCTCCAGGGTACATGTTTGAAGTTCCCAAGCCTCCAGCACCACCACAATCATCTTCGAATCCAAATCCTGCTTTAAATCAGCAATATAATCGATTGAGTCAAGGTTCATCCATTAGTTCCAAACCAATGACTCCAAACTTATCAAGCAAAGCATCAATGCATAGTCTGTCTCCTAGCGGTGGAGATAAGTCATCTCCTTCTAAAAAGAAGAAAAGTAAGTTTAAGATCTTTTCCAAATAATATAAAGATACTTATTTTCTATTTAATTTCATCCAACGAGGGACTCTATCATTGACATTCTCATCTTTGGGGTTTTTGGTGGAATTGAAAGTAGATGATGAATTAGATTCAAAAGAATTGGTGGTAGTCTTTTTCTTATTATTATCATCAACTTCATCGTCTGGTAATAACGATCTATTTTCTTCAATGACAATCTCGGCCCTTTCATTGGAATTCTTGATAGTAGCAATAGATTCTTCTTTAACAAATGGCCCCTTACGTGATAAAGAGGTATCTTTAAGTTCCCAAAGTAATAAGATACGTTCAGTTTGAAATTCTGGGAACTCCAATAATAGTTTATTATTTGTGTCAAATGTAAATGATAAGACTTTGAATGGTGGTTCCGGGAACTTTATTATGTAATGATTGACATATTCCGGTAATAATATTTGATCAATTCTCTTTAATAAAGTCCCCAACTTCAAATTTGATAGTTCCTTTTGTTCATAATTGAATTGTATAATATTCCGGTCGGGGAATCTTAACCGTATACTGTAATGCGTTACCGGTTTAGGAATTTTGGCAGGCTTTGCATTACCTTTTTGTTGAACCATTCTGTAATATTGTTTAGCTTGACTCACAGTCATCTCATAGTCATCATCTGGATTCTCATAAAGTGTCGTTGGATGATTTCCAGGCTTATACAATTGAGTATCACTCTCTATATTAAGTTGTAGGGCGTCATCAATAAGCCTCGTATTTATTGCGCTTTCATTTTCACTTGCATTGACACTTGCGCTTTGTTCCTGTTCGCTGCCGCTGTTCCGACGGACTATCCGAGACTCATTATGAATAGTATTTTTATCGACTGGCAATACATTCGGGTCTAATTCCATACGATTCTCTTTCTCCTGTGCCTCTTCCCTTTGCCTTTCAAGTAACTTTTGCCGTTTCAACTCCTCTTTTAATTGTTCTCGGTGAAGATGTTCTTCTTCCATCCGTTTGACATTAGTCTGTCTCTGTTGTTCTAATTGTGTCCGAACAATTTGCTGCTGATGAAGTTCTCGTTCAGCAGCACCTTCATTATTGGAGTAATTCAATCTTACTACAAAATTCTTAACTCCTGAGCCAATCACCGTACCAAGTACAGTAGAATTGAACTGCGACAAGGGGATTTTTTGATCAACAAGGATCATTTCAATCTTAATATCATTCGTTTGTGACTCTGTTAATGGCAATTTCAAACCAGAATTGGCCTTTTCAAACTCTTGTACAACTTGACTCAACAGAAGACTTGTGTCTATATCTTTCAACAAGTATTGTGGTCTAGCCGTAGGCACACCAGCTACTATTAACTTTATATCAACTTTAGAACCCCCAGCACTGGCAGATACCGTCTTATTAGAGACTTCTTTTACTTGTAGTTCAACTTTACTATTATTAATCACGTTAGTGAATCGTAAGGGTAAGGAAGTATCCAATACTTTCCTCTGGTACAAAAGCTTACCCTCCAATTCACTTTGATTCAACAGAAACTTGTCCATCGCCATTCCTGTAGCCTGATTCACCGTTTGAGTCTTCAAACATGTTATCTTCTTGGTTAAATGACCGTATGACACTTGCAACGTAATGTTAGACATGATGGCGAATCAACAGTAAAGTATACACAATGATAACCAACACACACAACAGAAATTCTGTCACAAACAATTATACGTCTATATAATGACTATGCAATACCTCAATTGATCACCGTAGTTACTAAAGTTCGATTATAAGTTCGACTATAAGTTCGACTACTCTATGTCAAGGTGTATAGTGAACCACTTCTGGAGAATCCCGACCGAGAATGGCGATGTCCGCGCGGGATGGTGACGCGCACGACCGGACAAAGAATACTATATAAAAGGGCTTGAGATGATCATGTAAAATTGAAGGGACCACCGTCCAATTTAAATTTTGTATATATAAAGGAGTAAACATCCCCCGTGGATCTAGCGATACATTATTATTCTATTAGATATCCCATCAAAATCATACTCAAAATAACTTCATCTACTTTAATATATCTCCTCAGCTGGATCGCTGGTTTAATTGTTTGTGTTCTATTCTACAGTATGTGTTGCTGTTGTTCTCCTTGTTGTTCAGACATTCTACTTATTATAGTGTCTGTGTTATTCCCTCCGTTGCCAGTTTGGATTAGAAGAGGAATATGTTCTTGTGACTCCCTTATAAATATCTTGCTTTGTTTGATGGGTTACTTGCCCGGTTTAATCCATTCATGGTACATCATTGCCAAATACCCCCCTTACACCATTGACCATGACACAAGAATATACTACGTCTACGGACAAGACTTGGAAAGAGGAGGAGGACATCAACATCATCATCATCATCAACATCATCACACTCATAACAATACCATTGTCCTGGAACCATCACCTTTAGTGGCTCCAGCTGCTAATTATGGTTCTATTGAAGAAACTCGCCATTCTCCTAATCCTTCTTCATCTGGGAACAATGAAGTTTCTACAAGTGTTCCTCCACCCTACACGGAATTTGATAACAAGACTCAACATTGATCGAACACCTTGTTTAATGAGTGTCGTTTAGACAATTTTTTTATTCTTTTCTTTTTATTTCACGGAGGCTTATAAGTAATAGAGATAATGGTAATGTAATTAATATAATGTGAAAATGTAGTTATATATATATATGTAATAACGACATAGATATAAACAATAATTACCAGCAATTTGTCACATGACAATTGTCACGTGATATTCAAAAATAAGTCAGTCTAAGCAACGATTCATGGTGGTGAGTTAGACTTCTGGCACCGTTCTACTCCAGTGTATAATGTCATTTGCTAATTTTGATCTAGAAGCTCAGACTCGTAAGTCTGCTTCAGCAGAGGATGATATAGGAACAAAACTTGCACTGTATGCTGGCTTGGCTGCCCAATTAAATAGACAGAAACAATTCATTGGCAGTAAACGAGATTCTGAAGGTCTTAGGAAACAATTGGATGAATTAGTAAAGAAAATAAATACTGCTGAAGCAGAGTGTCGACGTTTACTTAATGCTCAAGATAACAAGACGGCGACATCACTGAATTCAAACGATTATGTTGTTAGAGAAAGACTCGAGACGGAGTTTAGTGCAGTTCAGAGACAACTGACTGCTACAATTAAGATGTATCAACAAAAGAAACATGCTACGCCATTAGAATCTTCTTCTGAGAGGACCAAATTGTTTCAAAGTAACCCCCAACAACAATATGGAGCTTTTGAAGATCATCAACAAAGTCAACAAGCCCAACAAGTCCAGCAACTAGTTTTAGAGCCTCAAATTGACCAAACAGATCTTGAATATCACACGTTGGTTACGGAGCAGAGAGAAAACGAGATAACAAGAATACACGAGGGGGTAATGGAGGTGAATGCTATATTCAAAGACTTGGATCAAATAGTTAACCAACAGGGTGAACAACTTGATACCATAGAGAACAATATCACCAACTATGAGGGGAACGCTCAAGGAGCTCACAAGGAATTGATAAGAGCTGAAGAACACCAAAAGCAAAAGAATAAATGCTGTGTAATACTGTTGATTGTTTTCTCGGTTATTCTATTGACCATTATTCTTATAGCTATCAGTTGATACAGAGCAAACTACAGATGAACAGATTTAACAAAGACCATCATATTGAAACCATAATAATAACTTAAAACCCTTACCCCGAGATCAATCTAATTCATCAATCATATCAGATTCTATATCAGTCTCATTAGGGGTCACAGGTTCACAATCAGAATTATCACTATCTTCAGCATACAACTGGGAGTCCTTTTTTGTGCTGTAGCGCTTAGCCTGAGATTCACAATAAGCAGCACCTTGACTTAACTTACGTTCCATTATTTCAAACAACATCTCCTTGTTGTGGAGGACCGCTACTCCTGCTCCTACCACTGCACCCAAAGTGAGAGCTATTTTGACCGATACCGGGACTGAAAATGCTTCGTTAGTACTACTCATTGATGTTAAGACGTGATTTAGACTATGCTTACCTATAAGGGGCATTATTGATGAATAATGAATAACACAAGGGATATAAGTATATAGGGTCAGGTATTGCTAACTTATAGTGGCGGTGGCGCCGCGAGGGCGTGGTGTTAGGGGGTTGCCACTTGCGGAGAAAAATATAGCCAACTAACACTACAGAGTAGTGCAGTGTAGCGCAGTTATAGGAGGTATAATCTTAGTACAGTAAGTATAGTGCAGTGGGTATAGTACAATATTAGCATAGTATCAGTACGGCATAAGTGAAGTACAGTGCACTAAATAAACTAAATTAAATATTTATTATAGTACATATTATAGTGCGTGTTATCGTACAGTATATTGTAGTCCAGCAAGCCGTAGAACCGCATGTTTTAGTATGTCAGAGATTGCATGTGACCTTTGTGCAATGAAACATATTTTGATGGAACCACTATCAAAGGAATGTATGATGTTGACAGCAGTTGTGCTCTAGAATATCTTCTAACACTTTGTACGAAAAAGTTTAATTTGACCCCCGTTTCGTTGACGGAGGTCGTTCGTTTAATGGTTTGGTAAACCTAAGCAGATGCATACCTTCTGGTTGATTCACTAAGAATTTTGTTTCAATGCGACACCAGCAAGTTCCATCCCTAGTTCTTAACACAATGGTTGATAAATGAGGTTGCAAGGTTACAGGGAAAGCAGACAGAACATTCCGTGAAACGTATTTGCCATATCTGATTTGTTGGTGTACTTTTAAAAGAGTCCATACACCGTTGAAGTAACGAGACATTGCCAAATGTTGGCGGTTATGGCTGCGAATTTCTCATTGCGTTTGAAAAACACAACCAATTGCTTTGGCCCATTAGAAACAGTAACGTTCCTCTTTTTGACCGGTTTGCTACAACTTGCGTCTTAGGCATTGTGTGTAATTTCTCTCATGAATTACCCTAGTTAGAAATAATAATAAAATATAATACATAGATATAGTGATGGATGTGGAACGACTAAGTGCTTCCATACCTTATAGCATGCGATGATAAACTATTTACTTTTCTTCATGGACATCAACAGTTTGATTCAAAACACTCCTCGAAGAGTTTTCTTCATTCTCTGAACCATTTCCTTCGTCAACATCAAGTCTCTTTCTAATGGAGGCCAATTTTACGACGTTGACTTTTCCAAGTACAAAATATGGATGGAATGGGATGAAGATTAACCCAGCAATTGACATCATAAGAGATTCTAAGGTCATCAAATAAACTTCATGAGTAATTAAATGACCTCTCCATCCTTCAGCCAATTCAACCACTCTATATATGCACCGAATGTACACGACACACACACTAACGGTAATTGCCAACGGGAACCAATTAAACAATGGTCTTGAACGAATACTTTGGAATTTTGGATTGTAGAACTTGTCCAAGGTGTTTCTTGTATGCCTTCTTGCTGATGGAGTAGCCAATAATAACTTTATAAAATTCTTTATAGACCGCTTCTTATAAGGATTTGAATCTTCAATTTTGGCATTGTCTTTGAAGTATAACCGAAGTAAAAAATCAAACCAAAATGCAACGAAAAATGTCATGGCAAGTAGTTGGAAACATATACCTCCTAAAATCATATTTGTACCTGGTTTAGTAGACTTATTGTTGTTATAAGCAATTGAAGTAGCGGCACCTCCGCCAGCTTGAACGAAAATTGATAAAACGTCCGTAGTAATAAAGAAATAAGAATACCATAAGGGCTTCAATATGGAGTAACCCCTACCATGGATAACCACAGCTTGAGCACATAGGAAATACATTCCAGCCATAACAAGAGCTGGAGCCATAGTTAACCCAATAATTTGCATTAAAAATGCATCATGGTTCTCTATATCAACTGTGGATACAATTCTACCAATAAATCCAATAACTTCAAGACCAAACCCAAGAAAAAATGTTATATTGTACCACCAATATTTTGATTTGATGACCATTAAAGTGTTGAAACCCCATATCAAGCCAAAAACAACAAGATAAATAGCATTAGCTGCCACATTCAAATTGTATTGATATGGATTGTTCTCAAACTCCAAAGCCTTCAAATTAAGTGTAGCATTGAAAATAATCTCAGTAGCCTGCAGTAGAACGCTTTGATCGGTTGCTGTAGCCAATACCAGTTCTGCTCGCATGATAGTAATGGATGCTTGGGCGCCTCTAATAGACCGTGAAAGGTCCATTAGGACGGGCCAATTAGTTTCAGTTGCAACTTGATCCACAGCTGAAGAGATGACGGATAATAAACTAGACGGATCTCCGGTAAATGTCAGTAAGGTAGTTTTGGTTGGTATTATGGATGGTTGCCAATCGGACCAACCTCTAGATATTGCAGAATTTGTTATGGCTATAGACATGATGAATGGCACAATATATGCTTCTTACCGTACGTAATTGATAGCAGATAATAGAAATTGAAAAGCTAGATGCGCTACTTTATATATTTACCACTTGGCATCCATCTGTATAGTCGAGAATGTATTAATTTTGGCGACTCAGTGATAGCAATCATACAATACTGCGGCTTGCACTTAAACAAAGGGGCAGCTGGGCGAAGCTGACCCTTTGTTCCGTAACCTAAAGACGGGATTTACTATGAGATGTTGATAGATAAGTGAGTTTGTGACTCTTGTTTAGGGCTTATTTTACCACATGAATGTAGTAAAATAGTACTTGTATACCAAGAGTTTTTGCCATATATAGAGTGGGTATGGCACCCGTAGAGTGCTACAAAGTGTAGCTAGAGAAGAGGGAGATTAGTTTACTAATTTAGCCGCTTGTTTAGTCAAGTCACACTGCACTAGACATAGGTGGGATACCAAGTAACTGAGCCGTGCTCTTGGCTTTATAGTATTATTCCATGGCACACGCAAACGGTCGTGGTGTGACAAACGGTCTTGGAAGTATATATAACAAAGGTAGCGTATGACGTAAAGCTATAACGTAGTTACTGTATAGTTATAATATAATGACAATATAGGTCTAGTGTGGTATTAGTATTAGTGTGAATAGGGCTATGCAATGAAGCAACTATTGTTTATTACGCTTGCAAGTTTCTGGGCAAGCAATTCTATTATATTACAAAATAGGTCAGTTTACATCATCTGCGCGGATATATCAACTCCGTCAGAATACGAGACTATTTAATATTACCATAGCGGAATAACATATTATTTAGCTGATTCGAGACTCCTTCAGTGATTATCACTTCTGAATTACCACTTTTACCATCTTCCTCTATCTATCAGCGTTAATGAGGTACCAAATTCGATTTCAATTCAACCTTACTATCCTGCATATAATTTGATATTGCAGCCAATACCCTGATTAACAAATTTAGTCCAATACTTCCTCAAATGCAACCGTACCGAGCCTAAGACCAATTGAGATAGCATTAGATTCTTATTACAGGTAGATGTTTAAAAAATAGATAGAAAGAATAAATAGCAACTAAGGAAATACAAAAATACGCAGGAAACACACCCTCTTCTGTAGTTATCCTATTCAGATAGAAGCAACGGCCCCGGTTCAATCTCAAAATAATCCATTTTTGGTACTAAGGGGGATATGCTTAAACCTAAATTCGCAAGCCTCAAAAGGCATCAGAAATTAAAGGGAAAGACACAATTTTTGATTAAAGCAAGAAGGGAGACCTTCACCTGGTCGATGCTTATCAGGAGCTACAAAAGTTCATTCTTCTAAGCTCCTCTGTGAACCCCTTAAACAAAGATAACAGGCGCCCTTAGTAGATAGCTTGAATTGACCATTGATTGTTTTTGCAAAGTCAAATACCTTTTTGTCTAATTTCGAAGCATAATATGGTTGATTTTGGAATCAAATGTAGCTCACCATAGTCTGGGATCAATCACAACTCCAGTAAAATAAGTAACTTAAAACATAAATTTCCTTCCCCTGTTCCTTCCCCTGTTCCTTTCCTGTTGCAGGGAACCCTAATTTAAAGATTTGGGTGCTGTCCCCTTCAAGAATTGTGCCAATTTCGTCGTTTAACCATCACTTTCTCTGAAAATCAGATTGCTTGACTTTTGGTGATTCCTTCCACAACAATTCCAATTTGTATAGCAATTGCACTTTTACGTATTCGTAGTGAATGCATTTGGATTGATAGAGCTGGATTCTGTGTTAGATGGTTTTCCTCTCTTTTCTCTTTCGCAACCATGTTAAGAATTCTCAGACTAGGCCCCAATATCTCTGCCGACACTACTTCTTCTTTATACTTATCGCAATTAGGCCATTGTCAAAAGATTTAGAGCATAAGCAGCACAGCTTACCATATTAAAGTGTAAACTATACTACAGTGTATTTTCTAGTACAATATAAATCCGATTTTAAAACTAGCAGAAATCTTTAAGCCGCCAACCCAATTGGGAATCTTCGTGGCTGCATAAAGTAGAATACAAGAAGAGATGGACTCTTTGAATGCGACAAAACTAATTTAACAGAATCGAATTAATAACTGACATCGGTCTAAACTGTTCTATGCTTGTTACTACCAGTGAATTGTAACTCAATGTCCCAAAAAAAATGTTATAAAGAGTTATAAATTGAGATTAGTATATTTTCGTCGTTATATTTATCTACAAAGGAAATTCTACAGGAAAGTACTACCACTAAGTTGATGAAATTTACTATTTTAGCACTAGCTCGTTGTCACATCAACTTTGTCTGATTATATGTCTTGTCATATTTGAAATGTGGTATTAAGTTTGAGTACACCAAAATACTCTCAGAATGAAAAGTTTAGGCAAAAACAAATAACTATAAATATGATAATATTGGTATAGGAAACCTGGCGGCTGCAAAATTCACTTACGCCAGTGTCACACTTCGAGAAAACTTCAGAAGATATTTGGAAGGATCTTATATTAATCCAAACAGTTTCAAAAATTTCAACTAAAGAAACTGTTTATGAAATTTTCCATTACATAAGACTTTTCTTCCAAGTCCAGTTGAATATACGCAAGGTATAACCTTAGAGATAAACTTTAATACTTTACAACGGTGAACTAGAGACATGGCAAAATAGTTCAGCACATTTCAATACCGTGCAGTGAGCTTCGATACACTGGAGTATGTGTATATAGAGAATATTTGATACATTTTAACACTCACCGTTTACTCGTAGTTTATACTGTAAGGAATGGAGCGCCCTAGTATTAAGTGATATCGATTGAAAACTATACTCGTGCCTGACTCAAAAAATGAATCTAAAGTCAAATCAAATCTACTGATTACATCATCAATACCAGTTAATCCATTACTTATACAATCCAACCAATAATCAAATCGCTTCCTATCTAAGAGTGCTCTTTCCCTATTGATGTCGTCAGTCGACTATTACCAAGTGCTTGGTGTGACGTATTCTGCTACCGAGGATGAGTTGCGTAAGTCATACAAGAAGTTATGTCTCAAGTATCATCCGGATAAAAGTAGAGGTGATGATAATGCCCATCAAAAGTTTCTTAAGGTGAAAGAGGCATATGAAATCCTTTCTGAGCCAAATAAGAGGGCCGAATATGATAGGTCATTCCCCATTAAAGTGAATATTTTCACTCATAAACCACATCAAGCAGATCACCCTGGTGGTGGCTACAGTTATACCAGTACAAAAACAACAACATCAACAAGCACTAGTGGTGGTGGTACTGGGAAATCCAGAGCATCAGATGGCTATTTCCTGTTTTATCAGAATTATTTCCAGCAGCAGAATGAAGCAACCCGTAGAGCACGAGATTTCCGTAGACAATGGGAGTTTGATAGCAAACGACGTGAAGAAGAGAAGAGACAAACAGAGGAATTGTTACGGAGACAGAGAGAAGAAGAGATACGAAGGTACCAAGAAGAAGTAAAGCGTACGCAGCGACGTCAGGAAGAATTAAAGCGAGAACAAGAACGTCAGGAAGAACTTCGAAGGGAACTGGAAGAGATCAGAGCACAAGAAGAGCGCATTAAACAAAAGTTAAAAGAACAAGTCAATCAAGAGTTTCTGCTGCATTTGCCAAATGACATACCACAACCTCTGCTGAATGGTGGATTTGGACTTGGTTCTGCATCTGATCCTGATGACACAGATATTTCCTTTGAAGGTGATGGTGAAGACAATCCCATAGTTGTTGATGATGACGATGATGATGACGATGATGATGACGATGATGATGACGATGATGATGACGATGATGATGACGATGATGATGTTGATGATGATGTTGTTGAAGATGACGATTGTATTGAGGATTTTGAAAGACGACGTTCTCCTTCGTTATCTGAGGATAGCGATATTGAGGAAGAGAATCCTGGCAATGGTGACGATATAGGACAAGCAAGCTTTGCAAGTGAATCAGCTATCCCCAAAACTACATTATGTGATGACATAGAACAAGATTCTGATGTACTTGAAGTGAAGCCAGAACCGTCTGAAACCATTAAGTCCACCACCTCACCATCATCATCATCATCCAAGAGGCAAAAGAGAGATGGTAAGCCATTCATATTTCATCCCTTATCCTCGGAAAATGCTGTTCCTACTGTTAAAAGGCAAAAAATAGATACGTTTTCAACTACCAAATTGAAGGAGAACCTTACGATGGGAATAGATGAAGTTGATTTCAGTGATTTACAAGACTCACTCCCAAGAACCACCCTTAATAGACAACGGAAGACACTGAATACCAACTATTCCCCTAAAAATAAGAAACCCAAACTTGCTGAGTTTTCTGATGGGACTTCAAAGGCAGAAACGCTTCAAAGTCCAGTTAATAAGAGGTCCTTTGTAACCAATCACAGCAAGGCAACAGCAACAACTAATAGTCATGTTCAGCCGGTTACTGCACTTGATCTACATGCATCCCCAACCATACTTGATATCCTACCTCCCAAAGCACCCCATTCTTTATTAGATGACCTACCAACCATCGAAACATGGGGCAAATACGTCAATAAAGTAACCCAGTATCAGAAACAATGGTTTGAGTATCAAGAGTATGTGCTTAGATATCAAGAAGAACGTCATAGAAAGGATAAGGAACTCCGAGATCAAATTAATAGTTCTACCAATAATTTTAACGTTTATCTTGAGTGTTTGAAACAAGACATGGTGGTTCAAGATCGATACGTTGTACTGCTTAGAGAGCATGTTCATTTCATGAATGTGTATAAGCTGAACTGTTCGTGGATGAAAGCGGTGAAGAGAGGTTGACAAACACAGAATAATATAACTATATGCCATATACACCATAGTATATTAAGCAGTATCAAATACAGCGTGGTATATTTAGAAAGAAGACCCACAACCTGTACGTATAACCATTATAATACCCCCTAACACCAACATAAAATATATACACGCGTTCTGAAAATTGTTAGTAAAACTCACACTGTAGTTCTTCACCACCTCCACCTCCACCAATGAACTCCACTAGAAAGTTGCTACTTATCACAGGAGTATTGTTCCATATTTTCTACCTATGGTCGATCTTTGATATCTACTTTGTGCTGCCATTGGTCCATGGAATGCGTCAGCACAAGTCCACCATGGAGCCACCAGCCAAACGATTGTTTCTCATAGTTGGCGATGGGTTAAGAGCTGATAAAACATTCCAACGGTTGCCTGATCCCGATACCGGCAACAGCACGTACTTGGCACCTTACTTGAGAAGTTTGGTGTTGAACAATGCTTCGTGGGGGATCTCCAATACTCGCATGCCCACTGAATCAAGACCAGGACATGTAGCAATGATTGCAGGGTTTTATGAAGATGTATCTGCGGTTACGAAGGGTTGGAAGGAAAACCCTGTGGAATTTGACTCTTTCTTCAACCAATCAAAACATACGTATCTGTTTGGATCTCCAGATATCCTTCCTATATTCTCTGTTGGAGATAAAGTTGTTCCCGGGGTTATTGACTGTCATATGTATGATCATACTTTTGAAGACTTTACGTCTTCTTCAATTGAATTGGATAAGTTTGTATTTGATCATTTGGACTCATTGATGGACAATCTGACCACCAATCAAACGTTACATGACGAATTGATGCAAGATGGTAATGTCTTCTTCCTTCATTTATTGGGTCCAGATACGGCAGGACATGCAAAGAGACCTTATTCCCCAGAATACTACAATAATATAAAATATATAGATCAAAAATTGGAGTCCTTGATTCCTCGGATCCACCAGTTCTTTGGTGACGAAGATACTGCTTTTATCTTTACTGCTGATCATGGAATGTCGGATTACGGCTCTCATGGTGATGGTCATCCCAATAACACCCGTACACCATTGATTGCATGGGGTGCAGGGATTAAACAACCACAATGGCTTAATTCTGCCGTACAAAGAGATTTGCAAGATCCAATTGCTAGTGGATATGAATCAACGTATTTCGATACTTGGAATTTCGACCATTTGGTAAGAAATGATGTGAAACAAGCAGACATTGCCCCCTTAATGGCATATTTAATTGGTGCAAATTATCCCGCAAATTCAGTGGGGGAATTGCCTTTAGCTTATCTTGATGCCAATGGAACTACTAAGGCACATGCGTTATACAAAAATGCCTTAGCCGTTGCAGAGCAATACGTAATCAAGGAAATGGAAGTTCAAAGTCATCATTTTAGGTTCACCGAGTTTAAAGCCTTTGACGAGAACCCAATCATTGATCAACAGGAAGAAATAGAAGCTTTACTTGGAACGTTGGATACTATGGACCTTAATGACTTGGAAAGATCTACTATGGAAGTGGATACTATAGTGAAGATTGAACAGTTGATGCGCAACAGTTTGGAAGGATTAGATTACTTACAGAAATATGATTGGCTATTCTTGAAGTCAATTGTTACCTTTGGATTCTTTGGGTGGATTTTCTATTCATTCAAACTCTTTCTTCAATTGTTTGTGATTCCAGAGAGTGAACAGAAACCCACTCAACCCAGTATGAAATTAAAGGTGGTGTTTATAACTTTAGGAGTTGGAATTATGGCCTTGTTGCAATACCAAAACTCTCCATTTAATTACAAGATTTATGCTGCTTTCCCCATATACTTCTGGTACTATATTATTGCAGATTTACAGTCGGTAATGATTTTAGGTATTTCTCGTTTGTTTCGGGGTATCAGTCCTGCTCATAGACTTGCCATTATCTTATCATTTGTGTCCATGTATGAAGGCATTGCTTATGGGTTTTTTGAAAGATACATGTTCTCCATAATTTTTGTTTCCATTGGTCTTTATCCTGTTTTCTTCCACACTGTCTCCTTTAGCTCCAAATTATTATGGTTTATTTCTTGTTGTTTCATGTGCATTTTCACCAACTTAAACCCAGTCAAAGTTGAAAGTCTTTTTCAAATTAATGCTGGTGTTGCTGCTAGTTTAATTGTGGCAGTTGTGGCATTCAACAGCATTTATAATAATATTGGTCAACATCATCGTGCTCTTGTTGTTGCACAATTTGTCAATATTATAGTCATAACCTTTACTACGAATATTTCTGTTGTATCTCTTCAAAACAATGAGGGACTTCCGTTATACACTCAGGTTCTTGGTTGGGTTATATTCATTCTTTCATTAGTGGTTGTTCCTGTTGCATATGCTAAGGACCCTTCTCCGGATATCAAGTTAAGATTATTGATGATCTATCTTGCATTTATTCCTACGTTTATTGTGCTTACCATTTCATTTGAATTGCTTTTTTATGTTGGATACAATTTGATTCTTCTTCAATGGTTAGAGATTGAGAGAGTAGCTAAGAATAGTAAGAGGAAATGGGTCCAAGTGATGAGAACTGCCATTGTTGGGTTTTTCTTCCTTCAATTTGCATTCTTTGGAACAGGAAACGTTGCTCTGATTTCGTCATTTTCTCTTGATGCTGTGTACCGCTTGATTCCGATCTTTGACCCCTTTGCAATGGGTGCATTATTGATGCTCAAGCTCATGGTTCCATATGTGCTTTTGTCCGCAGCTTTAGGTATTATGAACCATAACCTTGATATCGATACTTTCACAGTGTCTACCCTTATCATCTCTACATGTGATGTCTTAACTGTGAACTTCTTCTTCCTTGTAAGAACGGAAGGGCTGTGGCTTGATATTGGTATTAGTATTTCGAATTACTGTCTTGCCATGCTTCTGTCTTTGTTCATGCTTGTCTTGGAACTTGTTAGTTCCGTTGTTCTCCATGGAGTCAGTTTGGACAACAATAAAACAGAGGATGCAAAGCAGACCACTACCAAAGATCAACAAGGAGAAGAACACTCGGTAATTTCAGCAAAAAAAGGGTCTACTGCCAAATTACGTCGGAGAACCTCTAAAGACAATTAATTTGGTGAAAAATAAATATCCAGAGAAAAAAAATAAGAAAAAAGAGGACTTGCCAAAAGGAATTCATTACGAAGAACAGAAAACTACTATAGTATTTTATTATAAAAGAACGACACTAGAGGTTATTACACTAGACATTTTACCCAATACATCAAAGGAGAATACGACGTGCACAAACCAATAATAGTGACTCACGCACACCAATATGCAAAATGAAAAATTAACAATTATCAAGCCCAAAATCGTTGAATGCTGCTGTCTTACCACCAAGGAAACTAACCACACCAAAAGATGACTGAGACCAAAAGACACGTGTTGATGATCGACAACTACGACTCGTTTACGTGGAATTTGTACCAGTATTTGAGTCAATCTGACAAGTGTGGGAAGGTGGATGTTGTGCGAAATGATGAAATTTCCATTAGTGGTATTGAAGCTATGAACCCTGATATTATATTCATATCTCCAGGTCCTGGACACCCCAGTACAGATGCTGGGATATGTAAGGATGCCATTAGACACTTTGCTGGGATCAAGCCTGTTTTTGGGGTTTGCATGGGCCAACAATGTATGTATGAAGTGTTTGGCGGTGATGTTGGATATGCTGGAGAAATCATGCATGGGAAAACTACTACTATTAAACATGATGGTATTGGGATGTTTGAAAATGTTCCACAATCCATTGCTGTTACTCGGTATCACTCATTGGCTGGACACGTTCAAACTTTACCTGATGAATTAGAAATTACTGCTACTACAGAAACAGAAGTGCCCATTATTATGGGTGTTAGACATCGGAAATACACTGTTGAAGGAGTTCAGTTTCATCCCGAGTCAATCTTGACCCAATCAGGTCAATTGATGATAGACAACATTTTGTCTATTCATGGAGGTACTTGGGAAGAGAATGCCAAATATCACGCCACATATACTCCTACTACTAAAGAAAAGAAGAATATCTTACAAAGAATCTATGATCAAAGAAAGCTTGATTACGAAAAGATTGAGTCACTTCCTGGGAAATCATTTGGTGATTTAGAAACCACTTTACAAATGGGAATTGCACCACCCGTGATCAACTTTTATGAACGTTTGACCAAAGATAACAAAGGTTTGACTCCAATTTTGGCTGAATTCAAAAGAGCTTCACCTTCTAAGGGTGATATAAACATCACTGCCCATCCTGCCAAACAAGGATTGTCGTATGCCAGTAATGGATGTGCCACTATTTCTGTTTTAACTGAACCCAATTGGTTTAAAGGGTCCTTGGAAGACTTGGAACTCATCCGTCGTGTTGTGGATAGCCAAAAGAACAGACCAGCTATATTACGTAAGGAGTTTATCTTTTCCAAATATCAAATAGCTGAAGCAAGATTAGCAGGAGCTGACACTGTGCTTTTAATAGTCAAGATGTTGGAACCCGATTTATTGGCACAATTGTATGACTATTCACTTTCATTGAACATGGTGCCCTTAGTTGAAGTTAATGACGAGAAGGAGTTGACCATAGCTATGCAATTGGGTCACGTGAACGTTGATCCATTGGTGATTGGAGTGAACAACCGGAACTTGACTACCTTTGATGTTGATTTGAATACTACGTCCTCATTGGTCAAACATGCCAAAACTAGATCCAATGTATTGGTATTGGCATTATCTGGTATCACCAGTGTTGAAGATGTTAAAAAGTATAAATATGAAGATGGTGTTGATGGGTTTCTTATTGGAGAGAGCTTGATGAGAGCAGAGGAGAAGGGAATACTTGGAGAATATTTGCATGAGTTGACTCACTGTTAATAGAATTAAATACAGTACAATACTATACACATTAGTACAGTTTACACCTGTTTCTTAAAAAGGAATACCGAGGGTAGAACCGAGGGCGAGAACGCGTCTCGAATACTCATAGTCAAGTACATGCAGCCACCACAGATCAGTACCACTGCCAACTGTTAACACTAACTGATACCACTAATATACACATCATGAACGCTATGAGCATAAGGGTGGATGCCACCAGATTACAGCAATTCCAAGGCAAAGTGGTTCGGGTGATGGGACGATGTGAATTGTTCAACACCAACGACATGAGAGGCAAGCTTGAAAGTAACGGGCCAATCCCCATCAAGTCGCCATCACAAATATTGGAAGCCGGTAAGAACTATGAGATCATTGGAAGAATTGGGTCTGGAGATGATTTGACGGTTCAGGTTTATACCATGACAGAATTGAGTGATGATTTTAATTTGGAGGTGGCTAAGAAGTTGGTTGATTTTGTTCATAAAGTCCCAGAGTTATTCTACACCACATAGTATATAATAGTACACGTATAATATTACACGTATAATAGTACACAGTATAATAGTACACAGTATAATAGTACACCTACACCTATAATCGTATAAGTACAACATAGAGTTCAATTTGGACACTTCTTAGTATAGAGCACGTTACAGTTGGCTGTCTTGTGCAGCGTACGGTGTGGCGTACAGTGCACAGTGTAGAGTACAGTTTATAGAGAGGGCTGTACCATAGCATGCACTCACTATAGCAATGTATAACAGTAACTATTCAGTTCAGTATAGAGTACAGTACAGACGTAGTGGGTAGTAGTATAATAGTGTGGTTCTGTAGCGTAACAGTGTAATACTGCAGTATAACAGTGTAGTATATATACCATGGTCGATACACGTATACAGTGTACACTTCTATCTCTTTATTAATTGCATCATATCCTTTGCAACAACCACAAACCTGTGTTCCTTATAAGTATCACCAATAAAGATCAACCATGGAGGTCCAACGGTCATAGCAGTGCCTTGGACAAGAACGTTCCCTAATGCAACAGTCAATCTATACGCAGCTTCACTATTGGAACGAGCAATCTCATCACCATATAGGTTCATGATATCTACCAATGGTTGACTTGAACTGGGAGCATTCTTCGATGTGTATTGGAACACCGAGACATTGTACAAGAACGAGGCCACGTTGGTCATAAGTGCATTGTAATGTTTGTGGGTTTTGGACTTGTTCCCATTGATCATCAAACCCCCAATGGTGTTTGCAAGGGTGTTGGCATAGCCATTTTCATCAACAAATATCTGAACAAATAAAATTAAATTACCCACTATGTTACTCAACACTTTGGTGATCATCATAAGCACAGAAACATTGGTTGTTTCCCTAGTAACAACAGAATATATAAACTCTCCTGCAGTGGCAGAATTAAGTATATCCCCCATGCTAACTCGGGGAATACATATTCTCAAGATATCATACAACACAAGTTGAGCTTCTTCAGTCCACGTCTTGAAGAGTGGAGGTAACCGATGATCAATCAAGTCTATGGCTGCTTTGGAGCTTAAATCTCCTCCGAGTAACCCACAGATCTCCTCCAATTGAATATCGTCGAGTTGGTGCTCTGTATCTTGTTGGGAGTTGAACTTTCGCATGCCCTTGATGATCTGGTCTCCATTGTAGTCTTTGAAGAAGATGTAGTCTTTCACAGGAATAACAGATAGGGACCGTTCAGAAACAGAGTTAGGAACACTTTCAGCTACACAATTATTCTGCTCACCTTCTTTATCATTGTCATCCAATGCTCTATCTGTTCCGATGGTAACACCTTCTGTGTTCTTCATAATGAATCTCACCACCTCTTCAGTATAAGAACTGGGCAACTCATTATCAGCCAAAAACTTGGTGGCAACAGTATAAACATTATCAGTAGTATTGAAAGGTAACTTCAATGGTGGAGCTCCATCTTCAATATCAACGTCAAATACATAATCATACAATTGACCATTGAGTTCCTTCTTGTTACCCTCACTATTACCAGCTGCTCCCACTACATCACCAATCTTCATCCAACTACCACTAGACCATTGATGGGACTCAATTGTACCGGTTGCTGGTATCTTAACCAAGATGATTTGACCCTCTTGTTTACCTGGTTTCTCCAAAACTTCAGGTCCTGGTAAATCAGTATGCTTCAAATCATCAAGACCTTGTTCGGAGATGGCCGAACTCTTAACAGACTCCAAAAATGTTTCCAAAGCGTCTTTAGAAGCAACCCGTTGAGAGTCTAAGGTAAATACTCTAATAGTATTATCTGAGCCTCCTACGGCTATATCACCATTGGATAATACTATAACACACCAAACGGAAACACAGGGTAATCGTATAGCTTGAATACACACCCCATCTCTCCAAACTCTAATACTTCTATCTTCACCAGTTGAGATGATATCACCAGTAGGGGCCAAAGCAATATCATATACAAATGATTCATGACCGGATAGTGTTTGGATACAATTTGCTGAATCAATATCCCAAACCTTGATGGTTCCATCGTTGGAACAAGAAGCAAAACGACTAGGATCATCAGGATATAATAGAATCTTTCTAACCACATCATTATGACCAATGAATTGACGTACTTCAGTTTGATTCTGCCATAATCTAATGGTTCTATCAGCAGAAGCAGTTATAAATGTGTCTTCATCGATGATTTTGGCATCCCAGACTGAAGATTTGTGGCCCTTGAGCGTATATATAGTTGTAAATGATTCCAAGTCCCAGACTCTGGCTGTTGAGTCCCAGGAACCGGAAATTAATCTCCGAAGATCAGACAGGAATGCTAACGAACACACATTGGATGAATGGCCAGGTAATTCGAATCCTTCAGTCTTAGTATCACCATCTCCACTGCCATGTGTCTCGGATAAATATATGATGCAATCTTTGCCACCAAAGGCCGTCCAAAGGTCATTGGCACTCACAGCATTGACAAACGATGATGTCGGAGATTGGAACACTACAGTGGAACTCCAATCGCTGCAGTCACTGGCTCGTGTCCATTTCCGACCAGTCGAGTCTCTTGAAGCCGAAATAATCACATCATCAACAGCAGAAAGGGATCTAACATCCAGTGAGTGGCCCAAAAGGGTAGAGCTTAACGAGAACGAATCACTCATGTTACTCATTCAATTCAATTCAATTGTATGCAGCTCAATCCACGCACAAATAGCATAAGTACAATAGATGAATATGTACCTCTTAAATACAACGTATACACACTATGATGTATATGTCAATGTCTATAGTAGCTCGGTATATGCTCCTTAACCTTGACCTTTACGGTACGCTTGTGTTTAATTCTTATATTCTTCCACGGTCCAAAGTGCGAACGGTAAGTACACTACTTCCATTTATGGTAAGAGAAAAACTAACACTGAGTCAACCTTTCATTTTATAAACTATACCTTTTCCTTAGTTATCTTTATTAGTTGTTATAAAGTGAGTCTGGCTGTTTGACCGTCTGAACGAGTGTCTGGCTGTCTGTGTATGATTCTGTGGCTATATTTGTCAGGTTTCAACGTGTATTAAGAGCAGACTTAAATCATGACTTTACTGCACGCTGTGGCACCTGATGGGTGCTCTGTTCTTCGTGACTCTGTGTCAAACAGATACTTGGTGATAACCGAATCCGGTTCTTCAATCTCCGATATAATGCCAGCTCAATATGAATACTCCAAGTTAGTGTTCTCTCCCATCTCGGCATTTATTGGAACCATAAAGATGAAATTGAATAAATATATGGTGGTTGCTACGTCTCATGAAGTCACAGGTTCTATTTTGGGTCGAGAAATCGCCAAAGTAACCAATTTTTCAATTTTACTTGTTGGTGTTGATCATAGTGTAGCAGCTCGTTCACTGGAGGAGTCTCAATATGTCAGTTTACTAACTCAACATTTGAATAATGCCACACTTTTCTTTTCCATTGGGAACAAGTACGATTTGACAAATTCTTTACAAAGACAATTGACATCCTCATCATTTTCTGTTGATTCTAGGTTTTGGTGGAATTCTTTTTTATCAGAAGAAGTTAATGCTGTTGCAGGTTCTGAGCCATTCATTTCTCATATGATTTATGGATATTTCAAGTCACATTCTGCCATTTTTGACGGGATTTCTCAGCCAATTGAATTTGCCTTGCTCACTCGTAGATCAATCTACAGAGCAGGTACCAGATACTTTAGAAGAGGAGTTGATGATAATGGGAATGTGGCCAATTTTAATGAAACAGAACAATTCTTTACTACTCCCAATGGTAAAGAGATCTTCTCCTTTTTACAAACTAGAGGCTCAGTACCTGTTTTCTGGTCTGAAATCAACAATTTGAAATATAAACCTAATTTGGTGATTTCTTCTAAATCTGCTTTAGATGCAACTCAAAAGCATTTTGATGAACAAGTTCAACTTTATGGTGATAATTATTGTGTTAACTTGGTTAATCAAAGTGGTTATGAAAAACCGGTTAAAGATTCTTATGAAGCTGCAGTGGAAAACTTACCACCACATTTGAAAGCTCATGTTAAATATATTTATTTTGATTTCCATCACGAATGTCGTAAGATGCGTTGGGATAGAGTTAAGCTTTTATTTGGCCATTTGAATCAATTGGGTTACCATCGTAATAACTATTTTCATTATGATGTGGCTAACAAAAAAACTATCCTGACCCAAAGTCGTGTTGTACGGACCAATTGTATGGATTGTTTGGATAGAACCAATGTTGTACAATCAACTTTGGGTCGTTGGGTATTACAAGGTCATTTTGAAGATTGTGGTTATATAAATGGCAACCAACCATGGGAAACCATTGACCCTCAATTCAATTTGTTCTTTCAATCCTTTTGGGCAGATAATGCTGATGCTGTATCTTGTGCTTATTCTGGTACTGGTGCACTTAAAACCGATTACACTAGAACTGGTAAACGTACTAAAGCTGGAGCTTTAAATGATCTTTCTAATTCCATTACCCGTTATTATAAGAACAATTATCGTGATGGGGCTCGTCAAGATTCTTATGATTTATTTTTAGGGAACTACAGACCTTATCGTGATTCCATTCATTCTCCATTCACAGATAGAAGAACAGCATATACTCAATTATTACCTTATTTCATTGGTACAAGTTTTATTGTTTTATTAGCAGTATTATTTTTTCCCAAGGGTTCGGTATTTGATTTTAGAAATCTCTTAATTGTTGGACTGTGTTGTGCCTATCTGTTGACACTGTTGCGGTTTGTTGTTTCCAATGGGTATCAATTTGTTAATTGGCCCAAGCTTAACAAGTTGGACTATTTGAAGTCTGTTGAGCTTGTGGATAAGGACGGACGGTTATTGGGTGTAAAATATGCTGAACTGGATCAATTTAGATCAAGATCCAAGAAGAGCAAATAATCACATTTTATAGAAGGCTGAATCCTCGATATATTTAATAAACTTTATATTAAATCCGTATACTTTACTTTTTTCCAATTTCCTATCACGTGGTTTACCCTCGGATATAGACTGAAGAAAGTATATGAAAAATTTGTTGGTCACCGAATCAATTACCTACAACACTCAAGCAACAACATATAAATACATAATGTCTGAACTTTTGGAGAAATCATTGGACGACATAATTGGTGAGCGTCCACCCCGTGAAAGACGACAACAGAATGTCGCTGGCAGAAACAGCCGCAGACGAGAACGTGGCGGTGGCAGACATGAAAGAGAGAGATATGAAAGAGACAGACGTGTTCCTCCTCACCACCGAGATACCTACAGACCACCTCACAGAGCTAGCCATAGAAGCAGCGGTAATAGCGGTATTCCTGAGGAGATTGCAGCCATGGCAGGCGACAGGCCATTGCTTCGAGTGAAGAACATTCATTCTGAATTGAATGGACGGGATCTTTCAGAGCTCTTTGGACTGATTTCCCCGGTTGAATTTGTCAAGTTTGATCCTCAGAGGGAAACTGTGGCTTATGTACTTTTTGAAGCCGACCAGAAGAAGAACAACAGTTTGGCCGTTGAGAAGTTTGATGGTCGTCAAGCCATGCGTAGGACGTTGATAGTTGAGAACACTACTCTGTTGGCTGACAGAATTGTTGCGCCGGAAAGAGACGTGAATACGATGCTGACAATAGACGCATCTACTCGTATTGGTACTAGGGAACGGAATAGGGGCCCCAGACGGAGAGAACGTCCTGTCAGGGCCAAGAAGCCAAATCCTAACCCCAAAGTAAGAAGCAAACCTCCTACAGTTGATGATTTGGACGAACAATTGAACGCGTATATGAACAGTAGAGAAGATTCTAGTGCTACTGCCAATGAAGGCCAGGAGAAAATGGCTGTTGATTAATGTCTATAGTATTATATGTATATACATATACGTCTAATGTGCATTTTGTTTTACATACCTTGGGTCAATTCTACCATTTCCAAGTACAACTTAGTTGACCATCTCCGCCAACTTTTACCCCAATAAAGTGTTGGAATGGCCAAGCAAATGGTACAAAAGTCAATCACTGCCAAAGCAATGTAAGTGTTCCTTGTACCCGAAGCATCCAACCATAAACTACAACAAAAGGTAAAGATGGCCCCAAGTGAATTGTTAATAATAGAAACTCCAACCATTCCTTGAATGATGATTTCCGGGTAACAGTCCATCAAATAAGACATGGAAATATCACCAACCGAACCCCATCCATAACCAATTAGTCCTAACCCTCCGTAAACTACCCAGCCCGGCCATTCTTGGGCCGCACCCACTCCAAACATAATTAATCCGACCGGAGAAACCACAGCCGTAATGAAAATTAAATAAAGACGATATTCCGGTTCGTAAATACCATTGTTCCGTTTGGCTATCCATAAAACATGTTTATCCGAAAGAATACCTGCTACAATGCATCCAATACATGCACCTACCAATGTAGCAACATTCATCACCGCAACACCGGTCTCAGATTTGTTCCAAGGTGCGTCATAGAAATAAGTATCTTGGGTAGTAAGAAAGAACGACATAAATGTATCTTGTAAACCCCATAAAAGCCCTGAAAGCCATACAGCAGGAAGTGTGAACACCTTAAAGTACACAAGGAACCGCTCAAGGTATTGTTTAAATCCCCAGCCAATAAGATATGGTGATGGAGTGATGATGGCTATTCTCTTCCAATATGAATTCAATGGTTCGTTTTGTGCAGCAGTAATTAATTCCTTCTCTCCCATTTGTGTTCGGGAGTTACTATTGTTGTCACCACCTTCTATTGAGCTTTCTTCATTTTCAGCAGCATACTTATTAATATTATTCTTTTCTTGTTCATCATTTACGTGCGATGGGGATTTGACCTTAACTCCTGAGGTCACTTGCGCGTATGAACCTCTATCGAAAACTGTTTCTTCACAAGTAAAAACAAAAACCGCTAAGCATCCACCAGTAATAATGGCCCCCCACCAGCCAACCCATCTGAAACCTTGGTTCATGGAAATTATGTGGGCAATTAATGGTCCTAAAAATGTTCCAATAGATGTGGCCATGATATACGCAGTTAAGACCGTACCAAACTGATGTTGGAAAAAGATATCTGATAAAGATTGTTGAACCTGAGATTCAGCTACAGATTCAGACATACCAACAAATGCCTGGGACCAAATAGTATCAGCAGTTCTGGTGGAAGATCCAAACCATACAGATCCTAAAGTACCAGCTAAAAGACAGATGAGATAAGAGATTCTTCTGCCATATAAAGATGAAGCAGGTGCAAAGAATATACAAGACCAGCCAATGAAAAGGAAAAGAACCCCGGCTCCTGTATTCATAGCATCATAAGAGATTCCATAGGCTTCGTTAAGAGATTCTTGAGAAGCAGATGCATCATTAGAAATGGCCGCTGTTAACGCAGTGAATGCAAGCATAAGAAGAAAATGATAATATTTACGAGACTGAGACCAGTTCAAAGGATCATTCGGAGAATCAGTTGGTTGTGGTAATAAAATAACCCCCTTGGAACTCCGTTTAAGACTATCGTTGGTGACCTCTCTGGTCCCATCGTTGTCTGTACGTCCTAACATATGATCATATTGGGTGAGGATGTTGGTTGTTCCTGGTACAAAGGTTGCATCTCCTTGCAAGTCAATGGCCCGTTTGGCTTGGGGTAATGGTGGCATGGAAAAGAAGTAAAAAATGAATAAATAGCCCTAATAAAAGAAGAAGGAGATGTTTTTGGCCTTAATCACGATCAACAATTGGCTGATAAGATCTGCTTCATCTCACAAATACGGCCATCTCAACTCAGTCCCCGTATACGCTAGTGGGTCCTGTATACACCGCTGCTTGTGCGCATGTTCGCCGTGCGTTCACAGGTTATTCACGTGACTTCTTTTTATTTCTTTTATTGGACGTTATATGTTGGAAAGTGCTTTTGTATTGAAGTAAAACTTAATATGGCCTGTATATACGTGTATTTACATAGCTTTGGCTGCCAATGTACATTAAAGCTCATTAAAGTATGTAAATAATTGCCTTCGCAGGTGTAATGAATTGCTGGAATAGTAATGAAATTTTGAATGTGACCCAGCTAGTGCTAGTTCTTGTAGTTATTACTTTTGATGTTGGGAATCTATCACTGTCACGAAATAAATGGACTGTTCACACTGTACCTAACTTTTTCAAAATATTATAAATCACAATAGAACAGCTGTTGCTTCATTTTTCTGTCTAACGAATATTGCTACAAAGTCATTGTCCATGTGTGGTTGTTGGGCGCGATGGATAACAACTTTATTGGTATGGGACAGGATCTGACTGTGTCTTGTATATACTTCCCTTTTAAGAAGTCTACGATTGACATAAAAATTTGTCATGCCGCGACTGTAAATGGACAAAAAGAGAGTTAACTCCACCTATTAAAACCCCCATCACCAAATTAAATTGAATCATTTAATTTCTTGAGTACCCAAACGTGCATGCATGAGTCGAAACGCAGATAACCTGTCACCGAATTGTACGCAAGCCGGAGACATCATCACATGGTGTGATGAGCTCAACCAACTCCGGGGCAATGTATCTCAACTTCAAGCCACATTGAATCAAATATTGAACAAGGCACCATCGATATCTGAATATCGAGAGGCGGTTCAAAAGTTTGATGAAGATGTGGCCAAGTTGGGGTTACCGTCTCCGGTATCATCTAGTAACAACAATAATAATCTCTCACAGTTTAAGACCTCCAGTAACTCTACTAGTCCTGCTACTAACCCTGCGGTGCTTGAGCGCACAAGGTCGATCTTGAATTCATCCCAATTGAAAATAGCTGTTAGATTGAAATACTTATATTCTCGTGGATATTTACCCTTGTTATTGGCGTTAGCTAATATCAATTTTCGAAGTTTGAAACAAGATCGATTTGTGGGTTACTTTTTAAATTATATACCGCCTCGTGTGGTTAAGAGAGATATACCTGATGCACTAAGGAAAGTCATCATATCTGAAAATAAACTTGGTCAGAATGATGGGGGTATTTCTCTGTCACCAGAAGATGAAAACTACCCTCCTTTAATCCCATTGATTTCTGATAAGACAATCTTAGATAGAGTATTGATTGATAAATCTTATGTGGAACCACAAGCGTATCTTGAGCTGATATTAAGTCAGTTGCAATCAGGAACGGCTGCAAATGGTCCTGAATGGTCTCGCCCAACAAATAATCTGAAATTGGCACTTTTGGGTCAACTGATCTTGGAAACTTGCTTGTACGAAATTATAGACCATCAATACCCTTCATATGATGAAACAGATGTTGAAAATTTAGTACGTTATCATCTAACCAGTCCTCTTATGGTTCTGAAGTTTGTTATAGGGTATAATCTCGCTAGTCATCTTAATTATCTGATGTCACGTCTGGATACTGTTGATGATAAGCTTCGAGTGTTTCATAGATTATTCTGTGCCTATATTGGAGGTCTTAGGAAAGATGGTTACACTTATAAGGATCTTTTAGTTTGGTTACGAAGGCTCTATTTACCCTTGGTAGCTTCTACTGGCTACTCCCCCATGAACCATGCAAAGGCTGATTTGGAGTTTCTATTCAAGCAAGCAAATAACATATATGCCGGGCCCATCGGTGGAGTGGTCAGCATAACCTATGATATAGAAGAAAGGGGTGAGCTTGGGGTTCTCGAGGCCACAGTTAAAGTTGATGGGGAAAGCATAGGTGTGGGTACACACTCAAGTGATCCTGAACAAGCAAAGGAAAGAGCTGCTGCATATGCATTGGGAGAGAACAGAGATTTGGTGATTCTGAAGGTTGCTCTCATGTTGCAAAGAGGAGCCCAATTACAGAAGGATCAAAGCAACGACCAAAATGCTATTACCACTACTAATGACACTACTACTGCTGCTGCTACTGCCACTGCTACTATAGAATCAGAGCAATTACAATCGGAAATTAATAGCGTTGAATCTAATGATGAAGATGAAGACTATTCACCAATAATGAGTCCTAATGGAAGCATGACTTCATTGAAAGGTGACGATAATGTTGAGATCAATGGTGAAGAGGAAGACGATGACTATGATCCAGAAGCAGGATTAACTGAGCCTAGTTCATTGAATAACGAACAGGATGATAGTACAAAAGAGGAGCCAAGACCAACTCAACCCCAAACTGAAGCAAGAGACTCAGGGATAAGCCCTCTTCCATATGGAATGGTCACGGGATTTGGTGCTCCTCAAAGTGAAGGTTCAAATGGAATTTCACCGCTTCAAAACACTTTCGAGTCGTTATTAGCATCTCATCAACTTCAGCCTCGTTATGTGACTAACCAACTGAAGAAAGGACACAGAGCCTCTGTATTTGTTGGAGACGTTGAAATGGGCCAAGGTCGAGGGAAGAGTAAAGAGGAAGCAATTGATATGGCCTTGAGTAATTCCTTAAGAAATGGAACTGCCTGGCGTCACCTAGGCTTTTAATGGACACACACAGCTTAAACATACCAATAATAATAATAATAATAATAATAATCCTTCCTCATACTACTTCTTTACCATTTAGAGTCGCAGATGTAAATATTAATTGTACACTTTATATAAGAACGCTTTGGAAAGGCTGGGAAGAAGCCCCACAGAAATAACGGTTTCTATGTTTAACTCCGAAACTTAATATGGACTTTAGAAAACTGGCTTTATACCCGGGTGTTCGGGTGTATTGCCGCTTTTGTGTTACGCGACCCGGACCGCCCATGTGCTGCTGCCTTGATTAGCAAAATTATTAATAGAATCAATCTGAAGGTGTTCCGTGATATTGGAGTTTCAGTTTTTGCGTACTAGTGGTAGTGCAATTGAAATCACATTGGAATCATTGCGGGACATCCAAAACCCTCCATGATGCCAGTAGTTAACCATGAACGTAAAACACCAATAAAGACGTATTATATGCAGTATGTTATCGTCTACACCGCGGTAATCCCAACTAGGCAATATGGTTAAGGACCACAATAAGCAGCATAATCATCTCCATAGATTAAACTTGACAGAATTTAAACATATCAAATATTGATGTACAGTAAACCATTTTAGATGTAATGCAGTTAAAGGAAAAAGAAGAAAATACCATGAGCATATTAAAAGTCAAATTCAGCTTAGCTTTCTGATTTGTAGACTGCTATTATCAATTTAGTTGATTGCTTTTTATTCCGAAGACCTATAGTTCTCCGGTAGAACATAGTAACAGTACTTCTCTCCGAAATCGCCCGAACACGACCGGCTTTTCTGTCCGCAGGTCGTGTCTATTACCCAATGTGCACCTTTGAAAATTTTGTATAAATACAATAGGATTTCACCCTCAACTAGACCGCTGATTGGACTTCTTTCTTTTTCATCCTGTGATCCCTCAACTATTCCTCCTGTAATATAGATCAAGATGTCCCAACAAATTCCTCAATTCACTCTTAAAGATTACGGTGCTTTTGCCCTTGCTGGTGCTGCTGGGTGTGGTGTCACTCACGGTGCTATGACTCCTATTGATGTCATTAAGACCAGAATTCAATTGGAACCTACTGTTTACAACAAGGGTATGGTTGGATCTTTCAAGCAAATCGTCTCCACCGAAGGTGCTGGCGCCTTGTTGACTGGGTTGGGTCCAACTGTCCTTGGTTACTCTATGCAAGGTGCTTTCAAATTTGGTGGTTACGAATTATTCAAGACCATCTTTGTTACAAACTTGGGTTTGGACACCGCTAAGCAATACAAGAACTCTGTTTACATTGGTTCTGCTGCTCTTGCTGAATTCTTTGCCGATATTGCCTTGTGTCCTTTAGAAGCTACCAGAATTAGATTGGTTTCTCAACCTACTTTCGCTAACGGTTTGATTGGTGGTTTCGCTAGAATCTTGAAGGAAGAAGGTGTCGGTTCTTTCTACAATGGTTTCACTCCTATCTTGTTTAAGCAAATTCCTTACAACATTGCCAAGTTCTTGGTTTTTGAAAGAGCTGCTGAAGCTATCTACAAGGCTATCCCAACACCAAAGAATGAATTGAGCTCCGGTGCTAACACTGCTGTTCTTTTGGGTTCCGGTGTTATTGCTGGATGTGCTGCTGCTATTGTTTCTCAACCTGCTGACACTTTGTTGTCTAAGGTTAACAAGACTAAGAAGGCTCCAGGTCAATCCACTCTTGGTTTGTTGGCTCAATTAGCCAAGCAATTGGGTATCAAGGGTTCTTTCACCGGTTTGCCAACCAGATTGGTTATGGTTGGTACCTTGACCTCCTTGCAATTCACCATCTACGGTACCTTGAAGCAATTCTTTGGTTGTCCAAAGGCCGTTGAATTGTAAGCTAAATCTACTTAGATTACAGTTGCCACTTTCTCGTGTTTTATAGATAGATTTTTTATTTTTTTCATTTGTACATACGTGTGTCTTGAAATCAAATGATTGTAATATTAATACTCTAAGAGCTTATCGCATATCATTCCGAATCGGTCGGCGAAATTATCTTCCACGCTCCGGCCAATCAGAGCGCAAGGAATCACAAAAAGGTTTTCGCAACCATAAACGGAAGGATCATTCAAATCCGGGTAACCCCAAGAAAAGAAGTATAGAGAAGTAAAGTGAATAATGCTATGACTAAATCATTTGGTTTCTTTTTATTAATAAGTTAGGTCTTTGTAATATATCACGTTTATTAGGCATTAATAATCTAGTTAAACAAAATACAAATAGTGCAATGGGGTTATTATTGTATTGTATATAGCGATACTTCAGACCATTAATCTTCTGTCTGTTAATAAAAGAAATACGTAAACTGTTGGCATGGCAATGGGAAGGAACATTGGAAATACCGGTAGTAATAGTGGTGATGGTGGTGTTGGGGTTAGCTGTAATGCTTATGGTATTTGGCTTCTGTAAAAGTAGTAACTATTGAATAAGAGCACCACGTTCGTCACCAAAGTCCTAGTAAAAAAAATACGTTGGTGGCAATTTCCCAATTGAAGGGCGCTATATCATAAGTTAACTATAAACGAATCTACAGTATACTAGGTCCATATGCTCAATTAAGTTCAATACAACTTGGGTAGTCAATACTTCTGTATAAGATTGATTGTATGCGCTACCAAACCTTGTGTTAGGTATGGAAATTTTCAGAGATTTAGTAAGTGATGAGATGAGCCCAATAGAAACCAAGAGCATACCATCTACAAGCCATGCCATCATACAAGTCGAATGAGTATGTGTCTGACTCTGAAGGGTCAGAATATGAATATGAAGCTCCTAAGGGGTTTGTTAATGTGATACAGAAAACGAAAAAGCAAGCATTCAAGATACCATCGGAAAAGGAAGTATGGATCATCAAAACACCTAAAGGATTCCCTGTTAGCAAGCTCAAGACGTTACCTATTTCGTTTACATCCACCAGCATAAGCAATGGTCCTGAGCCATTTGCATTAGAAGGGTCTCAATTCCAGATCAATGAAGAGAACTTTAGCGAGAGTAACAAGATGGCTATTCTTGGGATGAATAAAGATGGCCATTATCATAGCTCACAGGTACCAGTGACGCGGTTTTACAATGTTCGTGAGACTGTGGCTATCAATGAGATTGCATGGGATTCTGTTAAGACTCCTAGAGAAGATGTAGAGAAGTTCGCTGGGTTGAGAATGAGACATTTCCCCAGTGGTTATGGAGCTGGAGACTATGACGAAGCAAAGCCTGAAAGACCTTTAAAAAAGGCAAAAATAGACAAGGAAGACGCTTCTAAGAAGAGTAAGAAGGAAAAAAAGGAGAAGAAGGAAAAGAAGGAAAAGAAGGAAAAGAAGAAGAAAGTTTAGATGTTTTTATAGTAATAGAAAAGTCATAGGAACTTTATCGATGGACCTTACTATTAGGTGTAGTGTTGTACCTTACTCTTCCCTTTATGTGCGAGTAAATTTGTAGCGAAAAAATAACTGAGTCTTATAACTTCTTCTTGTTTGCGTCAGCAGAAGTTATGGGGAACTCGGCATCTAAAAGCCGTCGGTTGGTATCGGAGGTATCCAAGACTGCCGCCCGCAAGGGGCCTATGGTTCGTTCCAATGTGAACCAGTTGCCTAATGAGGCGCTTAAGGCTCTGTATTTGAAACACAGCACTGAATCAAAGGACGACGCGGACAACATCAACAACTCCACAACCGAACAAAGCAAACAACAGCCTATTTCTAAAGATTCGCCTTCTTCTATTGATGATCTGCCTAGCATTATACACCCTCCTGGCAAAGATGGGTATGACCCCCAAGAACTCCATAAAGACTTTATCCAATCAGTCGTTGATCTCGGTAGGCAAATCCACTCTACAAACGTTAACGGCAACGGAACCAATGCACTTCCCTTAAGACAGCTTAGGAACAGAAAGAACCTTTTCAAACTTGGCCAGCAGCAATTAGAACTACAAAAGCAAGGTAAAGCTGTTGACTCCACAATGGTAAACCCCCATACATTGAGTGCTATACTTGAAGCGATCAAAGAACCCGACTCTAATAAAGAATCCATAGCTGCGGACTATAACGTAAACATTAAGTTTCTTGAACTGCTAGGAACTCGTTTCTCTGTTCCTAAAACGTATGTTCCGCTTCAAGAGGCCACTAAAGAAGGTGAGATCAGTTCTCAGAATGCAGAAGCTAAATCTGTCCTTTCTGCTACCCAAAGATCTGAACAGCATCTGATGATGAACCCTAACGATGAATTAGCAGAGAATATTTCTTCCAAACGATTGAATCAGCTTAGAAGCAGGTTGAATTAAACGGGGATTGCTTTGTAAATAGGAAGAGTATATGATATTTATGATATTTATGATAAACTGGCGTAATCGCTCCACAGCATATATTAGGGACCGCTTTTAAGTCAAATCTTAACCAGCCCATTGATGTCGTGATAGCCTTCAATTATAAGAACTTTCGTTTATATTTACCGATATCGGCGCGGGTACCGGCGACGATTATCAAATACGAGGTGCGAATAATCTGGGGAAGGGGAGCCAAATATTTACACCCTTTTCATGGTTGTCTTAACTAGTCCCATTATCATACCCCATACTATGCTGGTAGTTAAGAAGTTATTACAGTACACTCCTTGTGATGTTTCCGATGCCCTTGTGAAATACGGGGTTAGCAATGGAGGCTATATCCCCAATTTGGTCAAACAATCAGGTCCAGATTCAACTGTTGTAGGTCAAGCATATACAGTGCTTTATGCAGCTAAAAGTGATCCCAGACCCGCTATCAAGGAGTCTTATATTGATATTATTCCCCAGGGAGCCGTTCTAGTGATGGCATTAGCGCCCGAGCTACAATTGCCCCATGCTCCTTATGTTCGAGTGAATAATGCTCTTTATGGAGGTCTCATGTCGACTAGAGCGTCCTACCGGGGAGCAGCTGGCTCGGTAATCCTTGGGAGGATTAGAGACCTTGATGAGCATAGAGAATTGAAGTATCCTGTGTGGTCTTATGGTGTTGGGTCTACAGCTCCGGGTCCAGTTGTTAAAGTAGTGGGGATCAATGTGCCAGTGGAAATAAGAGTTCAACTGATGGAGATAGATAAAGACTTTGAAACTATCAAGGTGAATGCCGGGGATTACATTGTAGCCGATAAGAATGGTGCTGTAGTGTTAAATCAGGGGCATCCCAAATTTCATGACATATTGGAGTACATTCCTAAGAGAGTTGCAGCTGATACGCTTGTTAGTGAAGATATCAAGAAAGGGAAACCTGCTGCTGAGTCCCAAAAACAAAGAAGAGCAAACTTGTGATAGTAATGTTGTCGTCTACATATTACACATGTGGCTTATTACCTATGCTCATTTATCTATTCTCAATAACTAATAGTATAAAATATTCAGTATACCTTTGGAAATGCACTACTTGGCATACACTTTTTATTACCCCATAGTGTCACGTGATCTACGGTTTTGGTACGATAAATACAACCCATACCAAATATGTTGTACACCCATAGATTGTATATCATCTTTTACTACAGGTTGAACATGTCGCAGGAGAAGATCAGCATGCTAGGCGACGCACAGTTGCGGTATGTCTTGATTGGGAACAATGACATGAAGTATACGCTTCTTTCGGACCGGGAGTTCATGGAAGCCTTTGGCCGTCGGTTTGCCGCAAACTGTGCCCATCAAGATTGGGCTGCTTTGCATGACCAAGCCATAGTTCTCCGACTCTTATCGACGTTCCATGACATGAATGAGGAGGCATTGGACGTTTTCGAAGGCATAGTGCAGCTCATAGTTGTACAGCTTGATATGAGCATCAATGGGGAGGACAACTCAGCTAAAACCACCACCACCCCTTTAGTGGAAGAGACAATTCAATACTTTCTTGAATCCTTGATCCATTTATCCAATCGAAGGTTCTTCAAATACGACGGCGAGAAGTTGTGGATGTTTGTTATTCAAATGTTATATCAGAGACGGTCATTGACTCTCCTTAATTTGCTGATTAGAATCACTCCTATCCTCCTTAAATGTTTTAAATTGGCTCACCACAAAAGACTTCTCTTCATTTTATTTGCGTTGTTGCATAGTGGGTGCTCGGAAATAGTTGATCTGGTGCTATCACATTATGGTGTAAGTCACTTTGATGAAACCGAGGTCTTGGAAGACCTGAGATTACCTAACTTTGATATTCCCCCACATTTCTTCAAAGAGAACACTGGATTTTCTCTGCTTATCCCTTTGCTTACAAGCTTCCTTCAAATATACAACTACATGGCCGATAACAACTTGGAATTTGTTCCTGATGATGATTTTGAGTCTGGGTTCGGTACGGTTTATATAACTTGTTTGTTATTCTTAAAATCAAGCTCTACTTCATCGTCATTTGCTCCGTCAGACTCAAAATTGGTGGCTGTCTTGTCGTTGAACTTCATCTGCATGTACATTGAACAAGTGTACAAACTCAGATCATCAAGCATTGCAGCAGCGGTAGTGGAAGGTCCTGCTGTTGATGAAGAAGCACTTCATTCAATGGTATCAAGAAACTTTCTTAAAATCTTGTATAAGATTGATGAATGCTTTGATTATAACCCAGATATATTGTATATCCATTCCCCAGTCAAACTATTAGCCCATGTTTGTGACTTGTTCCCCTCGGTGGGCAATAACTATATTCGAAATACAACTTTAGATTCTAAAGTTAGGCTTACTATGAAAGACCAATTGTTGAAGAATGGCTGGCTCTTTGAGTTCTGGCATAACTCTAAGGATTTTACTAGCGTGTTAGACTTTGCTGCTCTTGATTTAATGGGCTCTCCTAATAGGAATAGCATTTCGAATTCAGCTGCGGCACTTGGTTCTGTCAGCTGCTCTTCAGTGGCTTCCTCTACCAGTTTGATCTCAGATCTTTTCCATCTACTAAGCATATACACCAGCTCAGAAGAGGATCACAGACAGCGAATTATCAAAGATGTCTCGGAGCTACCACTCATTCTTTTCCAAGTTATGGAGACTTATAGATACTTATTGCTCCAGCTTCAAGTTAATTTCCGAGAGTTGAAGCTGAATTGTTTGACATCAGAGCAAAGGATCTGGCTAAGCAAAAACGTTGGCATAGTGATGTACTTGTTGGACTTGCCGGTATTCACCAATTGTCTTTATTTTATGAGATCTTTATCTCGATCTGTAACTGCTTTAAGAACACTCTTTGTTGAATGCAACGGATATGCAAGTGTTTTATGTGGTGACAGACTGCCAAAAGATGATATTACTTCCTCTAAGGATCTCAAGAAGCTTACAGCCAATAAAGGTCGCCTCATTTACAACATATTGCAAATTGTTAATGGAATAGAATGCGGAACTAAGTTTATACGAGGTCTCACGGGTCAAACATCACAAGTACAACTTACAAATAAACTGGTTTTGCTTGCATTGATATCTAATTTAATACTTGATTTCCTGTCTTTCAGATTGGAGATAGTAAACAACAGCAACTTTGTATTGAACTTGTTAAAGATCTATAAGAGTGCTGAAAGTGGGGCCTCCAACGAATTGGAAGTGGAAGCTGCTTTAGTCATTCAGTATCATGTTTCATGGGTGCTAAAGAACTTGTTGTATAATGAGAATAGTGAATCTAAAAGAAGGGTGGTACAAGTTTTCCCTCTTTTAGTTATCTTCAAGAATTGTGCATTCAATGATATCAATTCCAAGCATTTCGAGATTGAATTGAATAAGAAATTGGTATCCTTTGAGATCTTACAAAATTTGACCTCTGGTTCACCTGAATTTATAAGGGACATTACACTGAGTTTTGCTGAGTTTGCTACCACGGAAACTGTTCTCCGAGAAGATGGAAAGCCCATAAAGCTGTGGGATGAGTTTGTCATATGGAACATCTCAAACTACAAGCTTTTCACCAAGAGCAAATCAGATGATAGTAACAAGATGTTGCTTAAGATACTTGAGAATAATAAATACGCGGAGATGGTGTGTTCGATATTTTACATTGAAAACCATAAATATGTGGGTTTAAGACTGTCATCTTCTAAGGACGTTTCGAAATACGAATCCACTCTGCCTGGTGGTGATACATCCCAAATCAACAACAATGAAGATGATCCAATGGATGGATACGTGGAAAATATGTTCCCTCTGTTATCGTTCTTGAGCATTTGGTTGTTTTTCTTGCAGTTTGATATTCCGACTGATTATCCCCAATTCACCAAGGTTGTTAATAATCTTACAGACATTAATCTTGCAATCACATGGAACTTGGTGAATTTGACGAAGAAACCAAACGACAGCTTGGACCGTAGGCTTGGAGTTGGTGCGTTTAGAAATGTCAAGCCTGAACCGGAGGGAAATAGTCATAGTCTTGAAGAACTTGATAAAGACGAAGAGTTGGATGATGTTACAGATTATGATACCTACTTTGAGCTTTATGATACTGTTGATACGGGCAACTTGAATGGGTCTGGACCACATAATCTAATTGGAAGTGCATCGTTACCACTTGGAATGGATTCGTGGGTAAATGCAATCAGCATTGATCATACGGAAGACATAGATCTTCTGAAAGCCGAAGGAAGAGCAGCATACTTAAAGGGGGTTGGTTTCACCGCGGCTTTACAAGGAATTCTTCTGTCCAAGTCTGTTATCCAGCAAAGCCGGCAAGCCGCACCAAAGACACAAACTCATAAAGGCTTAGATGTATTTGCTGCTGCTGTTACTGCTGCTAGTGCTAGTCCTAGTGCTGGCACTGGTATTGGTATTGGTGGTGCCCGAGTGCGGACAAGTACTAATGGTGAGCTGAAGCCCCTAACACCACGGAGTGGGTTTAGACGATTTGAAGCTGTACATTCTGATGACTTGGTCGACAAGGTTCGACTTGCCAACCGGCAAATCTTTGAGCTCTTGATGAACAACAAGAGTGTCGGGAACAATGTACGACCTGAACAGAAACAAAGAGAGGACAATAACAATAATATTAATAATGACAATAGTAGGAATGCTGCTGACAGGCACAATGGACCAAGGGCTACTTTGATTCCTATTGCCGCAGTGTCGCCTTTACGGGACATCATGTACGGTATCCAGCGGGGTGGAGAAGGCTTTGGGTATGGACTGGACGAGGAGTACATGACCGACGAAGCGGTAGTGATGAGTGAAGATGAGCAGACACACGACGAGATGAGATGAGATGCCGATGCTGATGCCGATGGTAATCGCCTGAACGTATGTGTGCCTGTATATAGGTGCTTTTATTAGCCTTTATTTTTCTGACGTTTAAAGAAATCTCTTTGTTTAACCGTCAGAACTCTTTGTAGCCTCGTTATTGGCGTGCATAAGTGACAGAATAGTATAAAGCCTGCTTAGCCAGCCAACTGGCCAATGGGGGACGGCGCATGGATAAGAACCGGTGGTACTGATGAAACTGGTGGTATTTCTGTTATTACTGACATTGTTGCAGCTTATATACGTGCAAGATGTAATTAACGTGCAATGTTCTAAGACCTCATGCCGTAGAAGGTAACTGAGAGCGAATTGACGACTCTTAAGAGATCATTCTGGTCGTGTGTGAACCGGATAAATTGGAGAGTAGAAAAATTATCAACGGTTTAAGGGAAGGAAAGGGCTACAACCTTTTGAAGTCAGAGGGTCAAGCGGAAACATTTTGAGTTTCGGGTCAAAGGGAGTCAGTGAGCGAGTGAGCGAGTGTGAGAGACCGAAAGAAGAAAAATAACAGCAATAACAAAATTGTTTCCATTCATCCATTCGCTAAGGTCATGAGTAAAGATTACAGTGTCAAGTCATTAGAGGATGTTGATTTGGATGCGATGATCGAAAGACAACATCAACAACAAATTGTCGCGGACGAAGGAGAAACACAACCACAACAGCAGCCGAGCAACAGCTCTGATAAAAATGCACAGGGCGCTGCTGCTCGAGATACAACTACCAAAGGGAAGTACTCCCTTAACGACTTTCAGATCTTAAGAACGTTGGGCACAGGGTCGTTTGGAAGAGTGCATCTCGCCCGGTCAGTGCACAACGGAAGGTTCTACGCCATGAAGACGTTAAAGAAAGAACGAGTGGTCAACATGAAACAAGTTGAGCACACCAATGACGAACGTCGAATGCTCAAGTTGGCGCACCATCCGTTTATCATTAGGATGTGGGGGACGTTCCAAGACTGTCACAACTTGTTCATGATCATGGACTACATTGAAGGAGGAGAGTTGTTTAGTTTACTTCGGAAATCCCAAAGGTTCCCTACACCCGTAGTTAAATTCTATGCAGCAGAAGTGTTTCTAGCTATTGAATATCTTCATCAGTTGGATATCATTTATCGGGATTTAAAACCCGAAAATATCTTGTTGGATAAGAATGGACATATTAAATTGACAGATTTTGGCTTTGCTAAAGAAGTCACAGATGTCACCTATACATTATGTGGAACTCCAGATTATATAGCCCCAGAAGTGGTGGCTACTAAACCTTACAATAAATCTGTTGATTGGTGGTCCTTTGGAATATTGATCTTTGAAATGCTAACTGGATACACTCCATTCTATGACCCTACACCCATGAAAACTTATGAAAACATCTTAAATGGTACCATCACATATCCTGACTATTTACCTCCAGATATCTTGGACTTGCTCCAGAAATTAATAGTCAAAGACTTGACACAAAGATTAGGTAATCTTCAAGGTGGATCCAATGATGTGAAAAATCATCCGTGGTTTAAAGAAGTCATCTGGGAAAGATTACTTTCAAAAGATATCGAGACTCCTTATGAACCTCCTATAACCTCCGGGGTCGGGGACACCTCACAATTTGATCGATATCCAGAAGATAAAGACTTGGATTATGGTATTTCAGGTGTGCCGGATCCTTATGGCCAATTGTTTGGTGATTTCTAGTAATGAACTTTATTTTGGGGGGGCTTATTATAGGATTAGATTGTGTAATTAATATAGTACACTTTTTTCATACACAACATTCAACATCAACCATCCAATCAGTGTCTAATAATTCTGCCATAGTCATTCTTGTATCAGGATTTGGATCTAGTAATTTATAGATGATCCATTTGCGTAACAAACTGCTTTCGTCTGAGGAATCGCGCACGTGACTATTCTTGCGATTCGATTTTTTTATTTTGTCGGTACTGTTATCGTCCTCGTCTTCATCCTCTTCATCGCCTTCATCATTTAATAACGTAGTGGTATAATCAAATAGATTCTCTATTGGTTTGAATGTCCCTGGTCTTTGAATGAGCCACTCCTTGGTCTCATCGTCATAGTTGGCAATCTGTCTAGTCTCCATATATTTTTGGAAACGACGATCTCGATATTTATTGTTATCTTTATTCTTCCCCTTCCCGTCGACAGAAGACCACATATACGCCTCAACTCCAACACTGCCAGTCTTGAACTTCTTTAGTATACGGAAGAACAACGCTATAAGAATCCCCATGGCCCAACAATCCTTGCTTGTTAATGTGTAGGCTAATCCTGGTTTAAACTCCTCTGGAGCCATGAAATGTTCAGATCCTTGTGGAGGACCAGAGTATAATTGTTCATCACTGTCCATAAAAGTCCGTACCACGCTTGACTTGCCAAAATCAGACAATTTCAACATAATACTGCCTTGGTTATTCTTACTGCTACTATTACAGGGGTGGTTGCAGTCTTCATCACCTTGATCGGTGTTAACGTAATCAAGTAAGATGTTCTCCAATTTGATATCACAATGGGCTACTCCAAAATCATGCATGTACAGTAACCCTTTGGCGATTTGCTTGATGAAACAACATACTTGAGCCAAAGTAAGACAACTAGCGTTCGTCTGGACCACCGCCAGCATGGAGTTATCGCTGTCGTTTTGTTTGAATGATTTGATGTAGGAGAATAAATCACCACCTTTAGTACAATCCATAACCAGCATTATCTTGAAATTGTCAACACAGATCATCAAATCAACACATCTGTTCACATGCTTGTAGTTCATGCTTTTTCCAATGATAAACTCAGAGATGATCTTATCCACAAAGCTATCTATTGATATATCCTTTCGAGGAATGAACTCCTTGACCACATACAACTTACGACGACGTTTGGTATTAATTGTGGTAGAATTATTATTGTTACATGGGCGCACAAGTCGAATCAACCCATAAGATCCTTTCCCCAACTTCAGGTCAAACACTCCATATCTCAGATAAAGTGATCTTGTAGAGTCATTTAGAAGCAGCAGAGGAACCTTCTTCTTGTGCAATATGTTCTTCAATATAGGCAGAAGGTTTTTGATAAATTCAACCTGTGGCAAGTTGATTATCAGCAAGTTCTTCACTGATGTATCATGGTGGGTGTTAGGGCCCAACCGTGGGATGAGCTTTAGATTTGCAGGGGATATCACTGTCATAACTCGTTGCAGTTCTCTAACGTTATCCCATGAAGGATCTGATTGAGGCGTTACCACTGTCGTTGTAGTTGGATCAGTGGTAGAGTTGCCACCACCGGCTTCTAGTCCACAGTAGTACATTAGGGCAGTTAAATATCCCATAGACGTCCCATTACATTTGCTTGCTCTCACTGGATGAGTGTGGTAGTCTGAAGTATCCGTAGTGTACTCGCTGAAGTATGAAGTACGAGTGTATGTGGATGACATGTCATAATCGTCGTTGTCATCATCGTCATCGTCGTCGCTAGCAGACTCTTCTGATAGCTCATGTACAACAGTAGGAAGAGGTGCAGCAGCAAGGTTCACAGAAGGTATTTGGTTTTGATTCTGACCATGACTCTGACTTTGGCTTTGGCTTTGGCTCTGGTGCTGGCTCAAGTTCACATTCAGATTAGACTTGAAGAACGCCTTGAGGGAATTAGTCGAACTGTTCGAGTTTACTTGCCGTAGCGCCGTAGAGTTAGACGTTAGTGACAGCGTTGACCCATAGGATTTTGTCGGGAGTTGTTTCTTGTCTGATTTCTTTCTGAACAAGGGCATTTGGAGCACCGCTTAATATGTGATGATGATTCAATTATGCTTTGTGCACACACACACAACTCAATGAATGAAGTATGATACGTATAAGCCCTTTCTTATAAACACGATGAACAATTGGAAACAATGTATGCTGAGTCAGTCGATCAATTAGTACTGATAAATTGCTGCTAGGCATCGCTGACTAAGATTGGTATGCAAAGGAGATCAAGTGAACTCAATCTGGTATGCAACATCACGTGACGTTTTATCACGTGATGTTGCCTTGGCAAATCACATTAAAGAGGAATCACCGTTTCTTATACGTGTAGTGAAAATGAATCATATCAACAAAATAAAATATTTATGACGTACTAGGTGTACATTGTTACATTAAAATAACCTTTAACTATAATATTCATATTGTATGTAAATATTCATATTACAATTTATTATTATCGTAAAGCGATTCATAAATGTGGATGTTCATACAGTGACAGTGCGCTGAAAGGACCCTCAAACGCAAAAGAGTAGATACAAGCGTGCATACAAAAGTGTATACATATGTACAACCATAGAGGTTTACATAAATATATACATATAAATACATATATATGTACATATAAATACATATATATGTACATATAAATACATCAACATATACATGTATACATATGCAAACATATACATAGGACATGTACCTAGACAGACATGTCCCTAAACAGGTATATACATATGTACGCATGCCAACTTTTGAATCACGTGATCGTGTCACAAAGGTACACCTAAATCCGACCAATGTTTCAGATTTTAGGCAACAAATTCGATCTCAGTCAATTATTACTTAGCATTGCCCGAATTAGACGATGTGACACTAAAACACGTCTGAAAACACCACTATATGCATGCTTTTGTAAGGGGACTGTTCTTCATTCTATAGACCTTTTTTGGTGTTTGGAATTACAATTGACGGAAGGGGTTGGTTCTTCTCCAACTTTCTTTTATCAACAAAGATCCTTCTGTCCTTTCCACTGAAAAGAATCTACTCCTGCTTCTGCTTCTGCTTTTGTTGATAAACCTTTTACTGTCGTTCTATTAGTATAAAAGCCAATGTCCAACATTTACACGTCAGATTTGAAGCACCATAGAAGAGCGCCGCCTCCTCCGATTGCTCAATTCAATAAGCTCAATGGTAACGGGTCGTCCACGTCGATTGGAACAATTTCTTCAACTTCAAGCGGTAATGGTATGCTTGGTGCTCCATCAAATTCGACCGGTGGTATAGGTCAAGCGTCTGGGTTTAATTCTACTAATACCACCATCATATCTTCATCATCATCAACTACTGTTCCATTGAAAGATTTGACTTCTGCTTCTTCCCCACAGATTAAATCTAAAAGACATGCTGGATGGGTTCACGTCAAAGATAATGGTCTTTTCAGTCTGTTCCGTTGGAATAAACGGTTCATGATAATGAATGATAAAACGTTAAACTTTTATAAAACAGAACCTTATAGTTCTCCTACTTTTTCTTCAACTACTGAAGCAACCTCTGCATCTTCTCCAACTGATTCTACTCATGGAGTTACCCCGGATTTATCATTCCCTTTGAATTTGATTTCAACAATTAACTTGAAACCAAATCCAGGTTATTCCAAGTCCTCCCATACATTAGAGATTATTCCTAAAAACTCAAACAACGCAAAGGCCTTGTTAATCTCTATCAAAAATAATAATGACTATCTAGATTGGTTGGATGCCTTCACACTCAAATGTCCTATGGCTTCAATTGGTAACTATACCGTTCTTAGTGGCATATCGTCGCCTAATACCGGTACTGGTAACAACCATCATTTAGGTTTACCATCGCCTTACTCATCTGGGTCCACTGCTATCGGATCAAGCTCATCTTCCTCGTTACCAACAGGTTCACTTAGCTCACTGACAACTACATCATTATCCAATTCCGGTTTCACAGTGGGAACCGCAGGGGTTTCATCACCAATAAACTTCACCCATAGAGTTCATGTTGGCTTTGATCCAGCGAGTGGGAACTTTACAGGGTTGCCAGAAACTTGGAAATCACTTTTACAGCATTCCAAAATCACAAATGAAGATTGGAAAAAGGATCCAGTGGCTGTGATTGAAGTATTGGAGTTTTATTCTGATATTAATGGTGGCTCAGCTTCAAATACTCCAGTTGGGAGTCCCTTGATCTCAAATGTAAATAATAACAACATAAATTCCCCTTTTGGTCCCATATCATCATCCTCCAGTGCCACCACGAACATCCCTCCAACTGGCGGTTTTTCACAGTTATCTGCTTCTGCCAAAGAAATTATACCTAATGCTACTTCTTCTTCGTCCAATGGGCTTCAAGACTTGGTCAAACATCCTAACAAGCAACAGTCACAATTCAAACCATCAAGAGCGGCTCCTAAGCCTCCTGTTCCCTTCCACTTGTCTCAAAAGACTACTGCCACATCAAGTGATAAACCACCTTCATCTGGTGGTACTAGTTCTCCATTGAGTCATCTTTTGGCTAAGGATACTAATGATGCTACTCTTTCCGCTGTTAGAAAGGCCCCTCCACCACCATTGGTTCATCTGTTTGGACAACCATCACCATCTTCATCTCAACCAACCACTCCAATCTCGGCAACTTCTCAAGGTTCGTCATTGAAAAAGCCATTAACTCCCCAAACTGGCGTGTCGACGTCTCCTTATAACTCACAACTGGGATCATCGTCGTTGTCGCTGTCGTTACCCAAACAAGCACCACCTTCGTTCCCTTCAAGCAAGCCACAACTGCCAAGTTCACCCTCTTCCCGTTTATATAAGCTGTCCGGAACAACTGCCACTACTCCTGCTTCTGTGACAACGACTGCTAAATTACAAACAGAGGGCGAACTGAACAGCAATGGAGATGTTCAATTAAAGCCATTCAAATTGAATAATAAAGCTGATGTTTCGGCATCTTCGTCGTCACTGTCTGGTTCATCATCAAGCAAAAGCTTGGGAGCAAGACCTTTAGTTCTGCAACAACAACAACAACAACAACAACAAGTACATCATCAACCAAAGTTACAGGAGCATTCTCATACTGGACTTCAACAACAACCTTCAGGGGTCGTTGCACCTTCGAAGAGTCACAAGCCACCACACGGGAACACTTCCAATTCCAATAATGGTGCCGGTCACCTGCAACAAAGACAACAGGCAAAGCAAGCCAAGCGTGAGAAGGAGAAATTGAACGATATGCAAGTTTTGGCTAAGTTGAAGACTGTTGTCAACAGTAATGATCCTACACCATTATTCCGGATCATTGAACGTGCTGGCCGTGGTGCTCTGGGTGCTGTATATTTGGCTCAGAATAGACAATCTGGAGCCAAGGTTGCTATCAAGCAAATGGACTTGAACGTTCAACCACGTAAAGAGTTGATTATTAACGAGATCTTGGTGATGAAGGATAGTCAGCATAATAACATTGTGAACTTTTTGGATTCCTATTTACGTAATAGCAATGATTTGTGGGTTATTATGGAGTATATGGAGGGAGGTTCATTGACAGAAGTGATTGAGAATAATGAGTTTAAGTTGAATGAAAGACAGATTGCAACTATTTGTTTCGAGACATTGAAAGGGTTACAATTCTTACATCGTAAGCACATTATTCATCGGGATATTAAATCAGATAATGTATTACTTGATGCTAAGGGTAATGTTAAGATTACTGATTTTGGATTCTGTGCTAAGCTTACGGACCAACGGAATAAAAGAGCTACTATGGTGGGTACACCATATTGGATGGCTCCTGAAGTGGTTAAACAAAAGGAATATGATGAGAAGGTTGATGTTTGGTCCTTGGGTATCATGACCATTGAAATGATTGAAGGTGAACCTCCATATTTGAATGAAGAACCGTTGAAGGCCCTTTATATGATTGCTACCAACGGGACACCCAAATTAAAGAAACCAGAAATGTTATCTAATCTGATCAAGAAATTCCTAAGCATTTGTCTCTGTGTTGATGTCCAGTACAGGGCCACGACAGATGAATTGTTGGAGCATTCATTTATCAGACACAAGTCGGGAGTCATAGAGGATTTGGCTCCATTACTTGAATGGAAAAAGAGACAAGCTGCTCAAAAGGAACTGGTGTAGATTGAGTTTTCAATAATGACAATAATATTATTTTATTTTTACTTTGGCTTTAAATGCATATATGGATGTTACAAGAAGCGTAGCAGTTATAGCCGAGATCGACGCTTATTACTGGAGAAGGAAATTCCTTAGATAAACCTTCTTCCGACGACCAATCCAAGGGAACAGAAAAATTCAAACGTTAACGTACACCTACATAAAGTGTGTTTTGTTTTGTTTAAGGCTAGAGAGAGAGCTCATAATCTTTGAATCACATTGTATTACTTTACGATACTGTAGCATTTTGAGAATATTACCGTACAAAAGCCTTGTGGGGAACAAAATGCCACACCAAACGCTCTCACGTTTTTTGCTATTTGCATACTGACATGAATAACTGGTACGTTTCCCATGCTGGCTTTGTATTATTATGATCGTGCGGCGATAAGTGGGGCGCAGAATATAACTGTTTTGGGAGTATGAACAATTTCCATACTAATTTCCATACTTCGCACACCATTAAGGGGTATCCCTCTCAATATGATGGCATATTTTTCTTTTCTTAGGGCTGTGGTTAAGAATATGCAACTAACGCAAGTCCCGCATAATTATTTTCTTTGCAATCCGGTATTCTACGCCCGTATCGTGCATACTTACCTTTTGATCTGCAATTGGGTCTCATGGCTTATTGTGTCTTAAGATTCTCTTCGGTAACTCTAAAAGCTAATTCAGCGTAATGGCCCTTTCAAGCGAAGCTCACGCCGGAGGTGTAAGAACCCCGCCTACTTTGTACTGGTAGAACCATGGTAAATATTGGCTTACCACATGCTAAAAAGTACTTGAAACAGTTGTCCTGTCTTTCCTATAGTGGTATCAACCTGCACCATGGCACAATTTCACCTTTCCTATTGTAAGTACGAGTATGTACATGATAAAAGGGTCTTCAATATACTTTGTTCGAAAGCAGCATTACACACCAAGGTGTGCTACTTTTGAACCACGCTTTCGACACTTACCTTTGTATATTCGCTTGCATGAATGTTTGTTATGGCCTTGAACCAACTTACGAGAATCGGTTCAGAAATGTAACCAGGGTAAATCACAGTTTTCACCACTTGGTACATAGTCCGGCACGGATGAAAATTTAGCCCTAGACAATAGATTTTGTGTTGTTTCGGGAAAACATTTAGCCGCTACATTTTACAAAGAAGGTATCGCGGGGAAATGCATCCTCTATTGTCTCTTAGCATACTCTGCAGCGTTAAGAACACTGTGCAATCATCTCTATCTATTTCTGAGGACCAAACGTTCATACCAATACTTAGTTATGTTATGTTTTATTGTTCTATAGAGTGCTGAGCTAGTATCAGATTCGCTGGCCTTAAGAGCCTCTTACGGCACAAACGATTCGAAACCGGAAGCATCCGTAACTTGCATCAAACAGTTGACTAGTTTTTCAATCTACATTTACAATTGCTATATAGTGTTTTAGTCAATTATCAACCAAGGAACGGCTGCTATCTTCGATAATTCTGTCATCCACCACTTTCAACCTAAATGATATTATGCTTTTTGAGGTCGCATAAAGATGGGTCAAGCATTGAATCTCAAGATGGTTTACCTTCTGATAAATAATAATTGAAAGCGCATATAACATTTGCATAACATTTGCATAACATTTGCATAATATTCGTAATAATAGTCCAATTCAGCCCAAATCAAGTAATGTACCTCAAAAAGCCTTAACTAATTTCAGAGTCCCTTGGTGCTTGTGCTTGTACTTGTGCTTGTACTTGTGCTTGTACTTGTGCTTGCACTGCTCGTGAATCGGTATAAGCCCTGAAGAAAAGTAAAAAAAATTCAAGCGCATTTACAACCTCAACCAATAACATAGAGTAGTTTAAATCGCACTTTAAACTTTCTCTAATGCCTCGCTACCTCTTGTTAACAATTTGGAATACAAAGAATGAGACATTTACTTGTAGAAATAAGCTTTCTCCATCTTTCGCGACCTGCCTAAGCGTTCGATAAATCCCTCGACCGCTACGGAGTTAACACACTTACAAGGACACTGTATTTAGTATCATTTATTACTTTAATGTCGGCTTATAACATGAATGGCTGGTCGAACGGAGCCTTGTTTAAGTTAAGTAATTTTTAATGCAGTTAACAGTTACAGTTACAGACATAATAGTTTAAACGACCTTGTTGAAATGCAAAATTAACTAAAAATACATAGACAGAATATAGCCAGAGAATTGAAATAAGTAAATCCTTTACACCACTAAAATGACATTCAAACTTATTGAATGGGCTCCAACATCTGATCACCTATATTCTGGCTTAATGGTGCCAGTTGTTGTTCCACGTACCACATGGGTACTGGAACAACCACTGATGGGTTGCCGTTGTTAGGAGGGTTCATTTCTGTATGTGGTGGCTGTAGTGGTTCCTGATAGCAACTGCTTGCAGTGTTAGGAGTAGGTCTCACTTGGTAAGAATAGGACCCATAAGAGTTGTTAAGTGTACTACTTTGGTTGTAGTCTCCATGAGTAATCGCATTGATGCTATTACTACTATTGTTATTGTCATATTGTGCTGGGACATTTGAAAGCAATGGAGTGAATGTCTGCTTCATTTGCTGTGGCTGTTGTGTATGAGTTGTGAAAGGAGAGTAATTCAGCTGATAGGTCCCCTGAGGTTGCTGAAATGGTGTAGTAGAATACTGCTTGTAGTTATTATCGTAGTTGTTGAAAAGAGGAGCAGTAGTGTTGCCGTTTGCGTAAAAGGGTGTAGGGTTTGGTGCAGGGTAACTAGTAGAACGGTGATAGTTTAAACCTTCGTTAGAGCGAGGTGGATGCTGTTGCTGTTGTTGATGTAAGTTGTTGACGGTATAATCCAGATGCGATGTATGTAATGGTGGAAGTTGATGGGGGTCAACAGGGGTGTAGACAGAGTTACCTGGATAGTAATTAGGGTGTTGTCGTTGTTGTTGTTGTTGAAGGTAATCATTGGATTGCGACAACCCGTTCAATGCAACCAGGTTAAGTATTTGAGACTGTTGTGAATTACCCTTCGTGTCTTTAGAAGAAGCACCAATGTAATACGATTCATCAAAGAGGGTAATCTTGTTCCCTAATGACAGGGTTTTCTTCAACGCGATCCATAAGGCAGGATTTATATAGTTGTTCAACGTCGAAGTCGGCGTTGGTAGAGTGGAAATGTCTTCAGGATTGTAATATGAGATCATGTGAAACGTTTGGTTGTTGTAGTTGAGTGAGAGAGTCTTCTTGACAAGCTTACCATTGCCGCCGACACCACCATTCTCATTAGAAGCAAACTTGGTCCCCGAGGGATCGGAGATACTTGATCTAGAACTAGAAATAGAGTCAGTGTTGGGGGTCCTAGAAGTAATAGAACTCTCATCAGCACTAATAGGAGAGCTAGACAGCTCCTTAGAAAGGAAGCTCTTCAGTCTAGGCTTATTTCTTTCCTTATACACTAAAAATTGACCATTTATTCTAGAGGGCGACCAGGAAATACCGTCTGTCCATCTTTTGATGCCACTTTGTTCTTCGATAAAGACAAACACATTACCCGATCTGATTAAACACGCTCTTTCCTTACCCTGTAATCTACCACGGACAAGCAGAAATTGGTTATCAAGAACATTTTGGATTAAAATAAGAGCATCGGTTGTAGAGTTAATGTACCCATAAAATGTAGGATTCATGTTTTTTATGATGATGCTAATAATTATATCGATTCAAATAGTAGTGATTTAAATGAAGACAGCAACTGGGAAAATGTTTAGCCTATGGTCAAGTGGTGAAGTAAGCGTACTGCTTTAGCAGTACTAAGTGTTTTATGTAAAATGTGTGTGATTATTGTGACTAGAGGGACGATGTGAGTCGGAACCTATAGTTTAACTTATCAGTCAATTGCAACTTTAGATGAAAGTGGAGGAAAAAAAGTGCCAAACAAGGAAGCTATATACTTTTTTGGGCCAATATTATATGAAATGCAATCCCAGTCAGGTATCAAGGAATTAAAAGGAATTAAAACCACAACCGGTAAGCGGGCCATTCGGTCATAGATTCTCCATCATAATCCCATCATCAAGATTGATTTATTATTTTCCTACATTGCATTGTCAATGTCTACACCTTAATTTTACTTTCATTATTTTTATTCTTCCGAATCCTTCGTTCTTCTCTTCCTTTTTGTCTCTTATCCTCACTTGAGCACTTATTGTTCTCTTTTGGTGTTACCTGCTGGAATGCGGAATTAGCTTTGTCACCCAAGATCACTTGCCATATGCCGATCATGCATGCATTTTTAACCTGCATATAACCTACCAACATAATTCTCTACGTTCCCAACTAAAAAATAAAAAATATCTTGTTGTGCGTTTTGAGCGATAATTGTTAGAAAGTACTTCGCAATTGTTATATGCACGTGGAGGGCGCAGGCGCATCTTGAATATACTTAACAATCTAGTCTGTTCCGTAGGAACCTAATGAGTTAAGAGTTTGGACCCGTTATTGCTCAATCTTATCGCTTCTGTCAAGGCAACGTACTTGATGCATATCTATAAAGCCGTCTTAATGGTACCCTGAAAGGCATATGATGATGTGGCTAAAGAGCTTACTTTAAATCGCGCTCTTATTAATTGTTTCCACGATACGGTGGTTCATTAAATGAAGTCTGTATTTACTGTTCAATTGAGCAGCTCAAACAGAATTGGGCGTCAAAGGATACCTACGTTTCCTTGAAAAGCTAGTTTAGGATTCGATTATTGTTATCGTCAAAATCGCTAATATAAATTCACATGAGCTACTAAATCAATTCAATCACTGTTTTTTGAATTATTCTTTTCAATTAAATTTTTATTGTTTTATTGTTTTATTTTTTTGTATTTGAGAGTGTGAGCCCTATAGTCAGGAATTTTATCTTCTTTCTTGTCAGCTTTCCTAATTCTTATTTTACGTTAGGGTATTAAAAAGAAACTTACCTGTGGTTACAGTCGGCTTTACTTCCGTTAGCACTCGGATTTTAAAAGGGTGCTTTTGTAGTAGTACATGTTGAGAAATGTTCAGTGTACGAAATGCGGGCTGTGGTACTGCAGGAACAGGCAACAATTCTCCCCGTATATGTAATCAACGGGTAGAATGAGAATCAACGACTGATTCTGAAACTTATATGGTACTCAAAATGCTCCTCACATCAATAGGTGTACTGGCAGTGTTCCGCGTAAAACTATTCCATTTAGGGACTATGTACGATAAATATTCTGGTAGCGAAAAGCAGTACTGTGCAGACACCTTACTGCTGGATAAATTCCTTCATCAGTCTAAAAAAGTAACTTTTCTCGTTTATTCCGTAACTCTGCATTCTGTATGAACATATGACGTTATTTATCCTGTTAAACTAACAAGTTTATGTAGATGCAGTACGGAAGAATGCTGTTGTGTTTCATTTCAGCCTTCTATCCTGTTCTCGCATCAGCACTCAAATTTTGTGAATGTCTTGGTTCCAGGGTCTGGTTTGCCTTTCAAGAGCGCAAATTTACATATGTACTCGTAATCATTATATGCATCATTTGCATATGATTTCTTTAGGGATATGGGATCTGGAGTGACTTTAGTCATGTCTGTGAAATCCAACTGCTTCCCAATTCGGAGCTTACAATTATATGTCCGACGATAATTCGACACCCACATTTCATTTCACTTCCCTCTACTGTCGAGTCTCAAACAATTATATTTTAAAGTTGTTAAATGAATGCTTGCTTTGAAGGCGAACATGTTTTGCATAGCTTCTATACATAGAAGTCTGGCTAATTGTAATTATTCAGCTTTTTAGAGAACATACTTAATGCGAAGTTACCTAAATCGTTTTAGTCTATTACTTTATTTGACGTCTAATAATCAAAAGCGGCACGAAACCCTGGATTTCGCAGCGCAAGGCGATGGCATTAGATTGTTGTGTCAAAGTGTAGCCGGGAAAGTCTTTCCCTTTCCTATTCTTTGAATAGCGCTGTGCTTTTGAAAGCTCGCATATCTTTAGACAGATCTGTTCTTTATGCAGTATATTCCTGTACAATATTCTTCTTCGGAGTTAGCATTCGTCCTCCGACTATTGTTAAATTTCTTCACTACACTTTTACCAAACAGATGCAACCAAAACTGGATTAATAGTTTCTTGTTTTCATTGAGCCTTAAAGTTACGGCAAAGGCTAGTTGGTCTCCTTGCGTATCGGGTACGATGCTTTACTCCAATCTGTCTTTATTAGTTTTTTTCACACCTTGGGCCGAATACAGGCAAAGGATGATGTATGTCTGATCACAGATGACATTTTTATGATTTTCACTTACTGTCGATGTCTTTGTGGTTAATCTCTAAGCAAATTGTCGGTTGCAATCACCATCGAGGTACAGCAGGATGATTGCAAAGCCTGTTCTTATTCGTTTTCTCGCAACCAATTTCGGAAATTAAGCATGATCCTTTTTAGCCCAGACAAAAAATAATAATACGAATCGATAGATGAATGCATTCCTTACAATAGGAACAATAAATTTGTTAGATTTACAAATATGTAGATGAATATAGAAACTGCAAAAATTGTTTCATTACAGAAGCTCTGAGGGTCCTACTTTAATACTGTAAACCATATAATATGGTTCTTTTCCAATTTACAATACTCATCTTTTCAAGATATTTTCAGGAAGCATTCGACAAAAGGAAAAAAAAGCTAAAATATTAAACTCCTTCCATCTCACTGTTCCATACCCTAAACCAGAAGTTCAAAATTTTGAGCTGCTAACACTAAAATGTCTGTGATTGTAAGTAAGCAATTTATAATATTTAGTAATACTGCTGCACACTCCAATCGGAGTTATTAATTCCCCTTCCCCCCCCCCCCTCGGTGCTTTCGCGGATCTATGAAATCGGACGTGTGTAAACCGTCTACAAGTCATGCATGAATAGCTTGCATGCGTCTGCATGCTTAGGCTAGCTTTGTTCTGACTACGAAAAAGAAAGAAACTCCACACTAGAATATCAGTACAAAATTCAGCGTTGTGTCGCCGTACACTGCATTTGGTAATTCGGTATATCAGTAATCGTCAACTAAACCGCATAACACCCAGTTGGATGATTATGCACAAAGTAGTTATCATAAGATTGTTGTTGAAGAGTACTGGCTGTGAAATTCAGTGTTATGAAGCTATTCGCTTTGTATAGCATAGGATGTATTTTGGTCCTTATTCTTCTTTGGGAAATTTAAATCTCTGACAAGGAAATGCGCAAACTAATTCTTCAAAGGTTCATAACGTGTGCTTGTTTGCATCCACAAGCAACTAAGCATTCAATTCCATATTGGCTCATCGTCAAACTCGCGCAGGATTGAATGTAACAATTTGCTCGTGGTATGAAACACCGAGAATGCACTCTTAGAATGGAAGAAAGCTTCCATTAAAACAATACCTGAGAGCATAGAGATTAGTCGGAGTTGATTTGTTTATATTCATGAAATTTACATAGAAAATAGGATTACGTTGTAGAACACTCGGCAGGGTCACTAGCTGTTTCCTACAGCTTAAATTTTCGAATCGAGATTTAAGTAATTCTGCTTTTCGTAGAAAGAAGAAGCATTTTACCACAGCTGTCATCACAATAACAAGGTTGCAGCTGTCAAAGAGTTAATGGGGATATCAGATCAGGATGTTGATAAGGTTCCCTCTCTGATTTACAGGCAAACTTTTTACTAACTTAGTTGTTGCTTAGGGTAGGAAATCCTTAGGACGATCATCATTTTGCAGTTTTGCGTGAGTTATCTCGTCAACCTGGTGGAGAAGATTCTTGTTGCAACATTTGATAGTTGAAATGCCGCTGTAATTTCTGTCTTACATATCATTATAAAATAATTATGGTTCATAACGTGTGCATAGATGTGCCTAGTGTTCTAAAATAGTTTCGGATTCATTCATGGCGTACAAATTGTCTTGGTCTGGTGGCTTGGATATCAATATTATTAAATCGAGTCCTTCATGAGAAAGAAATGACCACAATAAAGCACTAGAGTGGCATATGCACATCTTTTTGGGAGTGGAAATTCCCCCTACTCTGTTATAGAACATTGCGCACCTGGCTTTTCAATATTTTGTGAGGTCCCTCTTCCCAGCAGCCCCTGTATTTGCTGTACATCCAGCTCGGTATTCATAAGAACATTTCCTGAGCGCATTGCTCCACATGTGTAGTTTGTTTATTTCCGAAGAGAATCTATGTCTTGTTACGATAGCTTGTATTGGTAATAAATTCCGGTGATTCAGAACAATTGGTCGTGTGTCCTTTTGTTAAGCGTGATTGTTGGCAGGATGAAAGTGTTCAAATTTGCCGAGGTACATCAATTCTGTTGTGTCTATTGATTTCAAGGGGTAACCGAAGGTAGTAGCGAAGGTTAGACCACATTTAAGTATACTAAACAATAAGCTCTCAGAGATATAACTCCGTGATTTCCTTTGAGTAAACGGCTGTCAATGTATAATTCAAAGGTGCCTGAGAATTCAGGAAATCTATGTAATTCTCCCCATGACCCCGAATGGAAACATTCCATTTATTCTTAGGGATGTATTCTCTTTCCCTACAGCAAGTTTATGTTATCATACACCTAAAACTGGGGGATGTAACGTGTACCGATAGATCCTGCTTTGTGCTAAAAATAAGGGACAAGTACGCAATGACTTAGCCGCTGTGCACTTTTCTTAGCAGATGAATATGTGATGTTACTAGATATTAATTTCGCTATATTTTACTAGTTCATGCAACAGAAGTGTAGGTATATTCTCCCAACCAGCTGAAACAGCTATGTACGTGAACGTCTTCAACTGTATTTTACACCATGAATTTTTTTTTCAATGTGCGTCCTTCTGTATTGAAAAATAAGCTCGTACCCGCACGGGGGTTTACTCCTTGTATATAAGCGAGATCTGAGTGCGTGAATTACAGAGTGTACAACATATACATCATTCATGTTAGGGCCACCTACGGAAATACATGGAATGTGCTTCACGTGATTTTCTAGATGAAATAGGCACGTTGTCTCCTGGGATAAGGAATGTGTTTCCACTTTAATAGTGAGCTACTGCCTAAATTTATATATACAATGCAGGGTCAAAACTTACATAGAATAACCACATCACTGTAGAAATTAACAACAGCAAGTAGTCATCGTTTACTTGCATACAATAATCAGCACTACAAACACTAAGTAGGTATTGGTACTTCACTTTCAAATGAGGGAACTTTTTGCGATCTTGGAAGGTCCTACTACTAATTAGACAATCTGGTACCCAACCACATAAATCATAAGCATAAAATAAAGGGTTCTGCACTGAAGATTAAGGCAAAATAATTCAATTCTAGATCGGGGGGTACTGCCGAAAATTGACATTTTCATAAATCCAAGCAATAACTTGAACTATGTTTGTATCATCACTCAAAAAAAGAAACAGTTAAAGGCAATTAGAGGCATTCTTTCTTAAATTTCATTACTGAGTACACCAACTGCACGATTTGGCTTTAGTTCGCAGCATCTTACATCAAAGAGTCGTACATGAAGTATGAGACATGTCAACATATCGTATTGTGTGCTATGCCACATGGAGTGATACTGTGTTAAAGTGGAAGCTTCCAATCAAACGCAATGCATCAAGTAGTGAATATATTAGTTACCAGTTCGAAATGTAAGGCAAGTCTACCCTGGCATGGCATTTGGGAAAAAATCACAAGAGATCGAGACCCACAAGAGTAATGCAAATTAAGGTAGAAAAATAGCCCTCTTTTGATAGCAATTATTTATTTGGTGATGACTACACAACAATGCACCTTAATCAATGCCCCAATTCTTAGCAAATTTAGGTCACCCTAGTTTAGGCAAAACAGGTCATGTAGATAAACGCATCACATTGAAGTATCTATTTTTGTTTGACATGGTTGAAGTACCCTGTGCTGAGATTTTGCCCAATGTGGGTTGATCCGTGGGGAAAAGGAGGGGGCAGGAGGGGGCCCGTAATTTTGTTTTGATGTCTAAATAAAAATTTTGGCGCCGCACGAAGGAAGTCCCCCCATAGCTTGAAAAAGAACGTTATGCCTAAGGGCTAACAAATTAACAGTCTTCGACTCCAAATAATTAATATAGTGAAAGGCTGATGTTAATAACCTCCACATATTCATATCAAGGTGCTGGGCTAATTGTGGTTGGTATGGGGCTGGGCTGTGCGGGATAACGAATATGGCTGTGTTAAGGCAGTAGTCCCCTATATTAATAGTGCGGACAATTTCACCTGATGATGTGATTCTAGTTTGGTCTATTGTACACCAACTATGGCCTATACTGTACCCAACTTATTACTGTATACAACGATTCATCTCCACATTATTTATTATTATTGATAACAGATTTGTTGTCACTGGGATCGTGTGGGTTACGATAAAATCAATTACAACCCCTAAATGAAAATCCTTTGCCATAAAGAGTACAATTGTGCAATTATAAATGCCATTCCTGTTCTGCGTACTTTGAGTGTAATTCTAGTTACTCATAGACTAGAGCGTTTGGTGTTGAAAATCATCCTCTATTTTTATTACAATTTGAGGATAATCGTGTGACATTTTGTTTGTGTGACGTTATCACTTGATTATAGAGCTAACATCTGATAAATCAAACTTGATACTTTGAGCATCCAAGTCTTCTTGGTGGTGGTGGTGGAAGTTTTGCGATATAAAGTTTTGATAGGCAATCAAGATCATTATGGCTGCTGAACCGTTAAGGGCCGTAGATTTCCATAGTCATCTACCTCCCTATCGGTCATTACTTAATCCATCCAATTACTATGACTACAAACTCCACACATTTATTAAAGTTTTCTCCTCCAAGTTCATTGCCGGTCTGAATGCTTCGGTTACTTCCAAACATTCGACAGGTAACATAGTCGTTGTGAGAAAGAAGTTGAACCATTTACCCTTGATTCAGCTTCCTGAAGAAATTCTCACCTTCATATTCAGCTTCTTGGACGTAGAAAACTTGTTGAAGCTACTCACACTTCATCTGAAAATTTATAGGGCAATAAAGCCATTGATCTACAAATCAATGCACTTCACTCTGTCATACAAATTGGCCCAATTCATAACGGTGTTGCGGATAGATTCTTCAATCGGTCCATTAGTTGAATCCGTTGACCTCTCTTGTTTGGAATCACACCTCACTTGGAGAGACTACAAACGGGTCAGTGCTTTCTCGCAAACTTCCCAAGCTTATGACTATTCCCGAACGCAGTTTGCAGCTAATCATAATCGAAGCTACAGAATGCAACAATTACAGAAGCTCCGGAATCGTCAACGTAGGTCCAATCTGAGCCTCGCAAACAGCAATGTTCAAAAAAAGTTTGCCAAAGAAAAGTCTTCTTTGAGTCATCGTTTTATTTTCTGGCGACGCAAGAAATCAAGAGTAGCAGCCTTGGAAGAGTCATCATTTGAAGAAAGTGGTGAAAGTGGTCAAGTGACTATCTCGCATACAAATGATGCTCGAACTCAGAATCACAATACAGGAAATCGCTACTCAAATGGAACTTTGAATAGTCCTAGTATTACAACCACAACAACAATTGACTACGCTGGAAGACGTCAATCATTTGGACATGTCAATGGAGCGTTGTCGCCCATCAACTTTTCGCCTACTGAGTCAATAGCAACATTGCTATATTCACTGGCATCGGAGACTTCGCCTAAGGATGTTCCTATCGGGTATTTACTTCATTTGCTCAACTTATGCCCTAACATGAAGTCACTCAACTTGGCAAAGGTTTCAATCTCACAAGATTACAAATTGGTGAACTTTGAAAGATACCACCAATGGGATCTATTGTATGTTAACTATCCCAATTTACCTCAACAGTTGAATCGCTTCATCCCTACAAGAGTGAGCAATAGTAAAGCTATTGATAAGAGTACACCCATAAGGAAGTATCATAGTTTAATTTCTTCCAAATATTATGACTATTCTACGTATCGAACTATGGGTGATTCGACAGTTTACTTGTCTGATTTGACGATAAGATCTCTTGAGGATAGCGCAAATTTATCAAAAGTGTTACCCTCTGCATTATTAAGCAATATGTTGCAAAATTGGAAGTGTCGGTTGAACTACATCAACTTGTCCCAAATGATTTGGCCAACAAAGGACTTGGTACGCAAGTTCATCATTGGGTTAATTGAACGATTGGGCAAGGATAATCTAAAAGATTATACAATCGTTCTAGACTTGACAGAATCTGGTATGTTAAAAAATTTGATGTGGGCTAAGGAGATTCGATTATTTGAGTCGGAGTTAGCGCAGAAGATAATTGACGATGATTTGTACACAGAGGAAGAAATCATGCAAATGAGAGAGCGTGAAGGAAGAGCAACCATTGGTCAAAATTACCTTTCTTGGGTCAGCTAAATGGATAATCCAACAAGCTGCGCTTATGAGCCGTTATTATTTTCTTCTCTGGATTTTGTTTCAACTATGTCTTTCGTTTCATGCTTCAGGAGTTTGTTCAATTCATTTCTAATTGGCTGGTTTGATTTTGTTTTGTTTTGTTTTGCAATGAAAGGGCAGCGAATTTCTGACGTAGTGACTCAAATGTATTTTATGTATCATTATGGCTAGTTAAGGCGAAACTATACAAATATAGATCACATTTTTAAGCTACAGATTTTTGCTAGTATGATGTATCAAGCTTCAGGTCATCACCATTTCATGGATTCGATCAAGTCATAAGACGACAAACCTCCAACGGCGATGGTTTTAAAGCTGACATTATTTGTTCTTGGATATCAGAATGAAATTCCCATCACCTCTAACCGATGGAGAGCTCTAAAGTATGTTAATGCTAACCAGAGTGTGAACAAGGAACAGAAATCCAGACCAAATATCCGTGTAGTATAAAAAGAGAGTTGTATGATCAATTGTAAATCCATACTAAGCTATCAAATTTTTCACTATTCGCAATGTCACACAAATCTGAAATCCGGGTAACCTTTTCGGCAGAACTAACCTCTCAGAGAGAAAGTTTCAAGTCATACAATTAAACTTCATAAGGATGATACCACTCTCTGACTAGGAGTTGGCATCGTCTTTTAACTCCTCGATCCTTTTTACGTCACAGTCTCCCCAACCAGTGTATACTCTGTTATTCATATTAAAAAAAAGAATGTCCGATTTGTCAGCACAGCTTTCGGCGTTCAAGAGTAAAATCAGAAGCGGGCCTTCTGTAAGTGTTGCCAGACGAGCGGTTCAACCCAAGAGAGATTCTTCTACTGTTTCATCTCCTGAAAATGGTGTATCTTCACCTTCAAAACGGAAGACGGGACTGTCCTCTTTGAAAAGCGAAAATAGCCTGACAGAATCCATTGTGAAGCTGATGAAAAGACAAAAGTTGGCTCTGAATAGTGATGGTTCTGATATGACATCTTCACATTTATCTACTTTGTTGCACTTGGCTGTGGAATATATTAAGGAGCATGATACCCCCATTAGTGTTGGCATGTTACAGAATTACTTGCTGTTTGATGGTTCAGGAAAGTTTTTGGAATTGCTTTCAAACGTTAATAGAGTCAAGTATGATGAGGTCAACAAAACTTTAGAGTACGTTTCGTTGCATAACATACGCTCTGCAGATGATTTGCTTAACTTCTTACGCAGCCAGCAAACTTTCAAGGGAACTTCGGTCAAGGAGTTGAAGGACGGTTGGGCAGGTTGTTTAAATGCCATAAATCAATTGGAAAGTGATGGAAAAATCTTAGTATTGAGAAATAAAAAGGAGAATGCTCCTCGTTTGGTATGGGCCAATCAAGGTGGACCCTTGGGAGGCATTGATGACGAATTCAAAGAGATGTGGATTGGTGTCAAGTTACCAGAACCAGATGATTTGTACCAAGCTTTGATAGACCACAGTCTTAAACCTACTGGTGCTGATCCCGCACTTATAAAGAAGAAGCCTCAACAGCAAGAAAAGAAGCAAAAGAAGGCCAGACGAGGAAAGATTACTAACACACACATGAAGGGAATTTTGAAGGACTACTCACAACTTGTATAAATCCTACAAATAATAAATATATATACTTTTATCATTATACCTCCTCTAATAACAAAACCCTTTTACTGCATTATTTTGGTTCGTGCACTTCTGATTATGATGGGCAAAATTTTACAGGGAAAGTAGTTGTCAATAAAGGAACATAGTAAGGATAACAGCAATAGCATTTGTTTGAGAAAATAATAATAAAAGGAACTACAATGTCTGGTATGTGTGCTACTTAATAAAGCTTCACATTTATTTTAGCTTCAAAAGAAGATAAAAATGTCATAGGTGAAATCGAAAGCCTTATAAACAAAAACACTAACAAATGTTCTATACAGTTGATTTCAATACCGTTGCACAGGAATTCTGTACCTTCTACTACCAACAATTCGATGCTGACAGAAGCCAGTTGGGTAACTTGTACAGAGACCAATCCATGTTGACTTTTGAGACTTCTCAACTTCAAGGTGCTGCGTCTATTGTGGAAAAGTTGGTTAACTTGGGTTTCAAAAAAGTGGTACACAAGATCACGACTTTAGATGCTCAACCTGCTTCCCCCAGCGGTGATATATTGGTAATGGTTACCGGTGAGTTACTCATTGATGATGAGTCTAACCCCCAACGTTACTCTCAATGTTTCCACTTGGTTCCTGAAGGTAACTCCTTTTTTGTCTTCAACGATATCTTTAGATTGAACTACGCTTAAGCGGTGCGCAGTTCTGATGTTGATCAAGAATATTTATATGTGTATATATATATATATCATATTATGTATTTATGCACATAAGGTACAAACTTGTTGTAGATTAGACTATTTACTTAGTTATTATTGATTTCTTCTTTGTGCACGTCTCAAAAGTTAAGCGAATTGAATCCAATGATCACAACCCCAGTAGTGTTTTCTTTTCTTTCTACAGTGTTTCACTTCGTTATAAAGACACTTTGAAAGCTGTACAGATGCCAATTATACCACCAAGACCCAGTAAGAGTGACGCCGAAGTGATTCCGGTAGTGCCAGACGACCATAATGGAAGTTCTCCGGAGCTCGTCGCTACAAGGAAGGACACGGTAGATGAATTGCTTGATTACTATGATGAGGAACTTGTTTCAGATGTGGTAGAAGAACCTCTTCTTTCCAAAAGTGAAGCGGCAGCTGAATCTAACGTGGCTGAGATGGTGCCAATGACATCGTCACTAACCGCTTCTCCCTCAACCGGTACTCCTCCCACTATTCCTTCCCTGCGCCCTCAGAGAAATCAAAGTAATCCTGAGAGAACCAGACATGAAGATTCGGTTATTCCAAATCAAGAGAAATCTCCAATTGAATCCGACCAGGATATTCCCCAAATACCTACTTCTAGACCTAAGCCGAGAAAAGAGAACCTGGCGTCGAGCCTTACTCCCTCGATCCCAACCTCAAGACCCGTCAAGGAGCAAAGTGCACCTCTTACTTCTGAGAAAGTTGCAGATGAACTGAAGGAGGACAATTCTGATACATCTATTACACGAAAGGTTTCAGAGAGCTCCGTTCTGGCTAGTAAGTTCCCAGATACCACTGCCCAAGAGCTGGCTACTGCTTTGTCACTTAACTGTTCGCTCTCTGAGTCTTTACATGACGAGGAGACTAATGGCTCTGGTACTAAAGTTAAGGACTGCTCAGTAGAATCAGTCGTGGAGGAGAATGTCACTGGAACAGAACACTCAAACACAAACTTGAAAGCCGCAACGTTGGCGTCGACTTCAGAAATATCCAAGTCTGGTATTATTGATTCACAGTCCCAATCTTTGGATCCTGAAATAGATGCTTCTGAAAAAGACTCTAAGATCCTTGAAGTATCACATGGGACGATAACCTCTTCAATACCAATTATTCCACTGGTTCGCCCTTCTAAGCCCAAGCAAACAGATTTAAAGGAAACTTTAGAACACAAGGCGATCACAGGTGAAGACAAACCTGAAGATCGCCTAGAAATATTCAAGCGTTCGCCTATTCAGCCCACTGAAACTGAAACAGAAAAGAAGGAAACAGAAAATGTGATTCAGCAACCCGAAAATTCTTTGGGATGTGAATCTGAAGAAAAGAAAGAAGGGGTCAAAGTTGCGATTGAGCCTGATTTAGAGAATAATGTTGAAGAGAGTATCGCAAATATTAATAAGGCAATTGATGAACCAAGCGTTAGCAAGGAAAACCCTGCTGAAGATCGACGTGTTATTCCTGAGAAAACGACTGAGAATTCTATGACTCTGGATATTCCATTGGCTCACCCTTCAAAAGTGGCTCTGAAGGATCTTGAAGATGAAAATCAAAGTTCGAGTTCCAAGATCCTAAGTGAAACTACTAAAGAGAGCGAAACTTCCGTCCCCCATATACCACTAATTCGTCCTTCTAAGAAACTGACATCTGATGAATCATCACCTAACGTGGAAATTCCACTTAGACCGCTGAGATCATCTTCCTTTGATTCAACGAAATCTATTCCACAAAAAAAACCACCACCAAAGCCTAAACATTTATCTTCCAAGATTGCTGCCTTTCAGCAGATGTTTAATGCTGAACCAGTCTCCCTAGATGAAAACAAGGCTCCCAAGGCTCCCACACGAACTGTAACCAAATTATCAAGTGAGAAATTAAAGTTTACAGAAGGTTTAAAGCTTGGTGGTGGTGTACCTTTGCCAGGAATGGCTAACCCGGCTTTACTACAAAAACTTAAAACAAGAAATATTAGCGATGCCGAAGTTGTTAATGCAAATGAAAGAAATGATGATGATAATGATGATGATAATAATGATGATAATGATGACGATAATGATGATGATACAACAGCAGAAAAAACAATTCCTGTTTCTGATGCCAGAAAGTCAAGGGTTAGGCTAAGAGGTAAGAGACTTCCTAAATCGGCTCAGATTGCTGTTGAAATTAGTACTTCGAGATTTACTGTTGTTCAAGGTGATTTATGGGCCCTTGAGTATTCCAAGAAAGCTGATCACATGATCGAACCAGAAATTCTGGACAGCTCTAAATCACGTGACACTGAGAGTGTTATTGAAGATGATAAAGCACTTAAAGAGCTGGTCTTATCACCTAAAGATGAAGGGAAGCAACGTGTTGAAACCAACAAAACTAATGAACATCGTGGGTGCGAGCACGCGATTTCAGAGAACGAATCAGATGAAATAGATACTGATGATTTATATGAAACTGATTGGGATGATTATAATTTCACTTTAACAGGTGAATTTACAGTACGTGAAAAAAATGAATGTACAAATTCAAAGCCGGACAATGCTGACTTTAAAGAATCTGAACCTGATGACACTACACAGTTAGAATCGTTGAAAGATGCTATTGTTGGAGATGAGGAAGTGAAAACAAAGCATGCTATTAATTTAGACAAGCAGAATGCACCATTAAGTTCCTCTTCAATTGAGCATGAGACCCCAGAAGCCGAAAGTCAACCGCAGGAAGGAGAAACGGAGTATGATGATTTAGAAACAAATACAACTACTTTGAAAGAGGATTGATTCCATATGGAGTCAATATTTATAACCTTCATCACTATATATGTCTACTATACACCAATCCAACATGCAAATTTCAATCACGTTGAATTCTATCACTTCGATTACTATATCGTGCCTTGTACCCATAAGAAAAGTTTTCTTCTTTCTGAGTTCCCGATGGACTCTCATTTCCATGACCTGCCGGATTCCTTCCATTGGTTTGGCTTTTTAAGGACTCTCGGAGTGCTTTGATTTGCTTTTCTATTTCTTGATCGTCCACGTCGTCATCTTCAAGCTTTTCTCGCAATTCCATACATTTAACTTCGATTTCTCTCTTTATATTGTGCTTTTGTATGTCCTCTGAAACGTCCTTCCTAGCTAACCTATCGGCTAGATTACGTTCGTACATTTCCTTCTTCTTTGCATCGGCCACTCGTTTCTGATAAGAACCCGAGTGCTTTGGGGACTTCCTTGATGCCAAGTTCGTTTCCACGTGACCCGAGGTTCCTGAACCTCGGGGTGTCTGAAGACCAATCCCGTTGTAGGACATAGCTTGAGTGTGGATTGCCTTTTGAAAGCTAAGTCATGTAACCACATTCATCCTTGTAGTCGATAATACTGTTCTTGTCATCACGTGGTAAATGATCACGTGGTAAAAGCACCTTCATTCTGATGTTAGGGTGCGACTTGGGTACTTTGGGAAGAAAATGTTAACATTACATTCAAATTGGCTTCTGTTGTGCTTTCACATAATCTAATGAAAATCTAATGCAATGTATGATAATTATTATTTTCTACTTTAGGCAACCACTTGTCTCGGTTAATAGACAAATCGAACTACACTACAGCTTTATAAATGGATTGAGTACACATGTGTCATAGTTTTTGGTGTTATCTGGTTGAGCACATTTTCAAAGAGTTACCTCAATTGTATGCGTCTTCTTCTCAATACAGCAAGGAGTTTACACTGATGGCACATGCAATGCATTAGACCTTCCATAAACGTGTAAGTGGTTTCCTAAAAGAGGAACCAATAACCAAATGCATCAAACAACCTTCTTTTTGCCGACACGAATATGGACAAAGACACTGAGAAGAGGTTGCAATCTATGAACGCGCACACCCTGACACAAAATGGGAAGTGAAAAAAGTTTATCGCACTTCCATAACAAAGATTTCACATTCAAATAGTCATATCTCCAACAACGCGAGTCGTCATACGAGCAGTCTTTGCAAGTGAACATGGTTCTGGTAATACGTGGAAGGAAGTTGAGACTATTGCTCTTTGGTGCCGTGATATCTGTTGCGGTACTAGTGTTAACTAAGTCATATTCACCAAGTGTTTACCAAAGAATAGATCCGTTTAACTCTGATCCGAAAGACGCGACAGATCCAAACAATGCTAAGGTGGATGGAAAGCCAATAGTCGTGGGTACAGTGGATAAGAAGGCATCACATAAGTTCTGGGAATTAGTCTTCACGAATATTGCTAGAAATCAAATCAAAGTCGATGATCCCAACGAAGCTATCAGATACCTACCCAGAGAGAAACATATGGAAGGGCTCTCCAAAGAAGCCTTACTATCAAAGGCCGAGATACTTCCAGAAACAATCAAGGAATTTAAAACGAAACACACAAACTACGTCAACTCATTACCTGAAAAGTTGGACGCTTCACTTTATGTTCCCGGTACCACAGGTATCGTGATGGTTGGTGGTGGACGATTTTCGTGGCTATCTTACCTATCGTTAGTAAGTTTACGAGGAGCAGGGTCAAATTTACCCGTGGAAATAGTCATGCCAACTTTAATGGACTTTGAGAATGAAAGAGATTTTTGTGCTTCAACTCTTCCAGCTTTGAATGCTAAATGTGTTGTATTACCTGATAGTTTAGGTGCCACTGTGATGACACGGTATAAGTTTCATAACTACCAGTTTAAAACGTTGGCTGTATTAGTCTCCTCTTTCCAGAATGTATTGTTGTTGGATTCTGACAATGTAATGGTTCAAAGTCCAGATGCATTCATGAATAGTAAGATGTTCCATGAAAATGGTTTAATAACTTGGCCAGATTACTGGCAACGTACCATATCCCCTACTTTTTATGATATTGCAGGGATAAAAGTGAACGAAAGAAAGAGAGTCAGATACAATAGATTCCCTCTTCAGGTTGAATCTGACAAAGATAACTTGTCTGAAGAAGAAGCGAAAACTGCGAACTTTCACGAGCTCGAAGGTTCCATTCCAAATTTGTCAACTGAATCTGGTCAGCTTGCTGTCAACAAGGTTACACATGGTAGGACGTTACTTTTATCGTTGTATTACAATGTTTATGGTCCTAAACTATATTATAAGATGTTATCATTAGGAGAACAAGGAGAAGGGGACAAGGATACATTTCTTGCTGCGGCAGTAAGGTTGGGAGAGCCCTTCTATCAAATTAAGTCATACATTAGAACTTGGGGTTACGCTGACGTTGATGGGAAATTCCAGGGGGTTGCCATGGCCCAGAAAGACCCTATGAAAGATTTCGAATTGCACCACGAGAAGATTGTAAAGCCGCTTTCTAAAGGAGAGTTATCTGGCAAACTGATAGATGATCAAATATCCTACTTGAAGGATATCGGGAAGGAAGTTTTTGGCGAACATAGTCAATCTCCTATTTGGACAGTTCACTGCAATTATCCTAAATTGGACCCTCTTGACTATATACTGAAACCTTCCATATATGATGCTAAGGAAAATAGATTAAAATATCGATTATATGGGACATTAAAGTATACCGCGTTAAATAGAGCGGGACAAGAGGTTGAAGTTGACTTTGAATTAGAACAATGGAAGAATATGGAGAAGATTATTTGTAAAAACAAGATATCATTTATCCATTTGTCAAAGTTCAAAGGGAACCTTTGTGAATTTGTGAAGAATCAAGTTGAATGGTTGTCAAAGAATCCCATTATGTCAAATTAGTCACAAAATTAATGAACTATTTCATTTAGTTGTAATTCTACATGTTAGAAGCAATAGAGAAAATGCGTAATTGTATCACGCTCATCATTATAGGCGATTCATAAACACTAGGGAAATCAAACATAATCGCTGTAGCGATAAATTGAAGGGTACTAAATACTTTCGACTGACGAGGGTGCGATAAAACTTGAAGAATTAATTATCAATTCTGCTATTTTAATTATTTTCTTTGTAAATATATCACGTAAACTTTTACAAAACATGTTCGATAAGTACAAATTGTATTCTTATAAGTCGGCATAAAGTTCACTATATTATTCAAAAAGTGATGAAAATCGTTCGACCGACTATTAAGTTATGAATTATTTTCCTTAATTTGGTTAAAATGAAATCAGTGAATCAAATGAAAGTCGCAAATATTAGAGGTTAAAAACAAAAGAAAGCTAAGTTGGCTATGGTGGAGATTAGACAAGCCTTAAGTCGACTCCAAGAAGGCAGCACTTTTACCAACTTCGGTGACTACATACTTTGGAAGCTTTCCTTCCTCCAACACTTCCTCTGGATCAGAGCACATCAAATCCATCTTTTCAGAACTTCCACAATAGAAGGAAGGTTGCAAAGTGACCAACCCTTTAATAGGAGCCTTCAAATTCCATCCACTAGACTTCAAAGTATGGTCTGCCTTCTTGAAGTAATGGTCTTTCACTCTGACATTGAACTCAAAAAGTGCCAGAGTTGCAAATAGTCTTGCATTATTTCCTTCCTTTGCATTACAGGTAAAAGTTCCAACTAAAGAAGCACCAACCCTCCAGCTAAAAGAGAAGTGCGCATGAACTGCTAGTGGAAAGTACGGTATTGTTTCTGAAGCACCATTATGAAAACTATTAGCGAAATTAGTTTTAAAACTATATTCAAAGGCCACACTACCCAGACCAGTGCCTTCATATTTCAAACAAGGTGTAATTGGTACTAAATATCCCTTCTTCGTATCTTGGCTCTCGATGATCTCTACTTCTTGGAAGGCTATAATGTTGTCAGTTGAGGCATCTGTGTTGGGTACAATTGTTGAATTCTTCATGTAAAGAAGGGAGTTTTCTCCACCATATTTAAGTAGTTTCTCTAACATTTTGAAATCAAGATCACTCTTTGCAGTTGAGAACCGAATTAAATCGCCATCCAAGTCAATATTTTGCTTACTTGATAAACTAACAAAACTCAAAGAGGAATTATATCCATCAAAATCAAGAAAATTATCCAAAGAAATAACTCCCTCACGATCGCTAAGCTTTATTTCCATTGCGGAAACCAGGTACAACACATAGGCCAAAATATGCACTATAGAATATTTCATAACTAGGTTATACAAAAATTGATACTAGTAACCAATCAAAAATATTAAGTGAACTGGCAACCAACTACGCCTTTTATACAACCAAGATTGTTTTATGATCTGCTGGTATCAGCAGACCCAATTTTTGTATTTCATATTTTTAAATAACATACTTTCCCTATATGCTAGCTAACCGTTTCTTTGAGTTCATTTGGATACAATGCTAGGGGGTCTTCAACATTTTTGTATATTGTTAAAGTTGCAAAAGTAATGCTTTGTACATTTATTATCAGCTTTTGGGAATCTGGTTAGTTACAGGTTGAGTCTTTGAATAGGTGTCGATGTAAAGAGACTGAGCTAATCAAGACTAGTGTATAATCTTCAACAGCAAAAGACAACAGACAGCAGATGTAATACTTTAAAATTTTCTTTTTACACAACTGTAGCCTTGTTTCCCAAGAATACATGAATTGGAAGAACAAAGATTGACCACAGACATTAGCACCTATTATTTTAGGGATGATATCTAAATTTAGATGGAAATGTTAGCATTTTTATTATAATTTCATGTATGGATGGTAAGCTTAACCACTAATCATGAGAAACCATTCCATAGTTTGAGATCAACTGTCACCTGTTGACTTGTATTTGATTGTACGAATTTTAAGACTTGCGAATTAAAGGACTTCCGATGCGTAACTTGAAGTTTGACAATCTTAGTACGTACCTTAAAGGTTCGACATATTTGGAATCTTGCATAACTTATTGTTCAAAACGCTTGTAGGCTCGATCTACTACTTTTTTTGATATGCTTAGTATCAGCTACTTATTTCTGATATGCTTGGTATGCTCGATTTGCTTATTTTTTGATATGCTTGGTATGCTCGATTTGCTTTTTTTTTGATATGCTTGGTATGCCCGATCTGCTAATTCTTTCTGATACGCTTGGAATGCTCTATTTATTGATTTCTTAGATATGTTAACTTTACCAGCAAGTTAGGGTATGCCGATTATTAAACCAGCCTTGTTATATTGTGAGAACATACTATATCACAATTAGCAAAGAAAAACTCACAACTTGGTAGTAGTTAAAGAATTTAAAAAATTACCAGCCGTCTAACGTAATAGAAGTAGTTCTAACTTATATTTTATTAATACATCACACTCTAGTGAACAATGAAAAATCTGGTTGCAATTGTTGAAACTCACGTCCATAATCCTCGTAACAAACCATCTTGTCAGTCTTAAAAAAACTGGAATAATATTATAATATATTAGGCACTACCTATATAAACTTAATAATCGAAAGTAGGACGACTTTAGCTATATTTATAGCATACTGTTTATCGCATGGTTCATCTAGTTTTAAGCCATGAGGTTGAAGTATTAATAGGTAATTATAGTAATGGCTGGCTTGATTTGATTGAAGATAGCACTATTTCAGATTACCCCTTCTCAGGCTGGTTGGCTATATTCTCATTACTTCAACTTTCCTTATATGGAATTTAAGTATAACCTTTGCTGGTTAATACTTTTTTGTAACGCTCAGATTAGGTTTTTGTGTCATTTCGCATTCTTTAGACACTTCAACAGCAATTTGTAAATTATATATAAATTATTGTGAGCTTCTCATTTAGTAGTAAATAAACTACTAACATAACTTGCAGATACACCCTAAATTGAACCACATTTTCGCTGCCAATTCCAATATTTAATTCAATTTTTGGTCTATCATTCGAAGAAAACCATTATCACTTTATGGAACTTCACAAAAAAACCAAAAGTCGTGAAGAGTTCAACACAAACACGGTAGCGCTGATAGCCATCTGAATAGTAGTGATGTCAGTGGAATGTATTAGCTTAATCATAAGGGCGTCTGCAATCTTTTGTCGCTTATATATCACGATTATAAGTTTTTAATATTTGAGCGTCTTGGTGGATTTTAAGCTTTCCACTTCACTAAGCACGGGTAATTATTCACTCTATTTTTACCCGCTTCAACCAACTTTCTTCCCACTTGAACCTCATTTATTAACACTACACCTGTGTTTTGATTGCTAACTTTTTCAATTCTTCTTTTGATACTGGTATCTCATTGGTATCTCATTGTATCCATCTTTTCTTCACTAGTCTTCCATTATTTTCAACTTAATAGCAGGGTTTCTGCAGTATAGCTATCCAGGTAGTTTTAATAGTATAAATACAATCAATTGAATATGTTCTATTGTTATAAGTTATCCCGTATTATATCTTCAGTAAGGATACAAAATAATTAGATTTCGGTTTAAGGTTTTATTCCCATGATACAAATCTCAGGGGTGGACGAGCCCTACTTATCTCCTAAATTTTCCTCACAAACTGGATTTATCAATAGACCATTTGCTTTTTTTTTTCAAATGTGAGTATATTGTGCAAGCTTTGTGCCTTTATCCTTGATAATCCTCATCTGTGTTACTCTCCATGGTGCTAACGCGATTACTCCGACTACTCTACAATCTTGCCATATTCGTAGTTACATCCCGAGCTCTCCCGCTATCTTCCAAAATAGGTAATCAGTGACATTCTTGTTGAAGTATTTTGTCAGAAACATGCATGATCGTATATGACACAATTATGTAATCTGTTGGTTGCAAACAAATAGCTGAGAGAATATTGTAGAAATCCTAAATTGAGTTATTTAAAATATCCCGTATAGGTGAGTCAGGATATTTTAAATGATAGCTAGTCACGT